CATGCTAAAAAGGCTATTGCAGATTTCCATAGGCTTTACCCCTCTGCTCCCAGAAGGATTTCAGCCATCACCTTTGATAGGCTTCACTTCCAACCACTCATTAACTATACTATACCACCTAAAAGGGTTCTCTTTGATTGGACATCTGGAAAGAAGAAGGGAAAAGCAGAAGAAGGAGTATCAACATGCTGGGACAGCATGTCTAGAAGGGGGGGTGATGTCAGGGCACCAGCTCATTGCTTGGTCAAGAGACATGACTAAGCCTTTATGACATGGAAGTAGCTGGTATACCTTGGCATGTGCTGGAACCTGCTGGAAGGATTGGATGGTCAGGTGACCTGCTGTGCATGGCTGTGCATGACCTCATATGACCTCATCCTTGGTCATATGACCTGATCACCTGACTAGGCTGAGTAAGCAAGATGTTCTAGCAGGTTCCACCACAGAGGTATAAATATAAGGCCTACTCTGCCTGGGACTGTCTCTTCAGACTTGGTCTCTTAGGATCATCCACAGATACCTATACTGTAGATAGGTCTTAGTCATCAGGTCTACTCCACTTCCTTGTTGCCTGCTTAGACTCTTGGCACTCTTAGGTGAGCAGACTTAGTCAGCCTGTGTTGCCCTAACACTGTGCCTCAGAGGTTCAACTTCTCCATTTCAAACAACCATTGCACTACCAGCCCCTCCAGAGCATCAAGAGCTTGATTGTAGCTGTGTTGTGCAAGAGTGAGCTCAGCTTGCTTCCATGCAGATGAATCGGGTGTCCATTGCTCCATGTCAAGCAAGGCTTCATATTGCAAGGCCAAGTGCTCAAAGTGCTCATGACCTCGTAACATGGCATTGTAATTGGCTTGCAGAGCCCTTTGCCTTGATGTAGTGGGCATGTTGTTGAAGGTCTTGGACATCATGTTGATCAACAAGTCGGAGGTTTTAAGCTTCTCCCTGATCAAGAATTAGATGGGCTCAAGCAAGCAAGAATGCACCCACATATAGATGTCTAGCTGTTTTAGTGTGTCCAAGTACTGGAAAGCTGTCTCGTTTTCTTCAGGTTCATGTTGAACATTGTTGAAGTAGTCTTGCTCCTCCTGGATGTACCACCAGATGTTGTCATCTGATATCTTCTGCTCCACTTGGACTTGACAGAGCTGGGGCTTGGTGTCAGAAATGATGCTCAAGGCCACAGCATAACTCTTGTGCAAGATATCGGCTGTGTAATACTTAAGTAAGGCATGAAATGATCCAGGAAGAAGATGCTTTACCAAGTCCAGCCCACCGGTTCTCATCCCATCAACTCCAGAAGAAGTGCAAGGTCATGTGGCAGTGGTAGGCAGAGGCATGGCAGAAGAGATGTGTGGTGAGGTTTTGCTTAGAGAACACCCACTTGTTTGTCTCGAATGTCTCCAAGCCGGCAGTCATGAGGAAGCAGGGGTGAAAGCACAGCTGGCACTTGCGGTTGTGCACATATCCATGGAACGCACTGATGTACATGTGGAAATTTGTGTCTTGAACTTGCTGGGCAAGCAAACTTGAGGACAACATCTTGCTGTGGTCACAGCCAACATTGTACCCAACAGCAAGATTGGGCCTGTACATAGACAAGAGCTTGCCTATACACGCAAGTGGGTACTTTGACCTACTGGCAGATCAGCAAGTGCATGGGCTTGAGGGGGTGGAACATGTACAACTCACTGCTCTGCAGCATGTCTGCTGAGCACACAACCATCCCATGATGGCATGTACAAAGAAAGTTGCCAGTAGCATCAAGCCCATCCATCCAGTGCAAGGGCTGTTCCCTTGCATTTGTGGTCTTCCACTTGTTGGTGCAGTTGTCCTCAGCCAGGATGGGCTTGTAGTTGCCTTCATTTGCCTCCTTGATCATGCTCATCTTGTGATGATGGGGGGGTTCCTTCTTGAACTGGTCAACATATGTGGGTGACAACAGATAGTCACTCTTGAAGGTGCAAAGATCTTGATATCTGGCCCTGGCAAAGCACTTACTTGAGTTGTTCCCATCAAGGCTGACAAGCTTGGCATGAGCAAGCTCAGGTTCTCCTTCAAGCTGTTTGAATGATATGAACTAGTGCATGGTGCTGAACTTTGTGAGATGGCTTACATGGTAGTTGCAAGCAGGACATGTATTCAGAATGCACCAATTTGGTGTGTTGTGGCCCAGAGCATGTTGAACCATGTCTTTGAGTTCAAGAAGGATGAGTACATATGTGTCATATGCTTGCAAAAGCTGCAAGCATAGATGGGATTTGTATGGGCACTAGTGCAAGGGCATGAGCATGGTTCTTAATGTCAGACACCAAATGTACCCCATGTAGATCACAGAGCATGCAAGCAAATGATTCATGAGAAACATATGCTCGCACACATGCATGGTGAAGTACTTCTACCACTCCAATTTCAATGGCCAAGCAAGGTTGAATGGCCAAAGTCAAGAGGTATCCATGTTCCAGAAGATGAACCAGCATCAACTCTCCATCTTGCTCACAAGCAAAACTAGCAGGCTTGATGCCTAGATGGGTTTGCTCTAAGCCAAGGTCAAGCACTGAATATCAACAACATGCACCATCCCAGGTAAGAAGATGGACAACAAGTGCTTCTCCTTGGTTGCCCATTTGGGGGGAGCTTGCTGGCACTGGCAGACCATGTTGCCATTGCAAAAAAGCTTGCACAAGGTCTGGTGCTTGTGTTCTCCAAGAGTTGAAAGAAGAGGCAAGTCAACAAGCATGGGGACCAGATCCAGCTGGATGTCAGGCACAAGGATGAGCATGAAGGTTCATTGTCAATGGACACAAGATGGGGTACTTGAAGCAGGGGCACATACTGACAGAGATGCCACAAACTATTGATTGCACTTTCCTCACCATCTTCTTGTGTCTGAAACAAGTCCATCCCATCACCAGCATCCATCTCCATGAACACATTATGCCCATCACTTGCCCCATGCATGTTGCCTTCAGCTTGTTGGTGAGCAGTGAGAATTTGAGTGAGGTACTGGTTCACATGTGCTTCTTCAGGCGTGGCTACATGTGGTGAGTGAAGAATATGTGGAGATGAGGTCAAAACCATACAGGCCATGTGCTTCACTCTAGCCTCATGCTCCTCACATTCATGCTGTTCCTTTGCCTCAAGTGTAAGTGTGTGGGTGTGTTGATTGTTGGTACTTGAGGAAGCTGTTGTGCTCATTGAATCATCAGCTGAGCTGCTGGCAAGCCAGCAGGCCACAAGCTCATCCCGCAAGGCCATCAGGTTGACTATGCCAGCAATGGGCTTCCCTTTGTTGACTGAGGCCTTGTATACACCCAGTCTTGCACTTTGTGAACTTGAGCTTGGGGCAAATTTAGATTTAAGGCATCCACTTTGAGTGGACCTTGATGTTGAGCTTGACATTGGGGCCATGGAGCAGTATGCAAGAGTAAAATTAATCAACTAAGAGTACAGCAGCAAGGAGAGGGACAATGACAAAGTGCTTGATTGTCATTGTTGTTATTGGAACTGGTGCAGGCTGCATCAGGGTCTTAGGGCCTGGATGATTGCTGGATGAGACACAACTGGGGATCATCCACAAGTACGTGGGAGAGGCGAGCACCGCCTCCACCACAAGTTCGTGGCAAATGGTTCGAGTTACGGGCCGCATTCAGGGTGCAACTCCCAAGCGCACGCCACGTTAAGCACGCAATTCACTCAACGCCAACTTTCTCCTACGCTGATACCAAAAAAAAATGTGTGGGATCCCTCAGGCAACACACCGCTTTGCACAACATAAAAGCACGGCCCCCAGCATTCACCTGCCAGCAGGATAGCGACATAGTCTCTTGGGATTGCGCAAAGATGCCCCACACTCAAATCGAACCCATAAACAACGCCCCGCACGGAGGTGTATTGAAGGTGAGCTAGACTCTTGGGAAACGCAACATTAGCTCACGACGCGATCGGTGTAGGACCTCGTCGTCCGTGATGAGCCTATGAGAGAGAAGCTTCTTCTTGAGGCCGAGAGACTTCAGGAGATCATTCTAACCGACGTGCGTACGCTTTCCTTAACACACCCCTCCTCCCTCATCTTGCTCTCAGCGCCAAATATGCGATCTGGAGCTCATTCTCAATGGAGGCTTCAGCCCACTCGAAGGATTCATGAACCAGGCCGACTACACCAGCGTCGTAGAAACCATGCGTCTTGCCGATGGGACGCTTTTCCCCATACCCATCACCCTTGACGTTTCAGCTGGCGATGTGAAGACCCTCGGCATCGCACCCAACGCTCGCATCGCCCTCCGCGATCCCCGGGATGACACGTTACTCGCTGTTCTTACTGTGCAAGATGTGTACACGTACAACAAGAAAAACGAGGCCGTCAAGGTCTTCGGCGCCGATGACATTGCCCATCCGGCTGTCAAGTACTTGTACGATCGATGCAAGGAGTACTATGTTGGAGGCAAGCTGCAGGCAATCAAGCTTCCCACCTACTTTGACTATGTCGCACTTCGATGTACGCACGTCATTCCCATTGGTCTATACCCACTCTGACTGACTGAATCAGATACACCTACTGAGCTGCGCGCTCATTTCAACAAGCTTGCATGGCGTAAGGTTGTCGCTTTCCAGACGCGCAACCCCATGCACCGTGCTCATCGTGAACTGACCGTGCGCGCCGCTCGCCTCCGTCAGGCGAACGTTCTCATCCATCCCGTTGTGGGCATGACCAAGCCAGGGGATGTAGACCACTACACTCGCGTACGGGTGTACCAGTCTATCCTCCCTCGTTACCCGAACGGGATGGCACATCTCGCCCTCCTCCCGCTCGCTATGCGCATGGCTGGGCCTCGTGAAGCTGTGTGGCACGCTATAATCCGCAAGAACTTCGGTGCGACGCACTTCATCGTAGGACGTGATCATGCTGGTCCGGGAAAGAATAGCCAGGGCAAGGACTTCTATGGGCCGTACGACGCACAGGAGCTCGTGACTAAGTTCCAAGAGGAACTTCACATCGAGATGGTTCCTTTCCAACAAATGACCTATGTTCCCTCGTTGGACGAGTATCAGCCTGTGGATGAAGTCGTACCGGGTACGCAGACGCTCGATATATCTGGTACTGAACTTCGCAAGCGCCTGCGCACGAGTGCTCCCATCCCCGACTGGTTCTCGTACGATCCCGTGGTCAAAGTTCTTCGCAAAAGCTATCCACCCCGGGACAAGCAGGGTTTCGTGCTCTTCCTCACTGGGCTGTATAACTCTGGCAAGGATACGATTGCTCGCGCCCTGCAGACCGTGCTCAACCAACAGGGCGGACGCAGTGTCTCCCTCCTGCTGGGCGAGACTGTTCGTTCGGAGCTGTCGTCCGACCTCGGATTTTCACGTGATGACAGGCATACGAACATTCAGCGCATTGCATTCGTCTCCGCTGAGCTGACCCGTGCGGGTGCAGCCGTCATTGCTGCACCCATCGCGCCGTATGCGGACTCGCGCAAGGCGGCGAAGGAAACGATCATGAGCACGGGGGGATCGGGTGCCAACTTCTTCCTCATCTACGTCGCTACTCCCCTCGAGCATTGTGAAAAGCACGACAAGAGAGGCAACTACGCCAAGGCGAGAAGGGGAGAGATCAAGGGCTTCACCGGAATTGGTAGGAAGGCGGTACTTGGTTTGACAAATTCGAGCTCATCTATTGGCCAGATGATCCTTATGAAGCTCCCACGGATGCTGACCTTGTGGTGGACATCTCTAAACAGACGGTCCCGGAAATTGTCCACAACATTGTCCTCCTTTTGGAGTCAAGCAACCTTATCTAGACAATCTAGAGTCACGCGGAACAGATCGTGAATCCTGGTCTTGGTCATTATAGAATACAATGTATTTATACCGAGTTACACAAATGTTGTCACTGTCATTACGTTCCCGTCCTTCGTCCGATTAACCGCACTACCTTGATATAAATGTCCCCTTGCGGCCAGCCCAGGAGGTCCCAACACACTTTGCACACAAAGCAGGGGCTATTATCCAACCTAAGGTCGCCACTCACGGCGAGAATAGCCGGTAGAACTTTACACACACCGCAGTTGGGTGTAATGCTGGCAGGAAGGAATGTCGTTATAGGATAGTCTATTCTTTGGGGCTCTGAAGGATGATGCAGGCTGACACACGTCAGTATCGGATGATGGGAGGAAAAAAGTTTGCCTCACTGAATGTCGTCGACAGTCCATACATGCTCGCACATTCCAGCATGAAAGATCCAGTAAGGATAGTTCATGCGCAGGGACAAGCTTCCTATTCGCACGTCCTTCAGCTCGAGAGAGCTGTGTCCTATCTCAGATGGAGAAGGAGTCTGCGAATTAAGCTTCTGGAGCAGCATGGTGACACTATGAGCATCTTCAGGATGTTGACCATACATCACGTCTTCTATCCCGATACATGCACGATCCAGAAGATCGATTTCGGGAAACATACGATCAGCAGCGTGAGGAATGGAGGTACTTTGACAAGGAATGATTTTCAGCAGATCCGCGAGTGTGTTGCTGGCGAGCAGCTCGTGGGAGGATGACAGCCGCAGCCCATGAGGCCACACCGAGTGAGCGGTGTAGACGGAGACGGAAATTACCACTTCAGGATCGTTTTGATTATCATCCACTTCATGAGTATGAGATGGGTTGATTGGGCACGCCTAGGAACGTGTCAGGACAATTATCAACCAAGGGAGGTATGGCTCATACCGCGTGATCCATGACGCTTCGCAAGCTGTTCTGATCTGTCATCCGCGGTCGACGAACAAAGAATCGAGATTGAGGCGATAGTCTAGACATCCCGGTCAGCTGAGTAAGGATGACTTGCTCACAATGAGTACAACGAACCTCGAGGCGATTCGCAACTTCGTTTCATCGAGCTCTTCGCGAATATACGCGACTTCAGGTATTCTCTCTGATACGGTGTCAGACCTTAGTATTCCACTGTTGCATTGAGACCCATGCAAACCTGTAACATGGCTTGAGAGAGCTTCGGGCTCAGCTGATTCCTGATTATTAGGGCGACGGCGTTTTCGATGCCTTGTCCCTTGAGCGTTTGGCCCGCCAATGCTTGGACTGCTCTTCGACGGCTGGAACACTTGTTCAGCAGCGACACCATGGCGTCTTTTGAGGTATGTGAAAACAGAGGGGAGCTCAATCAGCTGATTCAGGTCTCCTTTGAGATCGTCCAGGCTGACAATCGCGTTAATCAAGCGTCAACATGTTGTGAGGACTTAGCTCACCTGCATCTCATTCCCAACCCTTCTTCCTCAGGGCTCAGTACATGATCATCCTGGATTCTGTCCGATGCGTTCTGAGCATCTGACAAGAAGCTAGCAATGTCAACAGATTGCGATGGGGGACCGATGTAGAAGTCTTCGTGCCAAGGGTAGGTGGACGACGCTTTCGCGTTTAGCGTCATTTGCAGTTGATCGACCAATCACGAGTTACACAACTCTCAGAAGTTGAATTACGTTCAGCGAGAAGGCTAGTTGATAACGGTACCGGCGGCCGGCCTTGGGCGCCATGAGGTCGTTGTCTTCCACATTCCAGTTGGGTCAAAGAGAAAACATGTAGACCATGCGCTGTCCAGTGAAGAACGCGTGATGATCCCGGCGGTTACCCCGGAGGAAGATCCATCATCAAGGGCGGCTAGGAGTCACAACCCCGCAAGTACTCGCCAGCGAACCCAGCTTGGCTGTTCATAAAAAGGTGACGGTTGATGGGTGCAGGATAAAGCACTGGTCCTCAGTCCAGTTCTCGCTGTCATTTGAACATTATGGCTTCCACTCGTACGGGCAACATACCCTTCCGGGAATGGGAAACGCATTACGAAATTTTTGGCGATCTCGAAAAGTCATCGCATCCTCCGCTAGTCGTGCTCCATGGTGGACCCGGAGCTACATACCGGTATCTTTTACCTATCGCTGGCATAACGGAGAAGTGAGTTTCCATATGTTTAAGTTTTGGTCGTCCTTGACGACTGAATGATAGATTCGGCATCCCGGTCATCTTCTATGACCAACTGGGATGTGGCGAGTCGACACATCTACTTGACCAGCCCAAGGAGTTTTGGAGCGTCGATCTATTCCTCGAGGAACTCGACAATGTCCTCGAAAAGCTTGGAATCAAGGATAACTATTACCTCCTGGGCAACTCATGGGGCGGCATGCTCGGGTCTCAGCATGCTGTCGCCAAACCGAAGGGGTTGAAGAAGCTTGTCCTGGCCTGCACATTGCCCAAGACGCGCATGTGGGCGGATTCGTGCATGCGCTTGCGTGCAGCCATGCCAGATGATGGGGGTGCGAAGCTAGAGAAGCATGAGACTGAAGGGACAACAGATTCGGCGGAGTACGAGCAATTGTCAGAGTGGTTCGACTCGCACCACGGGTGTCGCGTTCGGCCACTCCCAGAGGTGGTTAGAGCCACCTACGAGTATCTAGGCAAGAATCACGTCGTCAATGATGCTATGTAAGTCTACTCGGGAGCTATCATGATCCCAGCTGACATCTGTCAACTAGGTTTGGACCGAAGGATACTGACCCCACTGGCAATATCAAGGATTGGTCAATCATCGACCGTCTGCACGACATCGAAGCTCCCACTATGGTCTGCCACGGCGCATACGATCCGGCAGACGACATCGTCGTCAAGCCATTTTTAGACAATATCCCTCATGTGACGAAGTACTTCAAGTTCCCCAATTCATCCCACATGCCCCAAGTGGAGGAGACGGAGTTGTACGTGAAAGAGGTAGGGGAGTGGCTCGCCGCCTGAGATACCTGTTGTTCTTCAGATCCAGTGTTTTTCTTTCGTCGGAAGGTGTAAATTACTTGTGTGAGAAATGGTACTGCTGGTATGCATGTTTCATGTGCAATCGAGACAAACATTATTAAGTCAAATCGAAACCGAAGCGCTCCAAAGTAGTTTTGCGTCAGATCCTTCCCAATCCTGACAACGCAACGCATCCCGCCCAAATCATATGCATCGCCTGCCTGCCTCCTGGCGTCACCACCGTGTTCTTCCATTCCTCAGGATACTGATGCCAGACGCCGTCCGCCTCTTTCATCTTGGTAAGACCCACCTCTCGTAATGTCTCAGGAACAAATTCCACGCCTTGCAGTGGGCTTTCACAAAACCCAATGAGCTGCAGTGGCACGCGCCGTTGAGATCGAGATTTGGGAGGTGAACTTCGCTGAGGCACAGGTAACTCGTCTTGCTGGATTGGTCGTGCCAGAATCCGATATGAGCGGAACTTGGCATAGAAGGCGGCAAGGTCTTCGTTGAAATGCTGATGCCGAAGTTCTTGCGCTGGAGACATCGGGATACTTGATGTAATAACCCAAGGAACATAACATATCAGCAAGTGCGCAGTTGACATTCCGCCCTCTTGATTCTGTGGGTTCTTGGCATTCGGATCCACAAGAGCATCTCTCGAATCCGGATGTTGTTTGTCGTTGGTCTTCTCACTTCGAAAAGATACAATCATACAGACGTCTTCGGGTCCCACATCCATCAGCATCGTGAACGGTTGTGGCTCTTTCATCAGCTTCTGCTCAGTCAGCGTACTCACAGAAGGTCGTGAGAGGACTGGCGATAAAGCTGTGGGTGAAGGTGGAGCCCGCGAATCTGGAAGAATCGGTGGTGGGAATTTAAACGCCCTCTTAACGAAGTCCATGAGGTTGGCTTGTTGTGGGCGTGATCGATAGACAGAATCGCCGGTCGAGGACTGTCCGAGGCGGCTGATAGAAGAAGGTCGCTTTTTCAGTTTCGGTGGTATTCTTTGAGTTTCTCCAGAGATGCCCGGAAGCTCTATGACAGCTGTCACCGCGCGACTTGCAAGCTCCTCTCGTTGTCGTTGAAGATAGACTTCCTCGTGGAGTGCGCGAGAAGCAAGCATGATTCCGTCTTCGCAGTCCACCGCTTTCACTGTTCCTTCAAATTCTGACAAGGTGTGCTGGAAAAATATGCTTGTATCTTTGCTTACGTTCATGAGAACTCGCACAGTTGGAAAGACCGAATCGCTGGTAGAGACTCCAAGGCTCGTAATATAGATGCAAAGGCCGCTTGGCTCCGGTTTGGATAGCTGGCTGATGCGGTAAGTCCCCAGCAGTGGACATGTCCAGATAGCAGCAGTGCGACCGAATGAAGGTTCAGTATCCACTGTGGTCTTCAAGCGTATTGACCACGCGATTTTGCTGGCGGCGTACTCAGGATCATCTGCAGCTACCATAGATAGGAAAGGATCGGGTCCGTCGGTCGAGTCGGGCCCTTGTGATGATCGTACGTGGTCAGATGTTCCTGGAGGTGCGGAATAGCCTCCAAGCAAGAAGCCCCCATGGGCGAGCATGTCGTCAAAGTCGAAATCCCACGGTTGGCTGAGATGGCTCGGTCCTGGCTCGGATCTTGAGAAATCGAAGTTCGGATCTATGGCACTACCCCGTCGACTATATCCTCCAACAGAAGATGCAGGGATCGATATCGGAAGGCTAGGACGACGATCGTCTACGAAGGTTACAGAGGACTTGCGAACGGGATGCGCGGCAGGTAAGTGGAGAAGGGAATCGGGTACAGCAGCTCTCGGTGTGGCTCCCCATTGTAAAGGAGGGCCTTTGCTGCGAACCGCCTGAGTATGGTATGAGGATAGTACGGGCTGCGGCAAATCCGAGATTGTTAAAACAGGCGGCGCGACACCGGGAGTCGTATAACACGACGAAAAGCTGGCGGTGTGACGAGTTATGGCTATCGACACAACCGACGGCCGTGATAAAGAAGGATCTCGCAATTGGTGCGAAAGGCCAGATAGACGGCGTGAGTTGCTTTCTGTAATGGAAAGGCCATTGCTCAGGCCCGGACTAATGTGGTGTCAGTTTCTTGGTTCTGGTGTCGGAGCAGGCTATGCAATACCTGGCCAGGTATCCGACACCTTCTTGCTCGGACATAGCGGTCAGTTCTCCAGGGTCAGGCCTGAAGTAGCTTGAGAGAAGGCAGCCGAGGGTAGAGAGAAAGGCGATTAGACTTGTCCGCAAGGTTTTAGGTGTAGATGTGGCTTGAGGGCAATCCGAAGGCCCCTCTGCAGATTGTCGAGGAGACAATACTCCTGGGAGGACCATTCGTCGTAACTCTTAAGCATAAAGAAAGAGGAGAGGAGACGGGCATACTGCCTTGATCATTCACAGAAGAGGCGGGGAGAACGCCCACTTAGGACACAACAAAAGGCGCATCCAAGGACAGGGTCGGGAAGCATGGCGACACGTGGCGCACGTGGAACGAGAGTTGGGCACGCGATTGTCTACCATCCCTAAGAGGTGCTGTTGACAACGCCCCAATCTTAGGTTCATTCCGAGGTTGAAAATTGCCCCAGACGATGGTATTTTTTGCCCTTTCACGTTATTACCGTTCGGCATCCTCGAAACTGCATTGCGATCTGCCAGCAGGCTTGGTTCTTGGGATTGTCCATAATATTCGATTGGGGATGTCCCCGTAGAAACGGTCCACGGGATTCCATGTGCTTCTATCTCTAGTATACTAGTTTAAATTTGTCCTCTCGTTTATTGATCCTGCAAAGTAGATTTCGCGCGCACGCAACAGATCACCGCTGGTGACTGCGCGGGAAAGCGTCACACAAATGTTGCTATACGCCAATCGGCAGAGTCTGACATGTCGGGACGGAACGATGATTTGAACATCGGCCGGCCGTCGGCGTTTAAACGACATTCCATTCACCCTGCAAATAGGCGTACTCATTTCTAGTTCGTGAGCTCCAGTTCGTCTGACTCGGCAGATGGCGGCACGGACGGAATCAAAATGGCGAACTGAGGCCTCCAATTCGCATCCAGTTCGTGGGTTGTAGTTCATAGTTGGGTTGTCGATCGATGCCATGCCAACGTGCTGTGTTCGACGGGGGAATGAATACAGAAGATAGAGATTGCACGGAGTTGACGACATCCCGCTCAGGTACCATGCTTTCGTTCGTGGTTTGTGGGCCAGTTCGTCGGATAGAAGCACGGGAAGCATGATGGAAGGGGTTTCTGGGGTCCCAGAGCACATGCTGCACCCGCACAAACTGCCTCACGAACTAGAAATGAGTATGGCTAATGTCACACACATTTCATATCACACATCGAGAGGTCTATCATATTTCATATTCACACTAAAAGACAACATATGTGATCGAAAGGATCTACACGACGTGCCATGTCCCGCTATGAGCGACTATTTTTACCTGTCAAGATCATGTTGTCTCCTTGACTCTATAGCCATCACTATATATTAGATATCCTTCAGCATTTAAACCAGGGCACCACGAACACCACGGCCGTAGTTGGGCTCCGCCGCGGGCTTGTTGTCCAGAATATCATCGATTTCAGCCAGAGCTTCAGGGGTGAGCTTGGGAATGATCTCGAGCGCCTTCAGGTTGTCGTACACCTGCTGGGGCTTGGAGGCACCAAGGATGACGGTGGAGGCACCTGGGTGAGCAGCAGCCCAAGCAAGGGCGAGGGTCGCGACAGTGCAGCCGTATTTGGTCTCAGCAAGCTTGGTGAGCTTGCGCACCTTCTCGATCTTCTCCTGCCCCTCGGGCTTCTGCAGCTGCTCGATGGTGTTCTTGAAGAAGTCGGCATTGGTTGTGAAACGGGAATCTGCGGGAATGCCATCGTTGTACTTGCCGGTAAGGATACCGGAAGCGAGAGCAGACCAGATGGTGGTACCATACTGGTACTTCTTGTACAGGTGGTCGTACTCGCTCTCGAACCGCTGACGGTGGAAGCAGTTGTACTGGACCTGGTCGCAGATGGGAGCAATGAGACCGAGCTTCTCGGAGATGTTCATTGCCTCCTCGATCTGGCGAGCAGACCACTCGGAGGTACCCCAGTAGAACGCCTTGCCGGAGTTGATCAGGTAGTCGAAGGCACGGACGATCTCCTCCATTGGCACAGTAACATCGGGACGATGGGCGAAAACTACAATGAACCATTAGGGCTGATGGGGAAGTTTTGGGCGCATATATGCGTACCGACGTCAACATAGTCCATCTGGAGACGCTCCAGTGACTCGTTCAGACCCTCGATCAGATGCTTCCTGCTCAACCCCTTGTCATTCGGGCCTGGCCTCCTCACACCGAAAAAGATCTTGGTAGTGATGATGAGGTCGGTTCTGCGCCAGCCGCACTCCTTGACCACACGGCCCATCTCACGCTCACACTCGCCAGCCTCGTAGCCCTCGGCAGTGTCGAACATGTTGATACCGGCCTCGAAGGCAGCCTTCATCACTTCCTTGACGGGGTCGCCCTTAACGGTACCACCGTAGGTAAGCCAGCCACCGAGAGAGAAGACAGGAACACGGAGACCGCTGGGGCCGAGGTTCCTGAAGACCATGCCCTGAATGAATGATGATGTGAGCTTGTCTACCCCCGATGACGTGTCAAGACAATCATACCTTGGGCTGATACTCATATGATGCCTTGAAGTTGGCCATTGTGATAAGATGTTACTTGTGGGGGGTGAAGATGGGGATTGGGAGGAAGAGCAAGGATAAGGCACTGGGTCTTGACCGGGGACCGGTTGGGTCGGGTATTTATATGCCGAGTTTGTCGTATCTTTGGACCGCGTCACCCTGAAAGACGATGAACGCAAGCGTATCCATGTGGAGTTGTGGTGTTGGGTGATGGGGGTTATGAGAAGGTCAACCTCCACCTCGCTGGCCAATGATCATCCGCCGTCAGAGTCGTCGACCGGAGCTAATCCCTGCGCGTGATAGGCTGGGGTTCTGCCGTCAAGGGTGACGTTTCTCTCACTTTCGCCGATCGGTCCTTTCCCACCACTGTCAGGCTATTGTTATAGGAAAATCACAGGATCGAGGGATATCGGCATTAACGTAGCGATGGTGTTCCATATGAACGGCGTGTGCATAACGATAAAAAGATCGGTAATTCCATCACATACCCGCCAGCTCGCAGTTAAGTGGACTGGATACAATAATAGTGGATTTCCTACGCATTCGCAGGGTTCGCTTGTACCTCCACACCATTTGCATGACCAGGGACATGTTCGTCTCACTCATAAAACTCAGGTACTTGGCTTGTTGGGTATACGTGAGGCGATGGGAGGTGTCCTTGGAGATCTTCCTCTCGTCTCACCTGAATTTTCAACCGCCGCCTGAGACATATTGGGCTCTGTCTGGAGGGTCCGACGCAGAGCCACGACTTGGTGCTCACAACCTTCTCCCGCTCCACTGGATCCAATACGCTTTATACATCTGCAGGGTGGAATGATCGCGATGTCATACAGCGCGGCCATCTCCATTGGCTGTGCATCGCTCTCATGTCTTCTTAGTGAAGAATGTCGACAGCTTCGCCATTCCTGCCACGTTGGCCTTCTTTGGTTTCTCCACACCAAAAGATCCTTTGTTGGGCTTCTTGTTCGTTGCGTTGGTGGCGTCTTTCAGTTTCGGCTCATCACCAGCGCGGGTGATTGCTGCTTGGGCCTCACCGGCGATCGCTTTGAGGTGGGCCTCCAAGCGGGTGAAGCTGCGAAACATCTTAGATGAGCCTTCTGAGCCCACGTAGACTACACGCACTCGTAAGACTCAAGTAACTTCTCCCTCCAGGTTGGCGAAAGATACTGAGACAGAAGCTCGCATGAAGCCTTCGTTCTTGCCTCTAATATGACATCGTCAACATTAACTCCTGAGATATATGCGCTACATGTAGTTGTACTTACGAGAGAGTAGCAGTTCGTCCGTTCCAGCATTGTCTATGCCTACTGCCAGACCGTCCTTCGCCAACGACCGCTGTAATGAAGGGAACGTCGCGAACGTTGAAGCCGAAGACATCGCAGATACTTTCGCTCGTAGCATATCCATAGCTTTAGGAGGTGCGAATTTGAATACTTCAAGTTCAGGTGCAGGTTCTATTTGCCCCGCGTTAACATGCATTCGAAGAGCGCCAGACGGACGTACCCTTTACGTCACATATTCGCCGCAGGGCTTCGCAAACACAACCCACCTCTCCCATTGCTGAAATATCTGCGGCATCGATAACTGGTGTTATTACAGAAGCATCCTCTGTTGTTGGCGGTGAATTGATGAAGACATTGGCTATCTCGTCCACAAGGTCTTGATGCGGCAGGTATCGAGCATTCGTGCCTTCCTATGGACAGGTTCAGACGCGCTGTTTCATGATAGTGAACATGCAAACCGGTAAGAGCTGCAGAAGTGGAATGAGGAGGAATATCGGATCAATGGGCGCCAGGACGAGAAGCTTGCCATCTACGCCATCAATCAAAATCCGGAGCTATTGGGCAGCAATAAACGGACCTGATACGAGCTCTCCCGGAGTCATAAACCACGACCTCTTTGCATCGGGAGAAATTGATTGGAGCTCGAGAATTCCATTCGCACCTGTTTTTCCATCTGCGGAGGCGGGCCTGCTGAAGGGAAGAAATAAGGCAGGGAGGCCTGTTCGAGGATGTGGTAGGCGTAAACAACGCGAAGTATTCTGGGCTTCAACATAGGATAGAAGTTCTGTAGAATCATCGGAATGGGTTTTACTGGACATTTCTGTCCAACTGACCTTTGGGTATCACAGCTGGATGCGCGGACATGATGAGCAGATGAGAAGAACCACTGCACATGAACACGCGTCAAAGACGCGTCGTGCAAAGGGACGCGTCCAATTGCACCTTGCTTCCCGACCATCGTCTCGGAAAGTACGACCATTAGACATTCCACGTTTTGCGAAACTGGCTTATTGTGATACTCCGAGTTCCCTGCACCCGCCGCTCCTCTCCTGTGTGAATAACTTCCTTCTTGTTCCTGGTTCTTGTCATCAAAATGGCTGAAGCCGCTGCATCACCAGCGGTCGATGCAACTGGCTTATCAATCGACCTGGCTGTCGATTCTAACAATTTCGCGTGCTCTACTTGTCACGAACGTACTTCTAGTGAAGACAGAAGAACGTATCGCGATGTCGGTGTGCAAACGGACCCTCCTAGTCCACCATTAACTCCACAACGCTTGTCTGTTTCTCCTAATCTGATTGACTTTTCTCCTTCCCCTCCTCGCACACCTCCTCGGCGATCGACAACTTCTGTATTGACTGCGATCACTCCTCCCTCTCGGTCTACTACTCCCACTCCATCCACTTATTCGCTTCGTACTCCTACGAAACAACGCGCATATAGCCAGGTCGGTCGCGGCAGGCCTCGTTCCAAGACGCTGTTTGCGCTCGGCGAGGAGGAGCTGTTCAATGCCGATGCGGTGGAAGAACTACAATTACGCTCTTATATTGGACATCCACCTAGTAAGCTGCATATACCTCGCCCTCTCGAACAGATGGACGACAACCAAGATGTTTTTGCCGTTCAATCAACTGATCTTTCTCTCGCACTTGGACGACGCGTTGTCTCAATGCCTACCACTGCTGACAGCGCTGTTCCTACGAATTTTACGAGACCCCGTGCTGTGTCAGACAGTCTTGCTGCCCTTGCTTACGCGGCTGTTCTGCAAGAAGCGGAGATGCTGCTGGATATGGAAGACGCTGAGGCTGCCCTCACTGGTAGATCACTCTCTCATGCGCGGGCCGCCTCATTAGGGCTCTCTGACTCCAGCTCATTGACGTCAATGGAAACGGATGATGATAGCGAAAGTCTTCCTACACCGAACTTGCACCGCGCCGCTCTAGATATCACTCTGGCGAATTCGATAACTTCTGAGAGTTTCTACATGACTGACAAGCCTGGAGAGGACATTGTGTTAGAACCTTCACCTCCAAAAGCGATTCCAGCTCTGCATGGCCCCCTCTCCCTTCCTTACGCGAGGTGTCCGTCGTACGTTGTATTCCAGTGTTTCGATCTTGTCTGATCACACCACCTAGCGGGGCCGAGGGCATCATTGTAGAAGAGCCGGCGACGCTGCATCGAATCGTCTGGGGACTTGAGCACGAACCCCCGAAGTCAGAACACCCGGCCGGTGACGGTGAAGAAATAGGCATGCCGCTTGCTTCGGAGGCCAAATCAGATATTTTGCAGACTGCAATTGAAGAGGTCGTTCAGGCAATGCCCAAGCTTTGCGGCGTGGTGAATAGTGATGGGCTGGCTCGTCGGAGAGCGGCCGACTTAGCACCCCGGCGCAGAACGCTCTCAAGTCCAGCTACGCATACTCCCACCAAGTCGAGCACCTCGAGCCCGATTCGCTCGTCGTTACGTGCCAATGCCCCTCCATTCTTTCCTAGTGCTCCACAAATGCGGCGAGTTACCATCGATCCAGCAATTCTCTATGTTTCTCCGCCGGGTGGCCTGCAATCTCCTATTATTCTGGCGAGCGATCGTCCAGGTGTACAGGCGATGAATGATTCTCAATGGACGCAACTGGCGGAGATCAGAGCTCTCCCTTTTCATGAATTGCATGCTCCTTCGTCCTACGAAATTCCTATCCTGCGTCCCCCTGCGCCGTGTTTCCCGATCGTTGGTGTGCCATACTCTGCAGAAAGCTTGAACCTACTACAACGCCTTACAATGTCCCCTAACAATATCCAGTCAGCCCGCGATCCCCGATCCGAATTAGGACATGGACGACCCTCAACTCTGCTGTCCAGGATGACAAATACGAATCCCAATGTCGCCAGACGGGTTACACACATAACGTCACGACCTCGGGCACAGAGTTCTCCCCCAGTTCCGGTCAATCTGCATCCAGTTTCTCACCTCACTTTCTCAGACGACAACCTTCCACCGCACATTCCGGAAGAAATTGAGATAATCACTACACCAGCTACTCCGGTTACCCCGATTTCGCCATACGTTCCCGCAAATATCGACCGAACCCTCCTCCAAGCCAATGGGATGGCACGTGCGGCAGCCAGAACATGGTCTTTGTCGGAGCAATCTGTACCGACTGCTCCCATCACCACGCAGTCTGCCCCTCCGGTTGACTGGTCTTCGTCCTTCAAGACTTTTTGGAGAGAGCAACAGACTGTACGAGGACAAGAGCAACTGACTGAAAACTTGCTGGGATCACCTATCCGAGAGCATAGTAGCCACGAACATCAACTCACGCCTATTCCACCTCGTCTCCCTTCTGCGCCGCGTTCAGTACCGATGAAGCGACTGATGACCCGTCTGAGCGGCTCGACCTCCCTACCCGCCCTGTCCGAGGTTGAGGAAAACAGTCTGGCTGACAGTCCGGCAAAGCGTTTCCCATCTAGCAGCAGCGAGCCTAGCTCCCTTAGAGCCCCGATCTGGCAACGTCCTCAAAGTGCGCGAAGGAACCCTTCCCCCTCTCGACTGAGCTTGGCCGCACAGACGAAGGCCGACGCAGAAGAATCGGATGATGCTGACGTGTGGATTGAGCGACTTCCAGCCGGTACCAACACTTCGACGACATCCAACAGTTCGTCTTTGGACGAAGAAGTGATCATCTTCCAAGGCTGGAAGAACCCAAAAGGCAAAGGCAGGGGTGTCTCACCTTAGGTCAAAAGAAACCCAACACGACATCCAACAACCTACGCATACGACGTGGACAATATGCATAGGATTCCATTTAGCAGATCACAATACATGCAATGACAAGCCCAATTTTCTCATTTCGATTTATGCAGCTCCTACTGCTTCACAAACAGATCGGTGAACTTGTCAACAGGCATCTTTTCGAGGGTGCTGAGATCTCCAACCGCAGTGAGGATCGTCTGCTGGTGTTCGGGGGTGAACCAGTGGCCAATGTGGCGCTTGAACTTGTCCATGAGGAGAGGCGTGCCTTCCTCGCGCTATCATACACAAACATCAGCATTTTTTCTCCAACCAGAGAATTGTGGACTTACCCTCCTCTTGTGCCCCACGGGATACTCGATCGCCACTTCGGGCAAGACTAGCCCATCCTCCAGCTCTACAAGGAGGGCATTCCCGATGCTCCTCTTCTCGGGATCATGATAGTCTGTGGAATAGCGCGTGTCCTCGACACAGTAGGTCTTTGCGCGGAGGGCATCGATCCGAGGGTCAGAGGCGGCGATGTCTGAGTAATCGGCGGTGGTGAGGCGACCGTGAATGAGCGGGTAGCAAACCATGTACTGGATTGCGTGGCTGCGAGGGCGAGTCAGCATTCGCTGCACGAAGCCAATGGACGAAACATGGAAGACAGTGAGATAAGACTCACTCTCTGTCAGCAAAGTTGTCCAACGGGCCTTCCTTGTTGATGATCCTCATGGCCGCTTCCTGAGTCCTGATCCTCACACTCTTGATATCATCACTGGTCTTCCCGAGCGCCTTCAGCTCTTCATGTACGACCATGGCACACTCCACCGCTGTCTGGGCATGGAACTCTGCCGGGTAGGAGATCTTGAACAGCACATTCTCCATGATGTAGCTGCCATAGGGCCGCTGGAACTTGAACGGCTCGCCGCGGAAGAGGACGTCGTAGAACCCCCAAGTCTTGGCGGTCAGGACTGAGGGCAGACCAATCTCGCCCTTCTGCACGAGGAGGGCGAGGTTCACGGCGCGCGAGCAGGCATCACCGGCTGCCCAGGACTTGCGGGAACCGGTGTTGGGTGCATGACGGTAGGTACGCAGGGACTGCCCGTCGACAAAGGCTTGCGAGACGACGTCGATGGTTTGGGCTTCGGACAGGCCGCTGAGAACGGGTCGTCAGCAGGCTTCACATGGCCTGTGGAAGAGAGAAATATACAGCATCTTGCTAACCACTGCGGCACTGGCAACCTTGACCAAGACAACATGATCGAGCCCAACCCGATTGAAGGCGTTCTCCAACGCAAGGCACCCCTGAATCTCATGGGCCTTGATCATACCCTCCAGCACCTGCTTCACTGTAAGCGGCTGGCCCTTGCGCGCTAGGTGATCGGCGACGGCAAGGATCGCTCCGAGGTTATCGGAAGGGTGACCCCACTCTGCGGCGAGGAAACAGTCGTTGTAGTCCAGCCACCGGATTTGGGTGCCGATGTTGAATGCGCCTCGGACGGGGTCGACTTGATAGGAAGTACCGGGGACTTTGGTGCCTGATCGGGTGCATCAGAATGATGGTTCTTGTGAGACTTGTGTTCGCTCTCAGAGACCAGGAACGCACCGTTCGGCACTACAGTCCCCTCGACCACGGGCCCCATGAGTCTGTTGCACTCCTCGAATCTCAGTCCCTCCAGCCCACATCCCATAGTATCAATCAAGCACAGCCTGGCTGTCTCCCAAGCAAGGGGAGATGTGACATCATAGTGATGAACATAAGATGCAATGTCCTTGAGGACCTGGTCCGGCTCAGGACGAGCTGCAGACTCGGCGGTAGAAGCAGACATTGCACGATGTTGACGGAATACGAGAGGGGGTGCGAGACGTGTACGAGATATGATAGCTGGGCGTGGAAGGACGCGCTTGAGCATGATGGGAAGGAGGAGAGATGGACAGGGCGGGGGTGCTGCTCTGGAGGAGTGGGTACGCCGGTATTTAGCGGTCACATGGAATCACGGGAGTAGACCCTTTTGTATGTTCACTTGGCTGCTGGCTCTCTCCGGGCTTTCCCCTGTCAATCATCTGTTCAATTTCACAGCTCAGAAAGATGCCTACAGGAATACTCCCAGTGCCTGTCACACACCCGGACAAGCACCCGCCATTCATTTCACTCCTTACTTCTCGCTCACATCGCTCTCTTCGTCTCGTACTCGTCGTCCTTGCTTCTTTCGCTCTCATAGCTTGGTCATTCCGCTCATTCTCACACCGATCAGTCCTAGAGAAGCTCGACTCGCCGGAGTATGCCCCGCTAGGGTCTGGGCATGATGGGGCTGCACTTGTAGGAGGACAAGGTGCAGGTGCAGGAGAGTACGAAAGCCCTCCTTTCATCCCCGCCGACCGGCTAGACCTCTCCCCCAACGCACGTGCCGTCCGCGCACTGCTCAACTACGTCACCCACTTCCCATCCCTCCCCCTCCCCGTTGAGGTACTTGACGACGGCGCAGACGTCGCCAACGTGCTGAGGGAGGAAGCACGTCGAGCTGGAGAACACGAGTTCGATGAAGGTGGGAAAGAACGGCCGCTCGTCGTCTTCAGCAAGGTGCGCTTGACCGTTTTCCCTCACTACCCTTGGGGTTTGAAATTGACCGGTTTGCTCCGATATTCCCAACGTAGACATACTGCCCGTAAGCTTTACGGCATCTTCTAATATCTTCACTTCTCACAACGCTTAGGTTCTCCAAGAAGGCAAAATCACTACTCGTGCAACTGCGCCTCTCTCCACCTCCAGCGATCGTAGAAGCCGATTTACGCTGTACGCTCCCTGCTCAACCTCTATATACTGTACTGACCCTGCATACAGCCGATACCGCAATCCTCAAGTCCCTCCTCAGTAAACTGACTAACCACTCCACCTTCCCCAACGTCTTCATAGGCGGCCACTCTATAGGGGGAAGCGACGACCTCCAAGCGCTGCACGAGCAGGGAAAGCTCTGGGAAGTGCTGAGGGGAGCGGGGGTGAGCAGGCTAGGCCCAGCGGGTAAGTGAGCGCACGCTCTGGGGTCTGTAGAGCTTGGTGTTTTGCATGGTACGTACGTTCTTTGGGTTGTCACTAGGGAGATTGCTGAATATATGCGGCAGATGTCATGCGTATCTATGACGTGGGGCTCTGTTCTCGCGGGCTTGCAGTGTACAGTATTCTGCCAATCGAATGAGCGTTTCCATACGATGCCCAAACCTCCATTGCGCAACTTCCTCACTCTTTCATCGATCAAGCAAGTCTAGCACAGCCCTGATCCCTCTTCACTCTCCTCCCGAATTTTTCCTCGCCATCACAGTGGCACACTCAGCGTTCCGAACCCCTCAGCACCTGCTGGGGGATCATAAATTATTTCTCTGCAACATCCCTGGATTCATCTAATTCCCACCCGCATCTACGCAAGCGTAATACCATACGCGCCTTGTATATTAAGCGATAAGAAGCGTCCCTGAACCCAGAAAACAGACCAAGAGAATAAGAGCGAACAAAACAACAGACAGAACGTAATGGACGACAAAATGAGTGGCATAGTAGTGTGCGGGCAATTGTGTGCTTGTTTTACTCAAATCCCTCCTTGCCCTCCCGAAGCGCTCAGTACGCCTCCCCAAAATCCCCTCGCTTGGCGTCCTCATCGACGGTATCCAAGCTGCCCGCACTCGGCTGCCTGGCAAACGTGCTCCTCCTCGCTCCGGGCTCATCACGCTGAATTTCAACGGTAACCATGACACCCGGTGCGCGCTCCGTATCGTCGTCATCTTCAAAGCCGCCAATGAAGGTGCTGTTATGCCTCCCGCGGTTCTGGCTGCGCAGAGCGGACATGGCCTCCCTGTCCCTATTGTCCCTCCTGCTAGCAGCTAGAAGCGGGTTCATGGGGATATCCTTGAAGTCCAGGCCTTGCTCTTCCTCCTCGTCGTCAGTCCCGAAGAAGGCTTCGCGGATATGGAGGATCAGGCGCGTGGACATGATTATATCCGTGGCGATGGAGAAGGGGAGGCCGACCCCGGAGAGTTCGACGGGTGCGAGGCGGGAGGCGAAGAGGTTGATGGACTGAACGCAGAAGATAAAGATGAACGCCGAGACGTTGTCTTTGATCATCACGTCGAGGAGATCGATGCCGGAGTAGGAGACGTAACGATGGGTCTGGTGAAGATTGTGAGCGTGCGGGCGTCCTGAGAAAGGGAAGAACATACAGTCTTGTATCCCACCATGAGCAGGAGAATGGCATCAAACAAGAGACGGAAGATCCAGTATGTGACCAGGATCGGATTGCTCTGGTTCACGAAGCAGCCTGTCATCGTCGGGAACTCGGCAAGGGTGTCCGGTGGGGCTGTACGCGGATGAGCTAATCGTGCATGTACCAAGAAGGCACACACTGTAGGATTTTTGTACGGACACGCCGAGGATTCCAAAAGCAGCGACCAAGTGGGCAAAGTAGATAACAACGGAGAAGATGCCTACACGCCTGCTACGGGCGTACATGGCGTGAATACGCAGGAGGAGGATGTCTGCATATCGATCAGATCAGCAGCACGATGGGACCGATAAGGAATTTCACGGACAGGAGACAGTACCCATCATCCATACGCTTCCCCAAGTGCCGATTTGGAAGAACGCGATGCACATCGAAGGGCTCACGTTACTCAGGTTGAACGCTGCCTCGCATTTAGACGATTTCTGGGTACAGTTGACAGAGCACTTACTTATCACGAGAAGTGCCAGTATTGCTAGACCGAAATAGCGAGTGAAAAGGTACAAACCCTTTGTTGAGCCCCATGGTGCTGTCCAGATGTATTTCATCTGTCGCTGCTCAGCTTCGGTTCCAAGGCAAAAATGTACCTCCAACGGACCTCCATTCCCATACACAACAACCAATCTATGGCAAGCCATGCAAAGGCAGCGACCAGCGCATAGTGAGCACCAAGTACGTTGTTGAGATAAGACCAGGTGTCCGGATCGAATGGTGTTGTTGAGTTTGACGACATGATTAGCAGTGAGAATAGGTTGACAGTCCAGGCGGGTACACGAGCTCTAACACAGTACTATTGATGGTGGTATAGGTGCTAACGCATGAAGGAGTGCGGGGAAAGAGGAAGAGAAACGGCCCACAGGTGTTCCAGTTCCCTCTTCTATGGATTGGACCGAGGCACGCTAGGAGATGTACCTCCGGCGCACGCGCACTAAAAAGCAACGGAACAGTAACCAGTCCGGGGTTTTTCCTTGTGCTCCAGCTGGTTTTTTGCTCTCCCCTGTCCTGCAATACAGTCGGAAATATTCATTTCCGGATGAGGACGTGGGTGGGCCGAAAGGTTCCACCAGCTGCCGCCCAAGACATGTATGGAAAGAACCCTGCGGCCACGGCGAGTCCAGAAACTGATAAGAGGACATCATGAGCAACGCCCGCCCGCCCCATTTCATCGATTCCATCGAGCAGTTCGGTCGCCAACGATTGGTATGAAGGTGAAGCCATCGTGAAGAAATTTGAATGCGAACCGGGGCGAGCGGCCCGAGCTGTGAAAAGGAAGGGACCCTGACGGCCCGCGAGAGTTTATTTTGACAAAGGGTACTCTATCGGGATCAGGACTGTGCCTGAACATGGTAACTCTGACGAAGGTTATGCAGCGAAGCAACAATGACCTTTCTTGCCAAGTTTGTTGAGAAAGAACAAAATATTCGCGTTCATCCAACTTCATCGTCTCTTCTTGAGAAGAAAATTCGGGCCAGGATGCCGCCCCACGGCCGAGACCGGGGTTACCGTTGTTCGCTTCCGATCGTTCGGCACGCATGGCAGACTGAATTCCTAGACATTCGGATGCATAAGAAGGGTGGCAAGAACGGGTATCGAGATGGCAACCAACTCCGGAGCGGGTTGATCTGGTGTTATGAAAGAACGTGAAGGTCCTTATTCCAGCCTGAATGAAGATCAGTAAGCGAAAAACCCCGTCAGAAACAACCTGGCCCGCCCAGTCATGCGGGACTATTTCACGTAATGTCAATGTATATGTCGCTGATTCGCATGACATAATGACAGTTCTCCAATAACTTGACATTTCGAAAGAACGAGTTAGGGGTGACGGTCTCAGTCATGTCATGACCAGTAGCTTAGGCAATCATGAGAGAAATAGAGAGCCTATCAGCATGCAGTGTATCAGAGTTGCCCAGCCCACAATCGGATCCATCTGTCAGTCGAAAGTGGTCGAATACTGGAGGGGGCGGTGATATGTGTCGTTCAACACCCGGTGCACCTGGAACAGGCCTAAGGCGCGCTAGAAGCAACTGGACCAGCCCTTCAAAAGGATCACTTATATACGACATTCGAGAGAGATGTTCTTTCCTCGTGTCCCTCATACTCATACTAGCCAATTGTTAGGTGCCCGTTATAAGGAAGTGATCAGAATGTCACGGAATGCCTCAGCTTCGCGAAGACCATACTCGGGAAGCCAGGGATCAGACAGGAACCCTAACCCTACCTCGGTCCAACTTAAGCGCGAACACAAACCTCCACCGTAAACGCTGGCGAGACTCATACAGATGAAACGACCGAACTATCCCGACCTCTCCAGCTCGGAGCCTCTCCTCATTCTCGCTTAGCTGTACAACGCCCTCGTATATATCAATTGTAAAATAACTCCATCAAATACAACGATGTACTCAGGCAAGATGGTCAACGCGCACAAGATCGCATGCATTCCCGGAGATGGTATCGGCATAGAAGTTATCGAGGCAAGCATCAAGGTGCTTGAGGTGATGCAGCCGCTGTTCGGTTTCAAGTTCGAGTACACAGACTTGCCTTGGAGCTCAGCCTATTACAAGAAGAATGGGAGATACATGCCACCTGATGCTTTGGAGATATTGAAGGCGCATGATGCGTGAGCTGTGAACTGTCGGATATAGTGGATATTATTGACCCAATGATATCAGGATCTTCTTTGGTGCTGTTGGTGCTCCTGACATCCCCGATCATATCAGCTTGTGGGAGTTACTGCTACCAATTCGGTGCGTTGATTCAAATAAGTCCACTGGTCGCCGTCGCTCACCACTACGCCTTCTCTAGCCAGGGACTGCAGCTGGGCTCAAACGTTCGCCCTTCCAAGATCTTCAAAGGTGTGAAGCCCCCTCTGGCCAACTGTGAAGTGGGAGACCTTAACTGGCTCATCCTGCGTGAGAACTGCGAGGGCGAGTACTGCGGACAGGGCGGGCGCTCGCACACTGGCACACCGTATGCGCTAGGCACGGAACTGGCAGTGTTCACCAGGTTTGGTATTGAGAGACACATGAGGTTCGCGTTTGAGCTTGCGAGGCAGAGGCCGAGGAAGATGTTGACGCTCGTGACGAAGAGCAATGCTATGGTGCGCATACACCCACTCAGCTGTAAACAGGTATTAAAGTCTATGCAGAGGCACGGCATGGTCCTTTGGGACGAGTACGTAGAACTTCCGTTTGTCGATCGGTATCGGTCTAAGACAGATATAGGGTGTTTTACGACGTGGCTAAAGACTTCCCTGACGTCAAGTGGGACAAGATGCTTGTCGATGCGGTGACGATCCGAATGGTGCAGAAGCCGAAGTCGTTGGACGTCATCCTCTGCACCAACCTGCACGGTGATATTCTTTCAGACCTTGCGGCTGCACTCAGCGGGTCGATCGGGATCGCTCCCAGTGCGAACGTTGATCCCGAGAGGAAAGCGCCCGGCCTGTTTGAGCCTGTGCATGGAGCTGCGTTCGATATTATGGGGAAGGGCATCGCAAAGTACGTGTTACTGTATTTGATATCGATTCGCATTGCTGATGCTCATGATTTAGCCCCATTGCGACCTTCTGGTCTGCTGCTGAGATGCTTCGCTGGCTGGGTGAGGAGAAGGCGGCCGATGGCCTCATGTCGGCCATCGAGCATGTCCTCGAGCATGGTCCACTCACGGGAGATCTTGGTGGCAAGGCGAACACTGAACAGGTCACTCAAGCGATCATCAGCGCGCTGAAGCAGTAGGTTGCCCCTTGCTCAAATTTGTAGACACGAATGAGGGCATTGTGGAGAAATAGTTGATTGTACGTAACAAAATAAGGAAAAGGAATTAATGTTCGCTAAGCGAGGACCCTGGCTTTGATCAGCCTCCATCGAATTCCTAAATATGAAATTCTTGTCCGATAATGGTGGGTAATTCGAAGATAATGCAGTGCATATCAGAACTAGTCAGTTGTAGGTTCCCAACTAAACTTTCTGAACTAGAACTCTCAACATGGTAAACTTGAACTATCAGAGCTTGTCCTCAGGCACCGCAGCGAACAGCTGGAATGCCGGATGCCGAGATCCGCGGAGAGATCGGAGGCGCACGAACTTGCGAGAGAAGGGACGCCCGAACTTTTTTCGCCACTTTGCCCGACTAGGTGATACATCTCTCACGAAGTTTCTAGCAACGACGCCTCCTGTTGCACACGACTTGCATCTTGACGATATTTGCTAGTATTAATCTTCCCATCGCAAAACACCTCTGTAATGGCCGATTCGGGAAGCGATAGTTCATCTATGTCGGTACCACCATCGCCGACGATGAGCGACATGTCCCTCGACAGCGATTCGTCCTATGGCGACGATCCTGCAATGGCTGGGCTTTCGCTCAAAGACCACGTCTCTGACGAGGAGCGCGCTGCAGCGGGAAAGCTCAAGGCAGAGGCGAACAAGAAGTTCCAGGTACAGGATTTCAAGGGGAGCGTAGACCTGTACACAAGAGCGCTGGAACAAAATCCGCTGGATGCAACGTTGTTCTGTAATCGTGCGTGGTTCTTCAAGCAAGTAATATCTGTCTGCTAATGATCAAAAACATCAGGCGCATTTGCTCGAATGAAGCTCGAAGAACATGGGTTCGCAATGGCTGATGCATCCAAGGCAATCGAGTTAGACCCGACCTATGTGAAAGCATACTACCGTCGAGCGCTCTGTTACCTATCTGTGCTCCAACCACAAAAGGCTGTTTCAGACTTTCGCAAGATCATTGCAATTGAACCTTCCAATGCCCTTGCACGCTCCCAGCTAGAAGCAGCAACGAAGCTCGTTCGTCGGATTGCCTTCGAGAAGGCGATCGATGCTGGCGCAGAGCAATCGTTTGTCGACAAGTGCATGAAGCAAATCCAAGATGGTGCATGCGAACCAGATGCTGGATATGTAGGACCGCCAATGAGCAGAACGGCAGATGGAAGCTACGAGATCACCAAGGAATTTGTGGACGCCATGATCCAGTGGTATAAGGAGGGGAAGAGCATCCCGAGGCGATTTGTATGGGAGATCATCCTGGGATGTCACTCGATCATCAGCAAGGAGGAAACGATTGCCGATGTTGTGCTGGAGAAGGGTGTGACATGTGATGTTGTCGGAGATACGCATGGTATATCCCTTGCAATATGTGATTGAATATCGGCTGACAACTTTGCAGGCCAGTTCTACGACCTTATGCACCTTCTATCTCTAACAGGACCGCCAAGTGAGACCCATTGCATGCTTTTCAATGGTGACTTTGTGGACCGAGGAAGCTGGTCGGTCGAGATCGTGACAACTCTGTTCGCATACAAGTGGCTGTATCCGAACCGCGTGTTCCTGAACCGCGGAAACCACGAGGCGAAGGATCTAAACAAGGTGTACGGGTTCGAAGGGGAGTGCAAACACAAGCTCGGAGAGATGACATACAATGTAAGTATTATGTAATCCCTCCTTTAAAGATTGGCTGAGTCCTGACTATCGTATAGCTCTTCGAGGATGTGTTCACCGCATTGCCATTATCGACACTCATCACATGCACTCTGCCCCCCTCGTCCGAACGAATCAAGCCCATCCTATCACCCGAAGGAAAGAAGCGATTCTTTGTCGTCCACGGCGGTCTCTTCTCGAAGGACAACGTAACGTTGGACGACATCCGCCAAGTACAACGGTTCGGCAAGCAGCCCGGAACGGAGGGGATTATGTGTGAGATGCTCTGGACCGATCCCCAACCTCTGCCTGGACGCGGTCCATCGAAGCGCGGTGTCGGGCTCGGCTTTGGGCCAGACGTCACTCGTCGCTGGTGCGAGCTGAATGGTGTCACTGGTATCCTGCGAAGTCACGAGGTCCGGCAGGAGGGTTATGAGATCGAGCACAACGGGCTGTGTACGACCGTCTTCTCTGCACCCAATTATTGTGATCAGGGAGGTAACAAGGGCGCGTTCGTCAGAATTGATGCAAAGGGTGATAGGGAGTACCGCCAGTTTGGGGCAAGCCCACATCCGCCAATGAGACCCATGGTATGTCACCTTCCTTTCTGTGCTCACTGCCTCGCTGACCGCTATGTAGGCGTATTCAAACCCTGGTCTATTCGGCCTTGGCGGTCTGATGTGATGTGTCCCCGATGGCCTGGATCTCGGGTACGTGTTCTGTTAAGTGGCATTTTTCGCTATATTTTGCATGTATACCCAGCTAGATATATTGCAGTATATTGGGCCTAGGTCACCTATCGTATTTGCGCAATGAAAATGTTCTCTTTTTTCCAGAGTGGACGAAGCGCTCAAGCCACGCACTGGCCAGACCGTCAAATGAACATGATTCACGGGAGTTGGCAATCAAACCCCAAAGATAGGCCCCTCCAGAGAGAAAAGCTCGTCGCTCCCTTTGAATGGTCAAATTGATACGTCAAAACTTGTACTATCACGACACGGTCACAGGGCTACGTGTCTATCTCCCTAAATTCCTAGAAGCGTCGAATACTAATCGTTGCATTGTCCAACAGAGGGCTGTGGGTCACTTTCAAGAAGCCACTTCTTGAGGAAAGCTACCTTGCTTGCATTTACAAATTCGATGCAATTCTTCTGTTTGAATCTGCATTACGAAGTCAAGGCATCGCTCGTTTGGCAGCTTTGGAACCTACCCATGTCCTTCCTGTTCTCCCACTACTAGCCAAGTCTCGAGTCCTTTGGCCCGAACCCTGTTGAACATGAGGACGGCTTCGCTAAGCGGGACTCGACTATCTTGCTCGCCCTGAGAGCTGCATATATGTTTGTCAGAATGAGAAGGCAAACTGAAAAGCAGTAATCGGCACTCGCATGTAAAGCGGTACGTTGATTTCATCGACATGATTGACCGGTGCAATGCTCTCGAGGAATTTGCGAACTTCAGGATGCGACTCATCGCCATACTCGATTCTGATATCTAGTCAATACCGCAAAGCTGCTGAGATGGACTATATCGTACCGCCGATGAGCCCGCCGGGCCGGATGGGTCGACTCCAGAAAAGTGACCCAGTTAGCAATGCCACACGAAGCGACACCGCACCGAATCAAAGGAGAATAGTGAAACAGACATGCAAATGTCATGTAGCCACCATACGATCCACCTGTGACTGCAATTCGGGAGGCATCGATATCGGGCATCGATGTCCGAATGTGTTCGAGGAGTGCGCCGATATCTTTCACGGAATCCTCACGCTTGTATACGTCATCGGCTTTCTCGTACGCCTTCCCATATCCGGAGCTTCCTCTCACATTAGGCATGATGAGGGCTGTTCCCATTTCGTTCACGAGATAACCATTAAGCGATCTGGGCATGCATGTCAGATTTAACGCATTCAGTGAGGTTGGGAATACTCACACTCGGAAGCTTGGCCGTGCTTGAATTGATGGGCCACCATGGATGGAAATCACACAGGGAACCTTGCTTTCTCTATGCGTTTGAGTCGGCATGTATACCCAAGCAGGAATGGATAACCCGTCGAAGCTCTTGTACCGGATAAGCACAGGATCTGAAGTGGGATATCCCGGCTTTCCTGTCTGGCAAGCAACGTAAGGAGTCAGCTTCGGCGCCTCCGGACTGGAGAGATCCAATTCGGAAACGCGGGAAGCAAAGTGTGGAGAGGTGAAGCTGGCAACAATCGTATGAGGTCGCCCGTTGGCCTCATCGGAAATCGCAGCGGTGAGGATCTCCGTGCCGGCCCCGGGAAGAATAACTTGGTTGACCTTTTTTGATACCATGTCATACCGATACACATCGCAATAGCCATCTCGGTTCGCAGTGAAGAGCGCACACTCCGAAGTGAGGACTTGCAGTTGTACATCCCAGGGGATGGGGCAGATCGCTCTGAAGGATGGGTCTGGTGTGGTGAGATGCTGAACTGCGCCTGTCGCTAGCTCATATAGAACAATGCTCGCGAAGTCGCCGTATGCGTCGGTGACAAGGATAATCTCCGTGCTACCAACACAAGGTGAGAAGAGTGCACTTCTGATAGCCACCGTCGTGGTCGGATCTATACCAGGAAGGTGAATTTGCTTGGGTTGAGCTGCAGGGTTTTGCAGGTCAATAACAAAGCGAGGAATGTTCAAGCTTGAGATGCCTCGGGAGACGATGAGATATCTCTCATCGGCAGAGAATGACGATGCGACTGTGTTGCCTCCGGGATTGTCGAAGATCTTCACTGGATCCCAACCCGGATTACGGAGATCAATCATATAGATCTTGCTGTCTTTGTTATTCTCCATGTTGCTACTGAACGCAAGGAAGCTGCCTCGTCCTTGTTTCGATATTACAGGAGACAAGTACTTGAAGGAATCGTTGGTCAGACGTTCGACCCTCCCTTGACCAGGGTTAGTTGCAAGCTCCAGAGGGACCCGATCGAATGGCTTGTCCTGAGCCTCGTCTTCCCAATAACGCCATAATTGGAAGATCTCGTCTCCGTTCAAGTCCATACCGAAGATTGTCCCTCCTTTCCTGTACTGTCCGCTAAGATTATCGCCCAGTAGCGGTGTCCAGTCAGTGATCGTGCGACCACCCGAAATAGGGAAGTAGGTGCGACGCTTGGGAGACTTGTCTTCTGAGCCGGACACGGAGTACATCTGTGCCATCTGCTCAGTCGGTGGACGATGCTTGAAGAACAAGTCAGGCTTCTTGTGGGTCGCAATAGCAGCATCCTGAAGTAGATCAAAGGCAGCGAGATCGAAACCAAGTACTGAGAGTTCGTATGGCTTTAAGCCCTCCACGATGTCTGCTGACAAGGGAAGAACATTAACAGTTTTGATCCGGTCGAAACCATCATGTCGATCATACAGCATATCGTCTTCACCGGCCATAGTAGAAGTCAACTACGGGAAGACGGGTAAGAGAATACAACACTCACTAAGAACGCTTTATGTCCTCCAGAGCAAGGGTGGAGAAGTCGAAACATGTCGGACGTGGAACAATTCATGGGTCGTTGCTATCTTGGGCGTACAACGTTAACTGTGGGGATTCTAAGACCATGAGGAAGCGGTGCGTGATAGCCCGCTACCTAGACTTCTTTTCATGTGGATCGAATATCGTGACGCTTGTATCACGAATATTGTATTCTTTTGTGCCCTGTCTTCGGCGGGGACCGATCGTCCGTTGTGCCATGATAAAGCCAGTAAAGCACCGCCTTTTGATGATCATCGAGTTCCCTCATATCTTTCTGGAAGTTTTTGGTTAATATCAGGACATTACCTACGCAGGTGGATGCTTGAACTCGGCTGAGTTTCGACGCTGGATTCGCCGCCAAATCTTCTGACAACGCTTAGGTTCTTTTCACACACTACAATCTGATGAAGACCAATCTCCGTCTGGAGGTCAAGGACCACAGACTTCACTAGACGGAAGGCCATTGTAGCATGTGACTAAAGGGGCTTATTCTTGCCGGATGGCCTGACAAAGCCCCCAACTGGTGCGGTGCAATCCACTGGGGTATATCTACCTCATCTGACAGCCTTGACAACGACTCACGTATCGTTCCCTGTATCCTTGCCATTCACTCTGTGCGCTCCCAGTAACCCGCATACGCAAATAATGTCCTCCACTAAAGCGAACGAGCAACCAGTGCGCACAGTCAAGCTGCTCCATCCTCCACCGTACCCAAAGCCGAAGGATTATAACGCCGCGTTTCTGAGTTTATCGTCGTCAATCGGAGTAGCGGGTGCGGGTGGCATCATGTGCCCAAGGCTGCCGTTCGAGGATATCACAAAGAATACTCCGGAGATGAAGAAGTAAAAGATGTGCTAGGAAAGTTGTATGGTGGGTCGCCTTTCATTCAGTTGGTGGGACAGAGATCGACCAAGCCCCAGCAGATCTGACCGGTATCAATTGATCAATTGGTCAAGCACAGGGGTGGTGGTCGAATATTTCAGGGGAAACCCTGTTGTGCCTCAATTTAGTTCGGATGGCAAACGTGCTTTGTATGTAACGACACCAATCGCGGACTGTTTGCACGTGATTTTTGCATCCCTGTGTTTCAGTACGACCATTTGCACACAATTCGAACTGGCTCGCAACGGGACTGTCTTAGCTTCTCCTTGTCAAACAAGGCGCATGGTTAAGGTCAAATGTTATACTGCAGATGCGATAGCTTGTCGTCATCTGGATTGCCAACTTACTCTGGTTCTAGACGTGGGAACTCGCACGTGATCAACGCGCCCTCCTTTGTTTTGCACGAACGACCATCTGGCACTCGAACTGACTTGTAACTCGACTGTTTCGCTTTTGCTTTCTCTACCAGGCCTGATGTCCAAGGCTAAATATCTCATTGCACATGGGGTCTGTCTCGATTGCCAACTCGCTCTGGGGACAGCTGTGGGAAGAGTACCTGGGAACGATGTCTGACGGGGAGAACGATTGGCTCAGACTTGCTCGATGGTCATCCTTTCACGAGCTTGTAAGACCAGATGTCTGGCTTTCTCGATAAGATTGGAAGGCTCGACTGGGTATATAAGGCTTCGTGCTATAGATCCCCCAGCTCCTCTCACTACACTCGACAACCACCACATCCAACATGCACACCAGCACCCTCGTTTCCTTGGCCTACTTCGCCTTCGTGGCTGTCGCGACTCCCGCGATGCGAGACGGCACCAGCAACTCTGTCTCGACCTACTATACTGGGCCCTCCAACGCGAACTGCGTACGACAGACCTACAGCATCACCCTTCCCCCATATCAAGCCATCACGTTCGATACCTCCATCCCTGCCGATCCCGACCAGATGTTCATCACTGCTGGCTTCCAGTCCTTGCTCACCAGTATGACAAACTATACCCACATGACCGAAACGGGGACGAATACGACTACCGGCACGTTTGGTATCAGCGGCGTTCTGTGTACACCGAAAGCAGGGGATATGCACAATGGCGCGGTTCAGCTGCTTGTTCATGGGATTGGCTTTGATTCGTCTTATTGGGATCTGCCTTATCATCCGGAGAATTATTCGTAAGTATATGCGCTCTATTCAGTGGTTTTATGGCTGACTATGCTAGGTATGTGCAGGCTGCAGCGGCAGCCGGCTGGACCACCTTCCGTTATGACCGCCTCGGGACGGGCATATCTGAGCACCCTTCAGACGGCTTCCGCACCGTCCAGTCACCCACCGATTTGGCTATACTCGAGAAGTTCGTTACCATGCTGCGCTCAGGCTCCATCAATTCGACAGTTTTTGACAACATCGTCGGCGTCGGTCACTCATACGGTTCCGTCCAACTCGCCGCACTTAGTGGAAAGAACACCGCTGCAGTGGACTCGCTGGTGCTCACTGGATTCAGCGCAAATCAATCTTCTATCGGCGTGTTCACTGCGGGCGGGTTGTATTCTCGAGCAGCAGACGTGAGGCCGACAGAATTCGTCTCCCTCCCGGGGTCGTACGTAATGACCGGCCTGCCACAGGGGAACCAGTTTCAGTTCTTCTACTATCCTTTCTTCGACAACGGTGCGTTCGCTCAAGCAAGAGCAAGCGAGCAGCCCGCGACATTGGGCGTGTTCAGTACTATGACAAGCATCTCTGGCGACGCAAGTGACTTCACTGGTCCAGTCCATATCGTCACTGGAGACAAAGACCTGCCCTTCTGCGGTGCACAGTGCGATATCGTACCCGAAGGAATGGACGGGACGATCCTGCAGCTAACAAGGGATATGGTGTTCCCCAAGTCGGGTAACTTTTCAGTATACTCGCCTGCGAATACCGGACATGGAGTCAACCTGCATTTGTCCGCACCGGAGACTTATAAGGAGATTATGGGTTGGTTGGCGTCCATGTACTGAGGTATGGGGCTAGGCACATCAGATCCGAGCAATGTAAATAGAACAATGAATACCCCTCATTTATGAACTCAGAGGTCGGGCACATATCGGAGTGATGCATCGACCATGAGATGAATACACTGCTCAGGTGTTCCATGCAGATTCCTGCCTTCTGAATCCATGGGAATAGGAGTGGGCGTCTACTGCAGATGCTAGCTTAGTCATACACCCAATACTAAGGGATTGGCCCCGCTTGCTTCTCTCTGTCAGCATAGAAAAAGAAGAAATGAGTCGACCTGCGCAGTTCGTTGAGCTCGTACTATTCATTCAGCCGCATGTGGACAGCTCTTCTCAGGCATATCGACTGTGATCCGCACTGAGTGGATTTGAGTAAGCCTGTGTTCGGCATGTTTCCTTCCTACGATGTTGACGTCCACATGGAGGGCTATTGCTCAGGCATATGTGATGACTCCGCACTGGAGAATGTCGTGACGGCGTATTCTTGTCCGGATGGGATCAGCGCTCGATGTCAACATATATGTCTGTGTTTGTTCTGTGTTTGTTCGGCATCCTCAGCTGCGGTATATTAAGCCTTATGTCCTTTCGTCCTAGACTATCTTGCAATTAGAGCGCCACACCCAGCATGTTTTGGAGCACTGTAGTTTCTTTCGCTGCCCTCGCCGCCATCGGATTTGCGACTTCCACAACCAGAGACGGCGATCATTACGCTGGTCCTTCCAATGCGATCTGTGCAAGACACACCTACAAGATCATCCTCCCCCCCTACGAGGCTGTCACGTTCGCGCCGTCTATCGTCGCCGACCCCGACCAGATCACCATCACCGCCTCTCTGCAGGCCTTCCTCACCAGCCCGACCAATTCTACGCGTCTGAGCCAGACTGGGACCAACACGACTGCTGGGACGTTCGACATCAGCGGCGTGCTGTGTACTCCCAAGGAGGGAGATACGCACAGTGGTTCGGTTCAGCTGCTACTTCACGGAATCGGCTTTGATTCGTCTTATTGGGACTTTGCTTATCAACCGGAGAACTACTCGTAAGTGTGTGCGATTCTTCATGCATCTGAGGCTTATCCCGTGTAGGTACGTCCAAGCGGCAGCGGCAGCTGGATGGACGACCTTCCGGTATGACCGGCTCGGCACCGGTCAGTCTCACCACCCCTCAGATGGCTTTCGTCTCGTCCAAGCATCCACCGATCTCGCGATCCTCATGCAGTTCATCACTCTCCTCCGCTCCGGCTCCATCAACTCCACAGTATTCAGCAACATCGTCGGCGTTGGACATTCGTACGGCTCCACCCAGCTCACAGCGCTGAGCGGACTGAACCCCTCTGCAGTGGACACGCTTATCCTCACCGGCTTTAGCGACAGCCTGGCTTCCCGAGCGCTGTTCGTCGCCGGCGCGTTGTACACCCGAGCAGCGGATGTCAATCCAGCGGCATTCAGCTCTCTCCCGGGGTCGTACGTGATGACCGGCCTTCCTCAAGGGAACCAGTTCCAGTTTTTTTACTACCCGTTCTTTGACCCAGGGGCGTTCGTCCAGGCTAGGGCAACCGAGCAGCCCGCAGCGCTTGGCGTGTTCAGCACTCTGGGCACTATCTCTGGCGGGTCGAGTAACTTCACCGGGCCGGTGCATCTCGTCACGGGTGAGAGAGATCTTGCTTTCTGCGGTGGAGAGTGTGATGTCGTGCCTGTTGGTATGAATCGGACGATACTCCAGTTGACGAACGACATGGTCTTCCCGAAGTCAAGGAACGCCTCGGTGTACTCTCCCCCTAATACGGGACATGGTGTCAATCTGCATCTGTCGGCGCCAGAGACTTATAAGGAGATTATGGGTTGGTTGGAGTCTATATACTGAAGTACAGGCATAAGTGCAGAGAGTAACATAAATAGCACGATGATGCCTGTATTTGTATTCGTCACGTGCCAACTAATGACGTTGACGCGTCACTTGCTTGAAGCTCAATCAGGCAGCTCTCAGCAGCTCCTACTTCTCCAAGTCGTTTCTGCTATATAAGGACAGCAACTCCAATGCCTGTACTTCCAACCTCTTCAGTTGTCTAATTATATTACCTCTGGTGGTGTTCACTCATATGCCAGACGCCAAAGGAATCACTGAAGGGAACATCGAGTTCTGGCTGCTCACTTGATGTGTCTCGCGGAATGACGGCTGGTTAACTGGAATGCTCTCAAGCCGTATGGACCAGCCATCACGCTTGGGACATGTCTGCTACAATACCGTATTTGAACGGTTGATTGTGGGATGGGGGATAGTCATCCTCGACCATGTACTAGGCGGCACATAACATCTACAACCACACAAGGACATCCACAACCTAACATTCACTACACGACTAGACATGCCCCTCTTCCTCCCTCCTGGAACTAGCGCCTCATACCAATACACCCCTCCGCCCCTCAGCAAACCGCCCTCATCACACTCGTACACCGCTCCACCCTTCTCCCCATCCCCACTCCGGTACACCTCACTTCCCTCCCCCAGCTCCTCGCCCATTCTCCAGCCACCCTCGGCCTGCAGGACCGACCAACCCTCATACCCTTCAAGGAGGAGGAAACGGCCCTGGAAAGACCCCTACGCTTCCCCTTGGGCACGAGCCTGGCTGAGGCTAGAAGTCGACTGGGGGCTGAGTATGATGCAGCCCTGGGAGAAGGGGCTCTCTGGTGCGTCTGTCTGGCTCAGTACTTGGTTATGTGATGACTAATGTGGGTCAGTGGGTGTCATTATACTGGTGCTTTGTTTGCTGGGGCTGGCGATGTATGAGCTACCTGCGAGTGTGGTGTTCGTCGTTGGGAGATTGAGGTATTTCGCCGCGGGATATTAGATGCTTGTGGTAGAGAGGTTGAGAGGTGAGAGCGAAGAGCTAGATGACTGTATCCGGCTGGATTTGCATGTATAATTAACGGACCACATGTACTATCTTCATTTCATGTTCTACAGCAAGAGATTACAACCCTGTTCAGCAGGCACTCACTTCAAGGCGTGTCAATTTCCTCAATCGCCCCCACCACCGAAATCACCACCCCCACCTCCATCCCCACCGCCATCCCCACCGCCATCCCCACCGCCAAAATCACCACCACCATCACCACCACCATCCCCTCCGTCGCCCCACCCTCCTCCATCCCCTCCGCCGTCACCGCCATCACCCCATCCACCTCCATCCCCTCCATCCCCTCCATCTCCCCACCTACCCCCATCGCCCCCATCTCCCCACCCACCTCCATCCCCAGCATCCCCCAACATATCCCCCAACAACAGCCCTCCCGCTAATCCGCCGAACAACGGCAAGCCCATGCCCATGCCTCCCATGCCCCCTGTTCTCCCAAACCCTCCGGGACCATATCCGTACCCCGGATAACCCCCGTAACCGTACCTCTGGCGGGCGTACATCCCCCCTGGTGGTGCGAACCCACCCGGTGCGTAGCCTGCAGGATATCCTTGCTGGGCGATCTGCTGCTGCCGCTCCGCATAACGGCGCTGCATCTCCTACGATAGCGCATACATCTGTCCTCGGCATCAAAATTTGAGAACAAGAGGACGTACCTGTTCATGGGCTAAACGAGCTTGCCGCTGGCGCTCTTTTTCCGCGTCTCTCTCCTCTTTCGTCGTCCCGGTCAGTTTATCATGCAGTTTGGTAAACACCCCATGCTTCCGTGCGTGCGGGGCCGAGCCGGACGTCCCCGCCGGTCCGGAGGCGCCCCCAGCTGTGGTCGTGGTATGCTGCTGCTGTTGGGTATTGTGCCACACTTTGGCAGGGTGTGCATCAGGCAACGTAGAGAGATATTCGGGGTCGTCATAAGGATGAACCCAGATAGAGCGAGGTGGTGTCGCCCGCGTGTCGACATAGAAATGGTGGTTCTGACTTCATACCACCACCCAGTCAGCAAGTGCAGGTCGGGAACGAATAGAGACGCACGCAGGATCCCACTGTCTCACCCACCCCTCCGGCAGCTCGCGCATCTCGTCCTCCATCGAGCGTCGGGCCGTCAGAGCAGGGTTCGGGGACCCAGGTTGGAGAAGCTGGTTGTTCTGCCCGCTTTGGCCGGGCGGGACGTCTACCTGGTTCATGGCATAAGTGTAGTCTGGCGGGGGGTTCGTGTTGTTGGCCATTGGAGATTGCTAGGTGTTGGTCGTTGCTGGTCAGGGGGAAGGGAAGGTCGACTAGCGCGCGGTAGATCAGGGCATGGTAGGGTTCACAGAAAAGGGATGACGGTCAACACATCAGTGGAGCATGACGGCATCGACCATGTGATTGTCATTATCATCTATCAACCCCCATTTTGTGAACACGTCTTCTATACCCTCTGATGCCTTGTCATAGTATCAGCAATGCTCTTTGTAGAGAGTAGCGGTATCCAAGACCGTCCCGTTCTTGCTCGCCACAAACTGGTGCGTCATATGCGTGCGGTTATGGAACGTCAGCCTGCTCCACCCGTACACCTTGTCCGTCGCCACCACAGAGTAATTGTTTAGCTGAGCGTTGAGCGAATCGAGTCCATCGTAGTGCCCCGCTGCGCCGTTGACGATGTACCAAGGCGACGAGGGGTTGTTAAGCCCGTTCGGATCGGGGTTATCTATAGTCCACGAATCTCGTCAGTACAGAGGCATTGCAGAGTGACACAAAAGGACGTACAGTTCTTCATTGGCTGATTACGCTCATACACGTGGACATGGCCATGCATGACCAAGTCAACGTTATGCTTGATAAGGATCGGCTCGAACGTATGCCGGCAATCAAGGCAGATCGTCGAGCTCCTGTTCTTCGCACTTACGTACCATGGCCTGTGGGCACCGACGACGATCCAAGGCGTCTTGCTTCTGTCGACGCTGGCAAGATCCTGGTCGAGCCAGTTGAGCTGCTGGTTGTATGTCCCGAAAGGACCCGAGTTCTCGTTCTCCGATCCTCCCGGCTCGTCGGGAGACGTGAGATTCTGCCCGATATCCGTCTCCGTATCGATGGCAACCCAATGCACCATGCCGTGGTCAAATGAGTACCAGAAGTTTCCATTCCCGCTTGATTCTTCAGAAGGCATGCGGAAATGGTTGATGTAGCCCGTGAAGTTAGTCTGACCTGGAACGCAGATCGAGACGGTGTAGGAGATGTTGTGCACCGTGTCGGTCGTTCCACCGTTGTCGCAATTGGCTGGGATCCACAACACGTAAGATAAGAGCAACTTCATCTTTGGCGGACATACCCTCATGGTTTCCAGGGCCGACCATGTACGGCTTAACAGCGCTGATGGGCTGCATCTCATCGTAGTACTGCTCAAGCAGTGACTCATACAAAGTAGCGATGGAAGTCTTGTTGGGAATCAGACTGTCGTTGCCGAAGTACCCTTGCCACGACTCCTTCAGCGCGTAATCGGCATAGGCGATGTCACCAAAGTGGGCTAGGAAGTCGTACGTACTGAACCGTTGTTATCAGTGCCTCAACGCCTTATCATTTGATGATGAACTCACTCCTTATACATTAGCAAGGATTGGATGGTGTTCGTGTCGTTGGGTCCCAAGGGATTGGCAGCACCACCAAACCCGACATGGTTGCTCAACCCATCCTTCCCCATCAGACCAAGATCGACAGCAACGGCAGCCGAGTAAGGGGTCTCATCACCCGCTTCGCGAGCGGTGGTGAACGTGTACATAGGCAGTTCGCTGCACCCATAGCAGTTAGTGTTGCTGACGTAGTACCAGTACTTGGTGTTGGGCTTGAGGTCGGTTAGCTTGACATGATGATTCCAAGTGCGGCTGGTCGGATAGATAGTGCTGTTTCCGGTAGCCTTGCTGGTGACGTCGAACGGGTCGCATCCGTACCAAACCGTGGGGGTGTCAAGCTGTGCAAAGGTGTTCCAGCTGACGAACATGCCCCTGGCACCGGCATATGCGATACGGTGCTCGAGCGGCTCATATGGGTTGAAAGGTGTCGCACCGGGGACATGGGCAAATGAGAAAGATTCGTTCGTATTCGCCACAGCGAGGACTCCAGAAGCAGCGAGTACAGAGACAAGCAGGGAGAACAAAGAGAAGCGAGCCATGGCTGATAAACAGTCAGGCGCTGAGAATGTTAGACAGACTCTCAAGACCTCTGGCAAGGCTCTGTCAAGTTGCGTGCCCTTCTTTAAGTACACGCTGGATGCTAACTGGAGGCTCCGGGTCTTGATTCCCGTCTCTGGAATGAAGAAAGAGCGAGACCGAGGTGGGTCATAGTGGTGACTGTATGCATGCGGGCGTGTTCTTCCAGAAGGTGCCAATCAATACGCGCACGTTGGAAAGCATGCGTCTCAACTCTCGCGGATTAGGCGAAGGTACTCAGAGTCAGAGATCCAGAGATGAATTGGAAATTAGAAAGAAAGGTTTTGCAGCCAAGAAAAATCCACTTGAGGAGTGGTGGATGGAGAGCGTCGCATGCGGGAGCCGCAAACCAAGAGACGAACGTTCATGGACTGCCTCATATAACGGGCTCGACACTATAGACACCATGCGGTTCGGAGTAAACAGTTCAGCGGCAGTTCGGCGTGAGTTTTGTTGTCGCACGGTAGGTCTGAACACTTGGCAGGGGTTTGGTGACGAATCGGGTGCAAAGTGCGGAACATTTCCGCTGGTTATTCCGGCTTGGTGGAGAGTCACCGGTCAAGCCCATATGGCTCAGGAACACAGCAGCTGTGCTGAAAGATTCGTTGACATAACTTGTCGACATCGGTACTAAGTCGGGCTTACGGATGACGGAGGCGTCTTTGATCAGAATCGATTAGACCGATTGTGGGACTGTTCGCGTTCTTCTCCCATGATCATGATCCCTGCATGTAAGTTCTGACCACCCTCAGCTGCTGTTCCAAAGGAAAATACTTCCATCGTTTTCCAGGTTGGCACAAATGCACGCGCATTTGTCCGTCCATTAGGTCCGATTCGGAATTCATACTCGAAGCAGTTCCGGAGCCGGGCAGCCGAACCAAAGAGCGACCAGGCGTTCTCTCAAACTGCGGGACTGCCATTGGACACTAGAGCTGCCAAGGTTGATACCTGATTGACTCCCTGCGGGAAGGTGGTCTATTCGGTTCCTGATCCTTTTAATCTGAAGCGCACGCACGACTCTCACCGCTGAAGGCTCCCAGCACGAATCCACCTTGGATAATGAAAACCTGCTCATATTTGGACACCGATTTCTCGTTTGGCCACAAGATTGTCATCAAGTCGTTTCTGAGATCCTTAGTGGTCTGAACAGCGAGATCAAGGCGCGTGATGATGAATCCGTGCGTAAATAAGTTGAAGATTATTATGAGCACTGCCCCTTAGCGATCACGTGAGTGCTCTGTGTTCCGTGTCGTGGTTCTTGAGGCATTCTATTCTCTGTTTGAACTGCGCACGTACTGTCTAGCACGGGAATTTGTCATCAAGGTGGCTTGTCTTATATCATTTAAAATAGGAAAAACTAATGACACAGTGCTCAGAAACAAGGGGAACAGCACAGGATCATGGCCGTCAATATCCGCAATCCATGCAGAACTCATCACCGGAACTGCGGAGTTAAAGTATGCAGTGTCGCGCGTGTTCTCACCTCAAATTCCACCTTGGCTTCTATCCGTTCACAAACCAGTAAATACATACAGAGTGCGTGAACTTTGCACTTCAAGGCTTGCATATCTGCTAATGTCAGTCAGGCCAGAATAGTTTCCTCCGGAAATGGCACAGAGGCAGAATTAACTATACTGAAGCAAATATGAAGAAGCCGGGGGCAAAGCCACGCGCGAAAAGCACGTGGTTCACGTGGCACCACGTGTAGGAAGGAAGTAAATCCGGACCCTAAGTCCAAATTTAGAAGAGGAACTAAATCTGCTTCCACTGCGGCAGTGCGGGACCCGAGAAGGCTGAGGGTTAGCTAACCCTGGCCCATATTAAACCCTACCTCTAACCTATAACCCCTATTAATTGTCAACAAATAATATATTGAATATATGGAAGGTGTAGCATACACCATGTATATTGAGTGTAGTGCTAGGGAGACTGAAAAAGACATGGGACACGGGACACGGGACATCGGAGAGGGGGGAGGGGACACAGGACACAGGACATGGGACATGGGACATGGGAGACAGGAGATGGGTGACGGGACATATCATGTAGCAAATAAAAGACCCTTGCACCTAGAGTGAAGCGAGATGGGCTCCCCTAGTCTAATAATTAATAGCAACCCCCCCCTGGCAGTGTAGACAAGCACACGTGGCATTTGGGGGTGCTAGACGTGGATGTCGGACCCTGACAGAAATTTGTACATTTTGTATTACAGTAGTAATACAACTATTAATTAAAAAATCCTTTAACTACAAAAAAGTGTATAAAGTGTACAAAAGTGTACACTTGATTGTAAGAGCCTGGGTGAGACCCTCAAAAATGTGACTTGGGACCCTTGCTGACATTTGTACACTTTCCAATGGTAGGTGAATAAATTTATTAATAAATTTTCTAACTACAAAAAAGTGTACAAAGTGTACACTTGATAGTAAGAGCCCAGGTGAGACCCTCAAAAATGCGACGCGGATTTCGGACCCTAGCTCACATTTGTACACTTTCTAATATCCCAAAGTTCTTTCCAATATTTCTTAGATACCTGCTTTTCTATTTTTCTTTCTCCTGCAATTTCCTATTATGATTGAAATGTATGTAGATACAACAAATGTACCAAAAAAAGACTCCGAGGCAATACATAGGGTCTTTCACATAACTACGCTGAGCGAAGCGAGTCGGGTTAACCTAGTATCACAGTTCAAGTCGATGAGTCACGGCTCTATTCAAGCAACGAACGGATTGCCGACATCCAACGCCGCTTGGATGCTGAAATCGACCGCTTGAATGCTCGAGACCGAGTTTAATCTTGCGAAAGCAAGAAGACTCCGGCGCGTATTCGATGAGCAGGCAGAGCGGTTCACCGGAGAGAGCTTCCTCCTTCCATACTCCTCCCTCGACAGCCCTGTACCCCCCAGGGATTTAAGCACGCCAGAGTCAGCCGCATCCAACAGCACCGCATCGAGCGACACCACGTCTACCAGCACCCTCCTTTCTCTGGAAGCTGGCACGCGCACCAGGGATTATGTCCATGTGCCAATAGATTGGGAGTACAACAAGATCTACAGCGACTCAGAGCACTATCGCAGATATAGAGCATGGCGCAAAGAGGAGTGGAGACGTACCGTGAAGCAAATGAAATCAAGACTCTCAACGAAGAGGTCATCGAGTTGTGGAATTGGCTCGTCAGTGGCTCTGGCTCTCCGTCTGACGGTAGAGATGCGTGAGTCGTTGAGGTCTGATCTTGTCGTATGGTCACGATGCTCTCACTCACGTGATTTGCAGATACTTGCTTGCTTAGTGTCTACCACCCAAGCGTTCAGCTTACTAGAGTATAACGTAGTTTTATTCACTCTACAACAGTGAAGTTCTCAGAGCAAGGCATCGCATTACAAAATATAAGTCCTTCGGACCAAAAGTCCTTGCACGACATATGCTGCGCGTGGACTCAGTCTAATCGAATAGTCGTAAGGAACATAACAGACGCGTTTAAGCCTTGATGAGCGTAAGGGTATCTCCGATGGAGCCGTCGTCACCCTTGATATACTGCCACGTCGCGGTAGTCTCGTTGTGCACGGTGAGCTTTGAGTAGCCGTAGTGGAGGAAGTCCAGAACGGCGGTGATGTTAAGCACCTTCTCGGTGCCGAGCGTGCTGTGGGACTCAATGTTGCCGGCCATGCCGTTGATGAGGTGGACCATGGACTTGCGGCCCTCAACAAGCTTGTAGGTGTTGTTATCCACAACGCCGGACATGTCGATCGTTCCGTTCGCGCCGAGAGGCCAGAGACGCTCGTACCAGTGGATGTGGCCCGAGAGGTACAGATCCACGTTGTACTCGAGGAAGAGGGACTCAAAAGCAGCACGCATGTGAGTCTGGTACGAAGAGGTCTCGGTGGAGTACATAGGACGGTGAGACATGGCGAACACCCAAGGGGTCTTGGAGCGGTCGATCGAAGCCAGATCCTCCTTGATCCACTTCAGCTGCTGGTAGGCAGAGTTGTTCTTGTATGAGCCGTCAATGGCGCCGAACGGACCAGAGTCAGTAGGGAAGGTCTGGTTCTGCAGAGGGTGGGTCTCGTTGCCAGTCAGGTCGGCAACGAACGGCCACTCGGGGGACTGGTAGTAATCCGTCTCACCGTCGAAGGAGATGAAATGAGCAAGACCGTAGTCGAAGGAGTACCAGAAGTTGGAGACACCGCCCGTCTCGGCACCAGGCATACGGAAACGATGGTTGTATGCGGTGAAGTTGCGCTGGGAAGGGGGGCAGGACCAGTAGGAGAGCTCGGAGCTGTTGGCAGTCGAGTTGATCTTGCCGTCGACGAGGAGGGCGGTGAGCTCGTTGTTCGGGCCATCGAACTCGGCGCATGACGCCTCGTGGTTACCAGGAAGGACCATGTACGGGACCTTGGTGGTGATGTTGTTGATCCATTGCTGCCAGAGATCCCAGTTGCTCTCGTACAGAGGGCTGATGTCACCACCGTAGGGGCCACCCTGGTTGGGGATCTCACCTTCGGGCAGGGGCATGAAGTACGTGGGGGGGAAGTCACCAGGGGGGAGCTGACCGGTGTTGTTGGTGCCGTTGTAGCAAACGGGCCAGTCATCTGCGCAGCCGAGGATACCAGAGTACCAGTCATCAGCGTAGGAGATATCACCACCGTGCCAGGCGAACGCAACGCCGTCGTCGACTGCCTTGAGGAGCTGCTGGAAGGTGCCTGCAGCGTTGGTGTACCCCATATCGTTGAGGACCGCGACAGAGAAGCCGGTCTTGTCGCCAGCCTTCTTAGCAGTGGAGAAATAGAGGATGTGAGACTCGGCCGTGCCGTTGCCACCCGGAATCTGGTAGTAGTACGTCTTGCCCTTCTCGAGGCCCTGGAGGGAGACTTCATGGAAGAACTGGGAGCACTGCGTCACAGAGACCAACGAGCAGGGAGGCGTGCGGTCGTATCTATAGTGCGTTGTGGGCAAGATGTATGCGGTCAGGTGACTTTGAGACTCACGTGCGACTGTGACCGAATGCCTCGTAGACCAGCTTCTCAGGGTGTGTGCCGTACTTGACCATGGGGGCCTTGCCAATGCCAAAGGGAGTCTGGAAGTGGACGTGGACGCCATCAGGGAGGTAGGAGTAGGAGATGACGTTGATGTTGTTGGTGGGATTGGCAGACTTGGGCGAGACGGCGGGGTGCTCAACGAGACGAGGGAAGCCCTTGCCGTTCCCGTTGATGGTCTGGTCGACGAGGTCGCCGATGGGAACCGCAGGTCCAGTGTAGGGATAGGTTGTGTCTACTGCCTGGGGAGCGGCGACGACGAAGGATGCGGCGAGAACGCCAATGATGGCAGCGACGGCCTTCATGGTGAATCCCTGTGGGTTGAAGTGGGGCTATACGGGGGAGAAGTAAGCCGACGAGGGAGCCTTGGTGTTCCATTGGGTTGAGCGTTCTTTAAGGGGGAACGGTGCCTTTGCTAAAATTGGGATATTCATGATGAGAACCATGAAGGGACGTTCGGTGCTGGCCTGGTAGGTGAAGTGATCCTTGTGGTTCAACAGTGACGCGCTGTCCCTTTCGTCATCGGGTCCAATCACATCTTCCCTTTTTCGTCCTTGTCCGCGCCACTTCAACGCCCTTAAACTTCTGCATCCACGCACGTGCATCGTTCAACTCAACCTCCCTTGTTCACTTGTCACAGCCGGCGTTAGCCTTGTCTCACCGCACCACATGCACCCCCCACATGCACCTCCATATACCTCGAGTCTGCACGTGCAACATCCACCTTCCCACACTGTACAGTTCTAATTCAAGCGTTCCCGCTGGCCAAATCGGATCCACGAGGAAACGAGAATCTGATTAGACATCCCCGGCGCCTGCTTTCGAATCAGGTCTCAAACATCTCGGCCCGCCGACCAAAACTCAATTATTTAACGGCACCCAATGACAAATTTCTCAATTACAACCCTGTCTTGCACTGGATCAACTGAATGAATAGACTCAATAAAGCGATGTTGAACCTCTGTATATGTGAGAAGATCTTCTAGACGTTTTGATACATCAAACTACTGAGCAACATGTATATTTATTTTTCAAATAACTCTTGGTGGCTATTCACCGCTGGCCGATGTTTCGTTTCCCTTGCCGGCGATTCGGTCCAACCATGCGCACAGGGCTGGGAACGCATGCTCATCCAAGTTGCTGGCACACCGATCTTCGCCCTTTCTCTCGCCTCCTCCAATTCCTCCAGCTCGCGTGCCTCCTCCTCGGCATCTCCGCGTTCCTGCCAAGCGCTGGCTTCCTCTTCCAACACGAAGAAGTACACGCCACTGGAGGACGATGATCCACCACTAAGCGGAAGCGCCGTCCGGGTTTCGGAGTTGGAGCAAGCCATGCTTCGACGTAACGCACGTTTATGAACTTTGCAACTCTACAGACCCTCGCCGTGGGAAGCTTAATTCATTCATGAAAACCCGGCGGCTGCAGAGTGTACACTCCGCAAACCAACACATGTGGCTTTATTCGCTATGGGATCAACGTTCCTGGAGATCGGAACCGCGGTTGTATTGATGGATATAAAGGTCGTATGATCTGTGCACTGCAGTGAAGTAGGCCTCTTGTCATCAAAAGTTGCTCATTTGTGTCATACAGACATCCCGTTTGTGCTGCGCGGTTATACAAGGCTCACGGACGTCCGGTCCTTCCGCCGCTCTCCGAACGAGGTGCTCTGCTTTGGCCTCATCACCTTCTACCAGGAATGATGAACATATTTCATACCCACGTCCAGACTGCCAGGCATTGGAACCATATCCTCCACCATGTCACGTGTCGTGTCAAATTCTGGTGATTCACCATTGAATTAAACCCTGCAAAAACCGTTTCTTAATCTAAGAATGACCTGTAGTCCGGAATCACACTCATAACTCTCAGAGATGCAGCAATGTTACTGATTGATATCAGTAGCAAGGAGATCTGGGTTGTTGATGTCATTTGTTTGCGATGGGCTCCCTCCTCAATGAAGTTGATACTTCAAGTGTTCTTCAATGCCTGTGTTTGGGTAGGCAGTTGCCTAGTGCGTGGTTGGTTGAGCATCTCCTACTAGAGCGGTGAATGATCCCAATTAAACTCAATTTACAAATACACATCAATTTACATCCCAGGACTTGTGAAGGACCATTTTCACTCGGACCAGACTTTTGAACATGGAACATTATTTCCATTTATGGAGCTGGATATTTCGAAAGAGCCACAAAGTGCTCTTGACGAACTGTTAGATGAAGCAACAAATGGATGAAGCAACAAGAGATCCATCTCGGTCGCGCGACCTCCCAAAATGGGTCTTGGCGATGACGTCACACTCTGCTTTCGCGATCCTCCTGACCTCACAACTTTCCCTTACTCTGGCTCTCGAGGCTCGCTCTCCCCTGAATCACGCTCTTCCCATGTAGATCGTATATAATCTCTCTTTCCTGGGTGCAGGTGCTTCCCTCTCTTCGGTTGTATCATCCACCCCAGACGCAGTGAAACGCCTCCTCCAGCACTTCACGGAAACCAACGGCAAAGATGAGTCAGTTCGAAACTCATCCAGGAGATAAGAACGCCCCTTCGTTCGCGGTTGTCGCTAACCCAATGGCCGATACGAACGTGCACCACGACCACCAAGCGGCGAAGAAGAAACATCGCAAGCATCGGAAGCGTACCGGCCCTCAACCGCATGGACAGCACGAAGGGCCCGAGCAGCGTTATGAATTTGATGAGCGTGGTCAGCATAAAACTAGTGCCGGAGACAGGCTTGTGGCTTCGTATATGCAACACGTGGATGACAGGGACGAAGAGGAAGAAGATCTTCTCGACGTAGTCATGTCAAGCATGCCTGGGAAGAGCATCAAGGAAAGTGGAGCGAACCGAGGGGAGCAGGGGTTCGGGTACGACGGATGGGGGGAAGAGGATGGTTCGGGCGAGGGAGAGGGCAGAGGTACGACTGGAGAGGAGTACGAGGTTTTGTGCGTCTTCCCGCCTTCGTTTGACCGCATATATGCTCACATTGACCGACTGATATAGGACAACCAAGCCAAGGAAAGAACCAGGCGAACCGTCCCAAGGTGTTCACTTCGACATGCCCCAGGATGCGACCTCCGCCAACTTGGGTAACGACATGTCGAAGAGCCCGAAGGAGCTGAATGAGGTGAAGGGTACCCAAGGTCAAAAGTCGCAAACCACCGGTCCTCAGAACCAGCGCACATTCCTTGAGAAACACTGTGATTTCTTCGACCCCGATGGTATGCATACATGCAACGTGCGTTCCCGGGAGTGTGAACTGACAATGCACGACCCAGGTGACGGACAGATCTGGCCCATGGACACTTTCTTTGGCTTTTGGGTCTTGGGCTTCTCTCTGCCGATCTGCCTTTTCTCCGTCTTTGCCATCCACTTTGCGTTCTCTTGGCCGACTCAGCACTGGTTTCCCATCCCCGACCTGTTTTGGAGGATCAATATCGACAGGATCGGCAAGCATGGGAGCGACTCAGGCGCATATGATCACGATGGAGGGTTCGACAAGAATGCATTTGATAGGGTGTGTCTCACCGTGTTCTTGTACGGCGGTGACACACCCTAACGCAATTTAGATGTTCACAAGAAATGCAAAAACGCACAAGGATTTGTTGACAGGACGAGAACTTCTCGGCCTGATGCTACAGAACAAGGTAATTTATGACCCGTTCGGCTGGTGAGTTGCCGCTCTACACTTACACAGTACATGTTCAAACGTGATCCTATAGGTTTGGCGGTGCATTCGAATGGCTCTCGGTCTATCTTCTTTTCTGGCCCAGAGACAACATGTTCCGCCAAGAAGATATCAGAGGATTATACGATGGCAGTACATTCTACGAGATTGCCCGAGAACAGAAGAAAAAGGGCAGGTACACGCCGCCTGGGTGGGAGGACACTGTTTCCGGTTTCCGGAAATAGTGCAAGCCAGGCTAACATTGCGAGTGTCCATCTGCGTGTCTGTTGGGCTCATTAGTTTTAGCTTCACTTTCTGTTACACATACGCGTCTCCTTTATTGCAAATGAATATGCTGTTCTCTATCGCGAACAGGGTGTGTCTCTCTAGCAAGCATTTGCCACTTCAGCGCTCAACCATGGTCGAGAACCTCTGGAACAACAGATGTAGAGAGAAGGCGCGTATCAATCTACAACCGGCGGCAAGAAACTGTCCCCATCACAACCGAATCCGGCATCTCGGCATCATGTATTTGAACCCTGGCACGTGAAATTTCCCATGCTACCCTTGTCCCTTTTAACTTGTTTGTCGAAGGTAACCATGTTCGTTGTCGTTGTCGTCGTCTCCCGTCGTCTCCGTTGTAATCAATCAATCATCCACCCTCTCTCTACCCGCCCTTCCGCAACCTGTGGATGAATGCTCACCGCAACACAAGTGCGCAGCACCCCATAATCCCCCTCCCTTCTCCCTTTGAGAATGTAGGACTATCGCCCATCCCACCACCATCCCTTCCTTCCCTCCCACCATCTTTCGTTCCCATTTCTTGTCACTGTATAAACGAGTCGTCCTGGTAGACGGCGTCCTCTCTCTATAGCTGAGCTATCCACCTGTCGAGCCCAGCGCTCCAATTCTCTTCGACTTTCGACTGGTCATCCTCAGAGCGGGCTTCCCTCACCCTCCTGCGAAAAGCACTCTCAAACACTCTCAGAATCAAGTCAGAATTATGGCCTGCCGGACACTCTCTATCTTCTCTGTGTTTCTCTCTATCCTCCTCGCTGGCCAAGCTGCGGCCTTCATGCGACCCGCTCCCCATTCAAAGCCCACACCCGTTACGCGTAACGAGAGGATCGCACGGTCACAAGAGCGCCTGCAGAGGAGACAAATGGCGAGCGTGGTAAGTTTATTCCAGAATACCAGGAGATATTGGTACTGATTTTGTTCCGATAGACTACCTCAGCCTGGGCCCCAATTGAGACCAAGCTCCAAACGTACAATGTCACGACGTATGTTGTCGTCTCTGGTGTCTCAATCCAGCTCACATCCTCTCAGATCTTTCGGTACCGAAATATGGCAATGCCTTACCATCCTCACCCCCACCATCGATGCCTCAGGGGAGCTGGCATACGAAGAAGACCAGTCCTGCACCTTCACCCTCATCGCCGACCCCGGTGTGAACCCCGCCACGCTCCCCGCGCCCTCCGCCCCTTCTGGCGTCCTCACCCCAGACTCGAGCCCCCTTGCAACGATCCAGAGTGCGCTGTCTATGACCCCTACCCTCTCCGCAACAGCTGCGGGGGCAACGATCATCACATCTGTTGACTCTGCGGGTGATACCACCTTCCTGATCCCTGCAGGGATGACCTCAGCTCTGGCAGGTGGAGCACCAGGAACAACAACGACCGTCTTTCCTTCGTCAGCGACGGCCAGTGCAGGATCTGCGTCTGTTGGTGGTCAGCAGGCGGGTGACCAAGGCGCGAGCATCGTTGTACGTATCCCTTCCTGCTGCTCGACCTAACGGTGACTGACATACACTACCCGGTATACAGGGCACGAGCTCCATCCCAATCTCACAGGTCGTCCCCGCTTCCTCCTCCATCCCGACGGCCTCCGCTTCCTCAGACTCGGCCAGCTCATCAACAGACTCGGCAAACCCCACCGCTCAGCTGAGCAGCATCCTCCTGCCCAGCTCGACAGCCCTGCCGGACACAGCCAGCTCATCCTCTGTCCCAGCCGGCTCACAGCTCGCCTCTATCTTATTCGGCTCTGCCTCCCCCTCCAGCAGCTCCGCCGTTCCCTCCGGCTCGCGCCTCCCTAACTCTGGGGCCTTGTCATCTGCCAACGATACGACGACCACTGCGGCCCTGACTATCCCTGGGCAGACTATTCAGGTACTCCCCATTGGGTTGGGTGTATTCGCTGGGATCATGGTGATCGCCATTATCGTCGTGTGTATTGTCACCTTCGAGAGGACACAATATAGGAAGGCATTCCGTGCACGGAAGATGGCCGAGCAAGGCGGTGCAATGGGGTATGGTGGTATGGCTGAGCGCGTCTGAAGTTTGTTGTTGTGAAATCATCTGGCTAATAATACGAATGGACTGGCTAGTTCTATCTTTCTTCTCTCTTTGGTTGGAATTTCAATGTGGAATGTTCTGCTAGACAGGAATATTCATTCAGTTGGCTACGGCTAGTGTATACATAACACAACGGCCTGAGCTAGCGACTGTTGTAAAACACTGTTAAAACACGGCGCTGTTGCAAACATCACGTACGCAACAAAAAAAGGTACAAACTGACCCATCAATAACCTCGTAACCAGATGGACCCAGTCATTGTCCATGAGAGAAAAAACTAACACAATAAGGGAAGAGAATGATATTTTTGGGGCTTTGCATTTGTCGAAGAAAATCAGCACCTGGAAGAGAGACCCAGCAAATAATAAGCAATGCCGACGCGCGACACTGGAATGAACGGGAAGGGGTTATCTGTAAAGTTACGAGCTTAGTGAAAACAAAGTAAATCGAGAAACAGAATCATAGAAGATAAAAATTCGGCTTTGTGAGGGTTGCAGTTTTTCAGAGAGTTGAGCGATGGTATTCGAGACTTAAAGCGCGGCGAGGCCATAGTTGGAGGAATGAACGGTTCCCGAGGAGTAGAGGCCTTGGGTACGACCATTTTGGAACGACCGCTGTTGACGAAGATGATTGTTGGGAACTGCAGCATCCTTAGTGGCAATCCAAACCGGCAGGAGCTGAACTTACGAGGGAAGGGCTCCAATTCACCCATGCGAGGACCAGAAGAGTAGAAGATCTTGGGACGCCATGCCTCACGTTCCTCCATGACACCAGAGTTACGGAACTTCTCGACCAGAGCCTCTGTTGCATCGTTTAGTCGCCGAAACATGGCTATTTCACAGATTCTACCCACCCTTTCCTTGATAGTTAGCATAGCTCATATTCAGCACTTTCTCGGAATTAAACATTCCCCTAGCGCGATCTCAGCATGAGCTCTGGTACAAACGTGTGAACCACGTACCATTTCTTGCCCAGTTTAGTTTCAGCAAACCTCAGTAGACTATCGACATCCATAAAATTGACAAAAGCATATCCGACCTGGTACCTGTAGTCAGCATTGTTGTCATAACTATGGAGGGGCCCGTCACATACATTGCAGTGATTTTCGAAATCCATACGAAGATAAAGGAAAGAATAAGACTTGGGGGTGACCGTATCAATGAAAGCCATGAGGTGCTTGTCAGTCATCTACATGATGCTTAGCAGTTGTTTAAACAGGGAGAGGAAAGCGACTTACTTTGTTAGGCACGTTCTTCAGCATAACAGTCGTACGAGTGTCCAACCCCTCTCGGATGCGGTTAAGGTCGAGCTTGTTGCGTTCGGGAGGGGGCTCCCTGAGCACCTCGAGTACAGAACGGGCAGCAGCGGGAAGGTAGGCATGAGCGGCCTGCGCCCCGGGTGTGCCATGAACAACGCGTCCCTGGCGACGAGGCGGCGTCTGAGTTGGAATGAAGAACTCAGGCGAATCTGCGCCCGAGGACCCGCCGCTAAAGGTGGTGCTGGCAGAAAGCGGGGGAGTGGGCAAGCGGAGAGGGAGAGGCCAAGTCATGCTCCCGCCGTCGTCAAGCTTGGGCGCGGGCAGTGGGCCGCTGTAGGGAGGCAGCGTGAGCTTCTTCGGACTAACGAGGCTGGATATCTGGTGGCTCGTGATACGACTAGGCGTGCGAGGGGAAGGGTAGCTGGGGATGATAGCCTTGTGGTGATCCGCACCATAAATATTGGAGCGCTTCCGCTCGCGCTCGAACTCGCCGTGACCATCCAAAGGAGAGCCGAATACGTTCGAGTCGGTAAAGGACGCAAAGCGTTCTTCGCGCTCGTCGATCCTTGGACTGCTGCCCGGGAAAGAACCGCGACGCCCCAGCGTACCGACGCTTGCGTCGAACGGACCACCGCGCGCGATATCCCCGCCGTCCGGAGTCCTAGCACAGAGAATATTCGCCTGCTCTTCATCTCGCAGACTGGCCTCGACGATCTGGCGATGATGCTGGAAGAGAGCGAATTCGTCCTGCTGGCGCTGGAAATCGGCAATAGTGAGTGCCGGGTCGGTGGTAAGAGTGGTGAGATCGAGCATCGGAGGGGGTTGGCGGTGCGTGAGGCGAAGAATCACGCCTTGGGCATGACGGTTGTCAAGCTCCCTCACTGCCTCATCGGCATCGCGAGTGTCAAAGAACTCGGCGAAGAAGGCCTTTAGAGTGATAAGCATCGATGGCATTTAGACGGAATATACATAAACGCTCACCTTCCCGTGGGTGCCGATGACCCTAAACTGCCGCAAATGGCCGTACGCAGCCAAAACATTCGCTAGGGCCGCCTGGTTCAAATTGCCTTGACCCATTGTCGAAATGTAGACTTCACCGGCACCAACATCCACAAAGAAAGAAGGTCCAAAGTACTAGGCATGAAGACTGAGTGTGACGGCGAGTGGTTCTGCTGGGAGAACGTTACCTGGCTGAGAGCAGCTGGAGAGATGAATTGAGTCTGCAAATGGACCCCTTCTTTGAAGAAGCGCTGGATGCGCATATGATACCGCGCACTCGCCGCCTCACGCATGTCGTAGAAAGCAATAATAACCTGAACAAGATACAATGAGTACGTTGACAGCCTTGGAAAGAATGGGTCAGTTATCACTCACCTTTCCTTCGTCCCTCAGGAACCTGATGTACAGACCTTTCAGATCCCCCAGCGTCTGCCCATATAATCAGGAATGATACAAAACTAGCTGAAACAAACGCTTACAGCAAACGCATTTTTCAGATCTTCCTCGCTCTACCTGCGTGTCAGTGTATGCGTCATCTTATCTCGAATTATCCTCACCGTATCACGAGGCACGTTACTGACCTGCATACATGACTCGCGTTAACCCAGAAGGCAGATGTATGCGCATATATTCCACTTACCAGCAACAGCCTCCCAGCGCGTTGTATACCTCCATCCGAATCGAGGATGCTGATAGGACGTTGAGGCCGGACACGTTGTGGCCTAAGGGGGGAAACAAGCGTCGCCTGGCTGTCAGTCGAGTTTCCGTCCTGATCGGACTCGGAAGACATCGTAGGGTGTTCGGTGCGAGGAAATTGAACTCGAAAAGGACTGTTCAAGTTGTCTTCATGCCCATTCTGAACGGAGGACGACTGCTGGGTGTCTTCCTGGCGAACAGTGTGAGGAGGAGAGGGAAGCATTGATGGATGGGAAGCAAAAGGGTCAAAGCGGGAAGTCGTTGTACGAAAGGGTGAGATGGGAGAGATATTTGCAGCTTGCTGCTGCTGGGACCGGAAGAGGCTGTATTGATGAGGCGACCTAGAGGAAGAATATCCCTGATCATACTGAGAAGTGGGGCCGTTCGGGCTCATAGGTGGGGTGAGAGGTTGCCCTGTTGATAATAAGACATCGATTCAGGCCGCATATTGGTGAAAGAAACACTAACCAGGGGCGCGAGCGTCGTTGGTATGCCCATTCGGATGGGTGATGCCGAGGGGACTGATAACCTGCCCGTGGTGGGCGCTGTCAGGCAAGAGTCGAGGGCGAGTAGGAGCACGAGTAACAAGAGTTCCATTGGGCTGACCCATCCAGATGTTCGGCATTGAGGCCGACGGGTGAAGACGCGGACTAGGGCGAGCGGACAGCTGCTCCTGGGCGGTGAGCTGCAGGGGCGACGCACGCGAGTCGCAGCGGTCGTTCTCCTTTGCCATATTGTAGCCGATGTTAGGCTGGAAGACAAACGGCGATGAGTCCAGGAAGGCTGTGGAGAGAATGGGGGTTAGCGATGTGTGTTGTTGCTGCATGCTTAGATCAGGCGAGCAAGACATCAGGAGGGGATAGAGGGAAAGAAGAGGGGCAAAGGAGGAGGAAGATGCAAAGGATTGGCAAGGGGGGGAAAGAGAGATGAGGGGATGACGGACCTGTATGCGCTCTTGAGCTCGGCTTTTATGCGTCTCCGGACGAGGTGCTTCAGGGCTAGAACACGCGGCGGTTTTCGGTGGGGGAGACGGTACACGAGGCTGATGAGCGGGGGAACCGGGGCACAGACCTAGAGCGATGGCAGAGATAGAAGACCTCGTGTTTCAGCGAGGTGAGAGACCCTCCACTAGAGGTCCGTGAATGTGAATTGTCAGAAATGGGGTGCAAGCAGAAACACGTTCCTCGATCGTGCGAGAGAGAGAGAGGTGGTGTGCCTATTCAAGCACGGCTCAATATCCCGTGTTAACGCAGTAGCTCGTCAGATGGAAGTGAGGTGGTTGTCAAAAGGAAAGGAAGAAGAGAAGACGCTTCTGCGCAAGAAGGGAAGAATGAATAGAAAAACACTGGGAATGAGGTCAGGAGGCGTTGATGTTGGTTGTTGGTCCTCGTTGTCAGCTGAACGGCGATCAAATACGCGTCGGGGGAAGGACCGTCATCCGGGAAAGGCAATCAAGTTCCAACGGAAGGAGGGGTGTGAAATGGAGTATGCGATAGGCGCTAGGAATCCGTGGAACTTCTTCCAGGATCCCAATTCATAGAGGAGAGCTACCATGCCGTGGAAGATGTTGCGACGCGTCCCGAAATGGCAATGTCAACGCGCCTGAGACCCTGGGCAGGTAATTATTGACAAGGCTGAGAGCGTGACCTCCCGTTCTATGACGCCACCTCGGACGATGTATGGACGTCCTCCAGGTAACTCGACGATAGAAAGATCCACTGAGCGTGAGACAATGCAGTAACGTTTCCATAATCCGACTGAGATACTCGGAGGAGCGATACAGAAAAAACGTCCTAGCAGGAAGAGAAGGCGTCATCTTGAGCATATACGGAAGGATCACTGGCTAGCGGCGGAGATGGAGGGGCCATCCGTCAGGTGGGCAGAATGAGCGGGTATAGAGAAGTACATAAAAGGGAATAGAGGATATCAAGGGAGCGGCGGAGAGACGAACGGCAGAGGAGCGGAGAATGTGCAGAGGAAGCAAGGGCTGAGGAAGGATAGAGAATTGCCAATTTGGGGGGGCACCTGGTACTCTCATCCGAGATTCTGCACAAGCGAACGGGTGGTGCGGACCCCTGCAAACGGGAACGAGGGGGGCGCGCTGAAGATCGGTTCAAGAAAGAGTAGGCGGCTACGTCGTAAGGCGAGAGAGAAGCAAGCGAGCGCGTCTCAGCCGCGGAAGCAGAATACGCCGATGGAAGCCGATTGACACCGATTTGGTCAGGTGACGAGAAGGGTTACGAAGTTTTGGGACTTCCCGTCCATATCTCGTTCTCGCCCCTTTTCAACAACTGCCCCCATTTCTGGATACGATATTCCCCATTCGCTCTTTTGGTGACTGCTCTCATCGCATATTTTGATCAACTTGTTGTACATCACCAACCATCGTAGCAAACTCGGTATTATCAGCTATTGTCAATGTCCGTGACTCGACATCACATCGGCCCTGGTCCGCGCCTTCCCACTCCCTAACTGATGAAAGGACAGAGTGGCGGCCGGCCCGAAGCGGAATCCGAGATAGCTGCACGCGCTACGCCCTGCGGAATGACCCTTTCTATTCATCCAAGTACGGCACAGGCGCACGTCTAAACGTTATCACCGCACACTAGCCGCTCGGATTAGGCACATTCTCCGTAGAAGGCTCCGCGATCCAGGCTCATTGTTGTCTTTGTCGCTCTCCGCGGAACTGCTGTTGTCAAGTTTGTGTCCCTGTGTTCAATTCTTTGGGCGCTCCGACCCGGGGTAACTCTACGGGCGTTATTCGGATATGGATAGTCCCGTGTACGTGCACATCTACCTTCCATTTTGAACGTCTTCTGTAGGAGAACGCCCACCCACTCAAGTATATGCTCCTTGGAAAACGTTTCGCGTCCAGACCATGGATATACGTAACTACGCAGAAGTCGAGTCACGTATGGCTCGGTGTCGTGAGCCGCTGTGGCACGGAAGTGGCAAGGACCAATAATATTCTTGCAACAACATCAAACCCTATCAATGCCATCGGTCTTGTCGGCGCCGCGCCTCGCGCTAGCCTCGTGTCCCGGTCTGGTCGTACCATACGACCGGATTTGGGGTGAGAAGTGCTCACTGCTGTTCAGATTCTCCGCGGCGGATATCAAATGTATCCTCCTCGAATCGTGCGGCGCTACCCCAATTCCACCTTCTGCAAGGGGAAGATGGACATTGCTCCGTCAGATGGTGAGACCGGCACTCGCGGCATCCGCATGTTGTTGTGAACGCGGCCTTCTCGAGCCGCATGAAGCCCCTTGATCCGGTCAGAAGACAGTGGAGGGCTCCCTTTCTCGGCCTATGTTCCCTCTTTACGCGGACCCTCGCGGTAGATTTGTATGAGCTTATCCGTTTCCCGTCCCTTATTTGGCGCTCGATCACGGTTGTATCAATGAAAATGTGAAATATAGTGTTCCAGTGTAGAAATCTACGAGGTCACCCGCGCCATGGGAATTGAATTGCTTCATCATCGGATGGTTGTCTCATGATATTCGAGACTTCAAACATTTCAGAAGCATTCACATTCAAGTTAACATGGGTGGCATGGTGATCAATTTCCACAAATCATCATGATCGAGAGGAAGACCCGATTTCCAAGAATTCTTGGTCTTCCTTCTGCACAATAAACTGCTCATCAAAGGAGGGATGCTTTCAATGTTTCTTTTGGCTTGCAGGGTGATGGATGAAGCAATGAGCTAATATGTTCCATTGACACCCTTCGACAATCCTTGCCAGTCCATCAAGGGTTCCCCCTTGAAGGAACATTGAATGAGTTAGGATAGGGTTAGGTTTAGGATTCCAAGGTTGCCATCATGATCATGCCATAATGTCTTGCCTTCTCTCTAACACCGAGTGCCATTTCCTCCCTTGTTTTGGTGTGCTACTAGGACAGCGACTACGGTGACGGCGGATTCTGTAATCCACATTCATCGTCGTGCTTCTATCCGCCTGCAATCATATGCGATGTGAGCGTGTTCTGGAGGTTCTTGCGCAAGACCAAATGTAGTCACACGTCGAGGTCCGTCAAGATAGCTACAGAGCACCGTTAGGTCGGGTTGTGTGCAGTGTGCTGCGCGCATGTTCCGAAGATATTCCCCGCAGAATTCTGAAAGTGACGGTTCCGAAGCCGGAACAGTCACACCTTGAGAGACAATGGCCAGCTGTCTCAACACCACCCCCATTAAGCACACGCGTCACGGATGATGGCGCCGGACGAGCCTAGCACTCCAAACGAGGTAGTACCTACCCGTGTGCTCGTGTTTGCCACAGTCACGCTCTTGAATCTAAATCCTTAGATTGGAAACGAGCGAATATCTTCGAGGCGATCGCGCTTGCATATGCTGGACTACCGAAGGCTGCTTCTCCAACTTCAAGTCCTCTTGAAGGTTCTCGGAGCGCGTCCCTTCTACGCACTTCGAAGCCTCGGTCAAGGAGATAATTACTGATGTTGCTTCTTCGACCACATTTTCTTTGTCTCCGCCGGCGCCGGAGGGTCTGCGTGTTCCGCGATCACGGTGCACTTCTTGTTGAGAGTGTATCAGGGTTATGGGGTGCGCACGGAGCGGTCCGTACTTACCGAATGAAGAACGTTGTCATGTTGACGTCGAAGGGGAATCAGATTCTCTTGGTTGCCCTTATCGAGAGTGTTTACCGTGTTGGACTTGTTGAGAAGTTGGAGCCAGCCACCTGTCATCCTGCATTTCTGATTGCCGAGGGAATCACGTTGCTCATTTGCCTCAGATCTTTGTTCTATCCCGCCGGTAAGAAGGGCGCCTATATCACCACTGAGGAATGAGCATACCTGATGAATATTCAGGCGTGGCGCAGAAGCGACCACGTCAGAAGGTGGCTGCATCTTTCTAATGAGCATCTCAATCAGGATCTTCGTGGTCAGAGTACGCTGTTGCCATTGAAGATGAGTGGATTGTGCCCTCATTTGTTCGAGTCGGCTTCCTGAAGAATAGCCGGCGTTCGGGAACACGGACGAGGCGTAAGAATGGAGGGTGCATACAGGGACTCTTATTGTCGTCAAGAAACTCTGCGTCTGAATTGCAGGGACTGAACATTCCCCCGCCTAACAGTCAGACCGTCAGCGCTCCTGCTCGACCCAATAGCCAATAGGGGGACGTACGCATACTATGAAGGTCATTTGTTTTGCTCGATAGCCCGGTTCGGTATTTTGAGATGGCTCAACCAGCAGTCAGACGAGTCATGCTGTGTCATGTTCCTCGTTTTCCTCAGGTCGCTCGCCGACCCGCAGACATTATTGTATGTGCTGCGATAGATGATCCGTATGGCCTTTGTTTCGTCCTTAAATGCAAACCAAAGAACAAGGTAGTTTGTGGTGCATATACTCGAGCTCGTTTGGTTCACTCGCTGCTCCTTCTCCCGACCTAGTCTGTTCTTCCATCTAACCGCCTATCGAGCTGAAACAACGCATGGTCCTTCCACTCTACCCAGGCGACGGGAAAAGTTACTGCAGCACGTATGTGTGCTTGTAATAGGAAGGAACGAAGCCATATATGGTGTTGGGGTCGTTATTGAAGTTGATATGTGCACTACAGCCAACATTGCACAGATAGGCTCGATGATCTGCCCAAAATTATTCAGGACAAACCCCATACGAAGAGGTACGATCTCACCATTTCTAGTAAAACTGCTAGTGGTCGAGCTGCTCATTGAGTTGCGATATATAAGGAAAAGGTGTCTCCCCTCACTACCTCCCAGCAGCACCGTCCGACAAAATTGTTATGGTCCCCCTCCGCTGGTAGACAGTTCCTCAACACAACCTATGCGGATAACAGCTCATCACCGAGAGTCAAGCACAGCAAGACTACTGTCGAAGAAGAATCAAATGAGACAATTAAGCTGATCAGCTTGCCTTCGCACTTGCTCTGGTCTGCCGCGATTGAGTTGCGCCGCGCCTATCGCCTGTCAAGTTCAATTCTGCTCTGCGCTGTCCATGTTGATACGTACCTCAGAGGGCTCAGAAAGTCAGTGGACTCCATAGACACCGACGAAAGTAAATGGGGGCGAGGACGACGTAAACTGCATTTGTGATCGGGGTTGGTGATTCAGTTTTGGAAATTCTCTTGCCAAAGTCGGAAGCAGAACCTTCGGAATTTCAATGAACTCTCGTCAATCCGCGGGTAACCCGGAAAGACACGACTCTGAAATTCGAGTCGATCACGGCGAGGAGGAAGGTTTGGCCTTGTCCGGATAAACTCGGACAGACTGCCCTATGAAATTCGAGTCGATCAGCGCAAGGAGGGGGGTTTTCCTGCCCCAGGGTCCGAATTTGTAAAAACCGCGCACAGGTACAATAGCACGGGGTCCCTATGAGTACTCAGAAGATATGGGTGGGCTACAAAGTGGTGGAATGATGCTACGGGTGCTAGGACCCCTATAGATGCTCTATAGGCATCTGCAGCTTTTACGGATGCCCCACTCCTCGGTCTACGAATATCTTGACGATTCAGCTCTATACTTTGCAGACGCATAATATAGACATAGATTCAGGACCCGATATTGTAATTCTGCATTTATGACGATCAAGGACTAATGATGAAAATACTGTACAAAGACCGAAGTTATGGACTCCATATACCCAATTCACGACTACTGCTCCTCAAACTCTGCCTCCATCGAGATGGTATTCTGGTCATGCTCTGCCTTTTCGTACGCGTGCTAATGTTCCAGAGTGAGGAAAAGCTCAAGACGATGAAGTGAATGACTGACCTGCTCTTGCGGCTCGTTTGACTCAATGGACAGCACCCGGAAGTTCCACCACAACAGCACGGCGGGAATAACGACCCACAAGATGTTCAAGAAGAAGAACGCGCTAGGGCTTGAATAAGTCATTGGTCTGATACATTCTTCAGACGGCGGACTTACGCCCAGGTTGTCAAGGCTGCCTCCCTCCGCTCTGGGGACATGTCCCTCAACCTCTCAGGTCGGAACCTGATAAACCCAAGAATGGTAGCATAGATCTCCATCTAGGGTCATGTTGGTCATCATGTCATATCAAAGAGAGAATCGGGCATACAGCAGCGACAACCATCTCCCCCTCCCTCCATCTCTTTCCCTCCCTGTGCCAACGCATCACTGCAGAGATCCCTATGGGCATGACGAATAGCACTGCCATCTGGGCGATCACGTCCGCAGGCTGGAACTTTCCTGATGGTAGGGGTAGGGTGAACTGCTGCCAAATAATCGCAATGCGTGAAGTCGTGGCGGCAGTTGGAGGACTGATAGTGGCGAGGGCTATGAATAGTCCGTGTATGCAGCCATCCCAAGTGAGCCAGAGGGAGAGCAGCTCGTTGCTCAATCGCTGGACATCGGGGCGCTGGGAACGAAAGAGGAAGGTATACAAGAGGTATGCTGCGACGCAAAGAGGGAGCGATAAGAGGAGGAGATGGACGGAGATGCCGTCGATTTGCATCACTGGAGACGACATTGGAATGAGTGACCGAGCTGAAGTTGGGTTGATGGAAAGGGAGGCAACACAGGGTTATTAGTTGACAACAGCTTGCAGAGGTGATAACGTAGGTCTGGACGAGCTATTGACCAACCTCTCTGTGGGCTTTTAAACCACTGAGATGTGCGAAACAAGATAGCGCGAGTCCGACGTTGAAGGCTGTAAGCGCAACGGGCAGTGCCCTTTCTCTTGCCCGGCCTGATTAAATTGCGAACCCCGTGTTGCAGATGACAAAGAAGCGCTATTTTTGTTGGTTGTCAAGGTGCTATCCAACTTGTTGATGCAGCTAATTCCATTCATGCAAAGTACTCCATCAAGGACGCCCTTATTGTTCACAACAAAAAGACACTGTTTGTACACTCCCATGCAATTTACTCACAAAAGAGCATGCCGGGTCCCTCTCCCATAGTGAGGCTACATTTAAGCTCAGAACGGGTCGTCAACAGGTACCATATGGGCGCACCTCAGCTGGTGGAGCATTGTCCAAAATGCGATTGATCTGCTCGTAGATTTCATTTGTCAGTTTAGGTAGGATTTCGAGCGCCTTCAGGTTGTCGTACGCCTGTTCCGGTCTGGAAGCTCCCAGAATGATGGTGCTTGTCTATATTTACGAATCTCATCAGTGCCTGGAGGACGTCTCAATTGCCAAGTACGGACGTTCGGATTCTTCGCGACCCATGCTAGCGCCAGCTGGCCCGGAGTAGCGTTAAAATACTCTTTGACGATCTTCGTAAGCTCCCTGACTTTTTGAATTTTCTGCTGTCCCTCGGGCTTGCGCAGCTGCTCGATGGTATTCTTAAAGAAGTCGGCATTGGTGGTGAAACGCGAGTCCTTAGGGATTCCATGGTTGTACTTGCCGGTGAGGATACCAGATGCGAGAGCAGAAAATACCGTCGTGCCATAGTTGTACTTCCGATAGAGGGAGTCGTACTCGGCCTCAAACCGCGAACGATGGAAGGCGTTGTACTGACATTGATCGGCAATGGGAGGGATGAGCTTGAGTTTGTTGGCGATAGCTGCGTCAGAGCAGAGGCAAGTCAGCTGGAGTGTGTACAGCGTTTCGATAGGACTGACCAAAGGCTTCCTCGATTTGCGCAGCAGACCACTCTGATGTTCCCCAATAGAACGCTTTTCCCGTGTTGATCAGATAGTTGAATGCCCGAACAACCTCTTCCATTGGAACAGTGACGTCAGGACGATGGGCAAAGACTGCATCAGATGTCATCAGCACTTCGGGCTGTCCTCGGGCTGATAGAGCGCACCGATATCCACATAGTCCATCCTCAAACGCTCCAGAGACTCAGTAAGTCCTTCAATCAAGTGCTTCCTACTCAGGCCCTTATCATTTGGTCCTTGCCTCCTCACACCAAAGAATATCTTGGTGGAGATGATCAAGTCCGTGCGCCTCCAACCGCACTCTTTGATTACCCGACCCATTTCACGCTCACACTCCCCGGCTTCGTACCCTTCCGCCGTGTCAAACATGTTGATCCCGGCCTCGAAGGCGGCTTTCATCACCTCCTTCACGGGATCGCCCTTAACGGTACCACCGTATGTGAGCCAGCCGCCCAGCGAAAAGACGGGGACGCGCAGACCGCTTGACCCAAGGTTTCTGAAGATCATGCCCTGATGTAGAGTATGAGAAACTGATGGAGCGGTGTCTGTCAGAGACGTGCCTTAGGTTGGTATTCATAAGAAGCTTGAAAGTTCGCCATAGTTGCCAGTACGATTTGAGTAGGTTCTGAAATGATGAGGGGGACAGGGGATGAACACTTTCAGGATTATCCATCCAGTTTATATTCGCTGTCGTCTGGTGGAGTTGGCATATGCTATGCCGAGCTGCCAGCTGTCTTCAGTGCGGAATCCCATCAGGGAAATGCGCAGGCCGAGGGCCTCGCTGGTTCGGACGATGAGGAGGCATGGGAAGTCGACGATGAGGGTCTGATGTTCGGTTCCTCGGACCGATGCAACCAGGGGTCGTGCAAGGAACGTCACAGCCGCTCAACCACGTCGACTGATATTCGAGTTCTCTTGCCTTGACACCTTGCTTCTGTTCACATAAAGATGAATTCATTATACACTCTTGGCATACGGCAGACGTCGTCAATACAAACAGATCTGAACAAGCTGCGTGCAGGAGACTCGTCCACGTCACTCCAAGGTCTGTTGGTTCACACACGACGTGTATATGCAACTCACACAAGTGTTGTAGGTCAAATTTCAGCATCATTAGCCGCGTTGAGCAGAACAGTGGATGACTATGATTCTATGGCAAAGCGAGAGATGATTGCAGCAAAGCAGGAGAAGGCGTTTTCGTTCGTACGCTACAACTCCGTTCTTACGCATGGACTCACGCCCGGAATAGTCGGGTACACAAATTTCGGCAAGATCATGCAGAACTGCGAACCCAATTCGATACTCTGAAGAAGGAGGCTGCCAATGCAGTACATCCTCTTGATTTTTGGATTGTGTCCGTAACTAATGTCGTCCACAGCGGGCTCGCGAGAACCGCAATGAACTGTTCGGTTCAACCACGTCTATTCCTCTCTCACCAGGTATGGGTCCCTCAATTATGACTGCCCGCCAGCGATCGTTTGCAGCTGGTCCCTCTCAACCACCTGAGTGGATGGAAGAGTCCCCCTTTTCCCTCCGTCCTGCCGTCCAGTCCTCAGCCTCCATGAGGGAATCCCATGCCCTAAGGGAGCAATCCTTCATCGAGTCGACCGAGAACCAGCTTGACCAGTTCCTAATGCAAGGGAAGGAAGTTCTCGATAACCTGGTGGATCAGAAGAACTTGCTGAAAGGGACGAAGAAAAGGCTGCTAGACGCTGCGAATACGCTCGGACTGAGCAGGGATGTGATCTCATGGGTGGAGAGGAGAACGTGCGTCAATGTCTCTTTCCGTTCAATCTTGATCTGACGCCATAATGTAGGACACAAGATATTGTCATCTTTTTCGTTGGCGCTATAGTCACACTTGTCTGTTTTTACTACATTTGGGTATGGTTTGGTTGATCAGCACCAGCTCTTGTGTGGCTGCTTGTTCCAATAGTGTTTATATCTCTTTAATGTGATACCATCTCGATGCCATCGACATTCGGGGATTGTTTACCAGTAATTTCGAACTTCTCAATCAGGTCCTACTCAAGATTATCCGGAAATTGCCGCTTGTCTCCGAATGCTTCTGTTCGCGTGCAAATTGATAGGGTCTCCTCCTAGAGCTATCAACAATCTCGAGTCGACTCCCTGTTTGCTGTCCACCATCCTCTGCAATGGCGTCCCCAGCAGGGAGCTCAGGAAGTGGCCAAGTGCCCTTCCCAGGCCCCTCTGAAGAACCTGCCGATGTATCAGATGCTCCAGGAGACGAACCCACAGAGTTCGATTATACCGAAGGCGCCTCAGCTATTGACATTGCTGACATCTTATCCCGTCCACGCCCGCGGCGGGATTCCCAAGTCGGCAGCGCATACGATGGAGAAGGAGACGCTGGTGCGATATTCAATGGTCCAGCCAGTGCTGTCGTTCCTAGCAGCGTGAGCAGCATGCACCATGAGCGAATGTTCGACTTTCCCGGTAGCAGGAGAGAGAGCAGACGCGCGAGTGTAGACCAGGAAAGGAGGATGAGCATGGATAGAAGTAGGGTGAGGGGTAGCAGGGAGCAAAGCACGGATTTTCGTTTCACCGAAGGGGTGCCAACCGAAGACCAGGGGTTGTTAGGCGGTGAATTCGAGGAGAGCCCCACGTCACCAATATCAAGACCGATCACACCCAGTGGTTCTTCACGCCCATGGACGCGACGGCAAGAACCTTCACAACCGGAATCACCACGAACGTCCGGAATGTTGGGAAACCTTGCATCATACTTCACACGAGCGCCCAGTGTGACCGATGAGCCGACTTCAAGCGCCCGCCGTCCTTCAAGAGTCAGGCGTAAGTCGTCGGACGCGAGCCGGCGCTCTCGTGCGTCTCGGGAGGAGCTGGGGTCGGAACACGCCTTATCCGATGATGAACAATGGGGTTACTTTTCAAACGAAGAGGCAGGGTCGCTCGAAGATTATGCTTCAGACAACACACACGAGCTCGACGAGTTCACCAGCAATTCGCCGTCGCCAAGCGCGTCTCTTCCCTTGCTGACTGGCCAAGTTGATCCAATATTTGGGGATACGCGTATAAACATGTACGACGAACATGAGCCATCTTTGCCACCACCACCTGGACCTCCTAGCCGTCAGAGCACATATATCGCCGACGAAGATACGACGATGCGTTTCACTGGGTACGAACCAGTTCCCTGGAAGGCGTGGTTATGGTTCTTCGGCTGTATCCTAACACTGGGAGGACTTGTTCTCATTGGTCGATGGCTTCCTGGCCTCTGGCTCCGGTTCGTTTGTAAGGAGAAGGGTTTCAAGGACGCAGAGAATGGTGTCATTGTCGTCGAAAATCCATTCACAGACATTTTTCTCACCAAGGTGGAGAACATCGAGTATCCGTATCCATCCGACACTGTTTTCAACATCTTGTCCTCTTCACCGTCTACTGTTCGACCTTCTGGCGCAAACACCCCTACTCCGCATAACAAGACGCCCGTCAATGGCCCAACTCCAAGCGCCGAGATTCTGGCAGAGCTTAACATGGCAGAGTATCGTTATTCCCGCTTTGTGCTCAACCCAACCTCTGGTCTCTTCATGATGCTGAGCAAATGGCGCGATCCCAGCTGGAAGTCAGTGAAAGCTGTCCAGGCGGGACTAAGCTCGGCTGTGCGAGAACAGCGTCAAATTCTGTTCGGTGCCAACGTCATCGACGTCAAAGGAAAATCGATCGGCGCTCTTCTTATCGATGAAGTCTTGCACCCATTCTACGTCTTCCAAGTCGCGAGCATCATCCTGTGGTCGATTGACGATTACTATTATTATGCGTTTTGCATCGCTTTAATTTCCTTGATCAGTATTACGACCACACTCATCGAGACGAAAAGGGTACGTGTTCCAGCATGGGTGAATCATCGCTACTGACCTTCGGCTACCAGACTATTGAGCGTATGCGGGAAATGTCAAGGTTCAGCTGTCCGGTCTCTGTCCTGTCAGACGGCTTCTGTATGTTGTCTTCATTCTGCCACGAAGGAAATTCTGACTTTAGACTAGGGAAGGTTGTTGATTCCTCGGACCTCGTTCCTGGTGACATCGTCGATCTGATGAACCCTGCTCTTGCTGTCTTCCCTGCTGATATCTTACTGCTTTCTGGCGATGCCATTGTCAATGAAAGCATGCTTACTGGAGAAAGTGTTCCCGTCAGCAAGATACCAGTGAAGGACACTACGATTGTCAGCTGGCGCGAAGGGCAAGATATCGACTCGAATATGGCAAAGTCGTTCCTGTATACCGGAACACGCGTCATTCGCTTGCGTCCAGGCAACCTCGGCGAGCAGAACCAGGCATTTGGCCTTGTTGTTCGGACGGGTGTGTACCATTCAGATGTTGCTGAGCGTAGCTGACAGTCTCATCAGGCTTCAACACCACCAAGGGTGCTCTCATCCGTTCTATGCTGTTTCCCAAACCGATGGGTTTCAAGTTCTATCGCGACTCAATGCGCTTCATTGGTGTTCTGGCTTGCATCGCTGGTTTGGGTTTTGCTGCCAGCTCCGTCAAGTTCATTGAATTAGGTGTACCGTGGAGCACCATGTGCGTCCGGGCCTTGGACCTCATCACCATTGTCGTGCCTCCTGCACTTCCTGCCACGCTCTCCGTCGGTACATCTTTCGCGATCGGTCGACTACGCAAGCTCGGCATCTTCTGTATCTCCCCTAATCGTGTCAATGTGGCGGGCAAGATCAATGTCGTCTGCTTCGACAAGACCGGAACCCTCACCGAGGACGGTCTGGACGTGCTAGGCGTGCGGACCATCGACCGTTCGAGTGGTGTCTTCGGGGAGCTTTCAACCGATGGGGTTGACTTTCCTCTTGGAAGTGGAAAGGCCACTTTGCAATATGCTCTCGCGACCTGTCATGCCCTCAAATCTATCGATGGTGAGATTCTGGGTGATCCTCTCGATGTCAAAATGTTTGAGTGGACTGGCTGGACTCTGGAAGAAGGGAAGCCCACCGGAAACGGGACTAAGAAAGGCGACGGTCAGCCCAATCACAATCGACCGGCTGCCCTGGTACAAACTGTCGTGCGACCACCCGGCTCTGTGCAGTTCAAGTTGGAAGACGCGCTGAAGCCTGGCAAGCACGCTCATTTTCTAGAATTGGGTGTTATTCGGGTATTCGAATTTGTTAGTTCTCTGCGCAGAATGAGCGTCATTGTCAAGAGATTGAAAAGCTCGAGCATGGAGATCTATGTGAAAGGCGCCCCCGAAGTTATGGTGGACATATGCGAGAAGGACTCTTGTATGTGACCTCACCCTGCATTATGTGAATTCCTGACATTGCAGCAGTCCCCGCTGATTACGAGGATCTTCTTGCTTATTACACCAAGAACGGTTTCCGTGTCATAGCACTCGCTGGGCGCTCTATCGAGGGTTTATCTTGGTTGAAAGCCCAGCGAATGAAACGCGAACAGGCTGAAGCTGGACTTCGCTTCCTCGGACTTATTATCTTTGAGAACAAACTAAAGCCTGGAACCACGCCTGCGATTCAAGTGCTTCGTTCTGCCCACCTGGGCATCCGCATGGTCACCGGCGACAATGCAAGAACCGCTATTAGCGTAGCACGAGAATGCGGCCTTGTGAATGTATCAGCGCACGTGTTCTACCCCACATTCACCTATGGAGACTCGCAGACCCCGGATGCGACGTTAGCGTGGTCGAGTGTGGATGACGAAGACCTGAAACTGGACGAATACAGCCTCAAGCCACTAACCCCTCCTCACCACCACACTGTCGAAGACGAGATCGCATATCAAGACTACTCAATGGCTGTCACAGGCGACGTCTTCAAATGGATGGTCAACTATGCTCCTCTGGAAACGCTTCAGCGAATGCTCGTGAAGGCGCAGGTATACGCGCGTATGTCCCCGGATGAGAAGCACGAGCTTGTCGAACGCCTCCAATCTCTCGGTTACACAGTCGCCTTCTGTGGTGACGGTGCCAACGATTGCGGCGCCTTGAAGGCTGCTGATGTTGGACTGTCGCTCTCCGAGGCAGAGGCTTCAGTTGCAGCACCTTTCACAAGCCGGATCCCCGATATCAGCTGCATGATCGAAGTTATCAAGGAGGGTCGAGCCGCGCTCGTGACGAGCTTCAGCTGCTTCAAATACATGTGGGTTTGTTTTCGCGAGGTGCAGTGATGTATATTGATGTTGAGGGCAGGGCGCTTTACTCGATCATCCAGTTCACAAGCATCACACTGTTATATTCGTTCGCGTCGACTCTTGGAGATTTCCAGGTGAGCATTTATGCTGTTTTCTGTCTCCGCAGCTGATCTCTGGTAGTTCCTGTATATCGATCTCTTCATCATTATCCCGGTGGCTGTCGCCAGTACGTATTCCTATCCGTAACGCCAGATCCATTATTCACAAGCCGTTCACAGTGGGTCGAACGTTACCATTCCCAAACATCCATCCAAAGAGACCCACCGCCAGTCTGGTCTCCAAAAAAGTCTTAGCGAGCATAATCGGGCAAATAATCTTCACGAGCGGTTTCCAATTCTGGGCCTTCTTCTGGGTCAGAAGACAACCCTGGTACGAGCCACCCGATACCGACCCGCACGACCACACCGGCCTGGACTTCGAAACCCGCAACTACGAGAACACGGCGCTCTTTCTCGTATCGTCATTCCAATACATATTCATCGCGGCAGTATTCAGCATCGGCCCTCCGTATCGCAAGCAGATCTACACAAACGGTGCGCTTCCCCGTCCGCTCGCTGTATCCTGTTCTCTCTCTGACCAGATATGCTAGTATTCCTCATGCTATGCCTGGTCGCCCTCACCGGCTTCAGCACCTTCGTACTGCTAGACCCTCCCACAGCCCTCTCCCTGCTGCTGGACCTCGTCCCCCTCCCCACCAGCGGGAAACTCACGATCCTCCTAGCAGCGGTGCTCAACGTCCTCGTATGCTGGTCGTTCGAGGAATGGGGCGCGAGGCAGGTGTCGGACCTCATCGGCTTCGTAAGGAGGAACATGAGGAGCCAGTCTGCGGCTAGAAGGGTCAAGGAGGGTAAGGCGTATAAGGCGGTCGAAGGGGGGATGAGGAGGTCTCCGACTGAATAGAGCTTCTTTTTGGCATGGACACTGTATCATTTAGCACGCAAGAACAGAATCACAGAATTGGCACGAAATGCGGCAGAGATACGGTATGTGCCGCACGGTAACTTATTGCGAGAGAAGGCTGGATGGCGGAGGCTACAGGCGGAGGCCGGACATTCTGAAGGTCACTAATTCTTCTGGGCCATACACATGCCGCGCCGAACTTTTGGCCATTCGCTCCTCCGGCAGATGCCGAGTGCAGAAAAATGTGCATCTCTAGTCGACGTTATTAAACCTTGACCAGCTCTAGAATCATCGCACAAGGCATCTCTGACCCTACGATTCTGAAGTACGGCCTCGGTTCCGAAGACGCTGTCCTCCCAGGCATGCCGTCCCTGCCCGCATTACACTAGCTGCGATACCTAAACGCAAGGTTGTTAGAAAATTCCCAGTGGGTTGACACTGCCATCTCCTCATCCGCCTATCATCTTCCAAACCTCAAAGACCGATGTACTCGATATTCCTATAAGCCGTTTAAGAGATCAGCGGATCATGACGATGACTGACAATGACAATTCCAGAGCGGCCCGATAGATGCCAGTAAGTCGGCCATATCCACCAATCGGATCCTTTTCGAGATCGGCATTTCAGGGACCGCACGTTCTCGGCCTCGGCTGATCGGCCTAGATTCAAAGGGGAAGACCCTGAACGCCGAAGAAAAAAAAAACAATTAATGGACGGTCTCGTTGTGAATGGATGGATGGTCTGATGTGCCCTCCACTAGTGCTGCATGACCTGACAAACTTATTCTGCTGGCTGAAAACATAATAATGGCTCATAATGGCATCTAGGAAATAAGGCCAGATTAGCCTTTCCGATTTGAACTCCTCTTAGCGGGAAGCGCCCACTTGCTTTGCTTGCGTATCTGACTCTTCTCTTCTCCTTACTTGCGCCGGCTGACACACCAAGAATTCATTGGGAAGGCGTCAAAAGCCCCTGACTCTCCTCTCCTGCTCTTCCTCTCTAGACGGCACTCCTCCTCTCATCATGACCCCCCAACGACCCCCCGTCTCCCGCATCGACACCAGCACGACCCTCTCCCCCGAACCTAGCGGGGGGAGTAGCACTCCCTTCTCACCCCTCTCACCGAGTGCGACAGTCGTTGACCTCCCTCTGTCTCTCTCTGCTGCTAGTCGTGCTGAGTCACCTGTCAAGGCCCATGCGGACTCCGACGATCCTATCAAACTTGACACTCAGGCTTGCGAAGAGAAACTCCCCCATCTCACCCCAGCGGACGCGGACACAGAGACCGAAGCAGATGGAGAATCTGATATCTCCAACACGCAAAAAGCGCTCCTCCTAATCATATTCTGCATGGCCCAATTCCTAGACGCGTTCAACAACTCCGCTTTGTTCCCCGCGTTGCCCATCGTAGGCCAGAGCTTTGGGATGAGCGATACGGAACAGCAGTGGGTGTTTAGGTGAGCGGCGCGTATGCGGTGTGATATGCGCGTGTTGAGGATGAGGACAGTGCGTACCAGCTCACGTTCTCGAGTTTCCTTCTGCTATCAGGGAGGATAGCGGATATCTCTTCCCCCAGTACGTCCCCCCTTCCCCAAGCGTGCCTCTCCGCTAACCCACATCCGCAGAATGGACATTCATATCCGGCATATCCCTCCTCTCGCTCATCTCCCTCATCGCCGGTTTTGTACCCTCCAAGATCGCCCTGATCGTCCTCCGCGCCCTCCAGGGTATAGGCGCAGCGCTCACCGTTCCCTCCGCACTCTCCCTACTCGTATGGACCTTCCCCTCCGACCCAGGCCAGTCCCGCGCCATCGCAGTCTTCGGAGGCACAGGCGCGGTAGGGAACGTACTTGGTCTGTTGGTGGGCGCGGTGTTCACGGGCGAGGTCAGCTGGAAATGGTGTTTCTGGTTTGTGACTTGTTTGGGCGTGCCGATAGCCCTGGCGAGCGCCGCGTTCATACCGGCTCATGCGAGGGATGAGGGGGATACGTTTGACGAGCCTGCCCTTTCCCCGACTGCGACTGCGACTGCAACGGACCAGCACCCGACAGCACCAGCGAGGAAGAAAACCAAAGGCGGACTGGACTTTATCGGCGTGTCCCTCCTCACAAGCGCCATGATCCTCTTCGTATTCGGGATCACCTCCGGCCCCTCTACAAGCTGGACGAGTGGCCAAACCCTCGCTCCGATCATCCTCTCCCTCCTACTGCTCTCCCTCTTCCTCTACTGGGAAACCCGAATCCCGGAACGTGATGCCTGCCTGCCCCCCGCACTTTGGTTCTACCCCAACTTTGGGGTGCTGTTCACCCTCGCCATTTTGCCTTTCGGATGGTGGACAGCGTCTTTTATCTCGTTTACCGAGCTGTGGCAGACGAGCTACGGGCTCTCAGCGCTGGACACGGCGGTACATTTCCTCCCACTGGGCTTCTCAGCAGGGACGATGATCACCACCCTCGCCTGTTTCCCAGCAACGAAGCGTCCGAAACGTGTCATCCTAGCCGGGTTTGTCCTGCTAATCGCATCCTCCCTCCTCCTCCCCTTCGCACGGGGGATGGAAAACTACTGGCCAATCCTCTTCCCCGCCATGCTCCTAGGCTCAGCAGGCGCAAGCCTCATATTCGTAAACTGCAACATAGCGATCTTTCGTACGACCCCTTCCTCCCGCTCTGGGCTCACGGGCGCAGCACTCAACTCTGCCCTCCAGCTCGGGTGTGTCATCACTGTTTCTGCCGTTACTGGCATTACTTCGAGCGTGAATGAGCGGGAGCCGGGAGATGCGTATAATGGTGTTGAGGCGAGCTTTTGGTGGCTCCTTGGGTGTACGGTGGTGGAGGCCGGGTTGGTAGCGGTGTTTTATAAGGAGGGGAGGGACTTGTTTGCTGAGAAGGTTCAGGAGGGGAGAAGTGAAGGAAGGGGGGAGAGGGAGAAGGAGAAGGTGTAGGATGAGGCTGCCTGTTGGGAGAATAGATGGGTCTAATGTTGTAACATGATTGCATAGAATTCCATTGAAAGAGTAACTACAATAAGACAGTTGTGTGCACTGCCACATACAATCACATGACTCATATCCCAAATTTGACGATAATTTTATGTAAATTGTTGCGTTCACTTTTCAATTTTTCTCACAATTTGCAGCAAGATATGGACGACGACGGGATAGTACTCAACATTTATACTCCACCGACGCAGACACACAGTCAGACTCAGAATGAAAAGAAACGCAAACAATCTAATCCACTTCCAAAGAGTGCAAAACGACAACGAACAGACCATACACCGAGCACATCCAATGCAACCAACGCAGCCAATACAGCTAAACCACGTCAATTCATCTCATCGCTATTCACTTCCAACCCTTCACTTTCTTCACCTTCACTCCCTCTTACACAGAACAACAACGACCACAACAAATCACCGACCAACGCCCCACTCCCGTCTTACTCTTTCTCAGAACTCGGACTCCACCCACTGTTAGTCCAACATCTCCCCAAGCTAGGGATAACAAAGCCTACTTCTATCCAACGGGCATCTCTCTACCACCTCCTGACCCCGAGCAACCCCAGCACACCCCCGCCCGACATATTCCTCCAATCCCAAACCGGATCAGGGAAAACCCTCGCCTTCCTCCTCCCAATCATCCAAGATCTTCTACCTCTCTCCTCTCTATCCTATATCGATCGCTCTATCGGAACACTGGCGATCATCCTTGTGCCTACCCGGGAACTGGCGAGACAGATCTCGGATGTGTTGGCGTCGTTGCTCAGCTTACGGCTGTCCCCTGCTGCTCCTGCTGGGGAAAGCACATCTTCCACGAGCGGTGCCGGCACAGGGGAACGACTTACCCGCTGGCTAGTACCCGGTCTGCTCACGGGGGGCAGTACAAAAACACACGAAAAAGCCCGTTTACGAAAAGGCGTGCCGATCCTCGTCGCTACCCCCGGAAGACTGCTCGACCACCTACAGAATACCGGTTCCTTCAGCTGTGGAAAGTTGCGCTGGTTGGTGCTGGACGAAGCTGATCGGCTTATGGATCTGGGGTTTGAGAAGACTGTGGAAGGGATCCAGCGGGCTCTGGAGGGGAGGCGGAAGTTGGCGGAGGCGGCGGCTAGGGAAGGAGGGGAAGAGGGAGGCGTGGGCTGGGAGTGGGGTAGGAGGAGGACGGTGTTGTGTAGTGCTACTATGAGGGAGGACGTGCAGCGGTTGGCGGGTGTGGCCCTGGAACGACCGGTGGTGGTGAGGTCCCTTGGGGAGGACGTCGGGGAGGGAGTGGGGCAGGAGCTCGAGAGGCAGGTGGAATTGGGGAAGCAAAGGGAGCAGGGGAAGGAGAAAACCAAGTTCACACCCCCTGCTCAGCTGAAACAGAAATACGTCGTCGTACCTCTCAAACTGCGGTTGGTGGCACTTCTAGCGCTGCTCAGGACGCTCTTGCGCACCGGGGGGGAGGTGACGAGCGGAGGAGGGGCAGAACAGGGGGGAGGAGGAAAGCGAATAATCGTCTTCCTGAGCTGTACGGATGCGGTGGACTTTATGTGGGAGCTGTTGGGCGGGACAGGAATGCGCCGTCCAGGGGAGGATGATGATGATGAGCAGGATGGACAAGACGACGTCAAGGATGGAAAGGGGAACGACGACGACGACGACAACAGCAACAGCAAGTCCGACAAGGAGACCAAAAGCAAGCAAGAAGAATTGGCAAAACATTCCCCTCTACTGCCACATACTTCCATCTACAGGCTACACGGTTCTCTCTCCCTCCAAACCCGACTTGCCTCCCTCTCCGCCTTCTCCTCCTCTTCCTCCTCATCGTCCCACTCCATCCTCCTCAGCACCTCCGTCGCCTCCCGCGGTCTCGACCTGCCCCAGATCCAGGCAGTGGTGCAATACGACCTTCCCACAGAGGGGGGCGCGACGGAGTACGTGCACCGGGTGGGGAGGACGGCGAGGTTGGGCAGGAAAGGCGAGGCTTGGGCGTTTGTCGAGCCCGGGGAGGGTGGGTGGGTGGACTGGGTCGAGAAAGGCATGAATCGGGAGCAGGGTGAGGGCGAAGCTGCCAGCAAGGTCAAGGGGAAGAAGGGGGGGATGTTACTCCCCGTCGGTGTGGAAGACGTGCTGCTGCAAGGGTTTGGAGGCAGAGGGTCGGAGTGGGAGGATAGGGCTACTCAGGTCCAGTTGGCGTTCGAGAGGTGGACAGTGGGCAGTAAGGAGGTGCGTCTTCCCTCTCTTCCTTCATTGTTCTTCGTCTTGCTACGTTCCTTGCTACCCGCTACTGCAGTTCATGCAGCTCACGTCCTCTCCTCGTGCGTAGAACGCCGCCCTGGCACGCAGAGCGTACGCCTCCCACATCCGGGCCTACGCGACCCACCCGAGCGAAGAGAAACATATTTTCCACGTACGCAATCTGCATCTGGGCCATTTGGCAAAATCGTTTGCTTTGAGAGAGGCACCGGGGAGTATTAAGGCTGCTGGGGATGGGGGGAAGGGAGGGGCGGGCAAGGGTGAGAAGGGGATGGGTAAGGGGGAGAGGGAGAAGGAGAGAGTGAGGGAGAGGATGAGAGAGGGAATTAGGAGGCAGCGAAGGGCTGGGACTGGGGAATTCCAGATTGCCTGAGCATATACTTGTGGGGATCGATGAGGTTCGTATGCACTTGGTTGTCCTTCAAAGAGCACCGTGAATTACACCACATCATCCAGTAGATGGGCGCACAACAGCCTCTACCCAACAAGAGTACATCCTCCCCAAGTCAGCGCCAAACGATAACAGGCTTGACGACCTCCCCCGAGTGCATCTCTTTACTCGCCTTGTCCATCTCCTCCGGCTTGTAGAACCTTGTCAACCTGTCGAGGGGAAACCGGCCAGCGCGGTATTCAGCCACCATGTGCGGTATGAACTGTGCGCCGTCAGTACGTATTCAACAAGAAGAGAAGAAAAAGAAGAAGAAACTGCCCACCTCTGGAGTGTACGCATCCCCATTTGCTACACCAATAATCTGCGCACCTCCAAGAATAAGCGTCTCCGTCGCTACGTTTATATACCTATCCCCCCCACTACCGATTATGCCCACTTTCCCCATCTTCCTCACGCACTTTATAGCCGCCAGTTGTGCCTGCTCCTTCGCCGTCGTCTCCACAGAATAATGTACGCCCATCCCACCGGTAATCTCCCGAATCGCCCTTCCTACATTACCCACCCGCGTAGGGTTGAGCAAATGTGTCGCCCCCAATTCCCCAGCGAGCGCTAGTCGGCCCTCGTTCACTTCGACGACGACGACCGGGTTGCACCCAGCAGAAAGAGCATAAAACAGCGCTCCGAACCCCACGCCCCCAGCGCCGAAGATAGCCACCCCTTCCCCCCTCTTCGCACAGAGCATATTCCGTACCGTCGCTGCCCCCGTCATCAGCCCGCAGCCTAATGGTGCCAGCTGGCGCAGCTCCGCCAGCGTCATGTTCGGCACCCGGATCGCGCTTGAGCAATGGACGACAGAAGTGCGGGAAAAGGAGCTCTGCCCAAAAAACCGGGCTACTACTTCCTCCCCCCTACTATTGCGAGCCGTGCAACTACCATCCGCCCGGCGGGCAAGGAAGTTCAGCGAGTGGAACTCCAGGCAGTAGGTGGGATGCTGTGCTTTACACGTCCAGCATTGGCCGCATGAGGCGTGCGAGAGCAGCACCGGGTCCCCGGGCTGGACGTGGGTGACGAGGGAGCCGACGGAGCGGACTATCCCGGCGCCTTCGTGCCCTGCGACAAAGGGGAATCCGCCTACTGGCAAGCTGGGTCAGTCAGCGAGTGCGTAGCATGGAGGCAGGGGAGAAGGAGGAGAGGGACGTACTTCCCACTAGCGACGTTGAGATCTGTATGACATATCCCGCTCGCGACCATATCTACCACTAGCTCGTCCGCTTGCGGTGAGGAGAGGAGGATGCCCTGGAGGGTGAAGGGCTCGCCGGGGGCGTCGACCACCAGTGCTTGGGTTTCGATCATTGGAGGTTGACGTTAATGTTGAGGTTGACGGTGGGAGTTGGGGTGTCAACCTGTTAGGTCTGGAGAGCGCTGGCTAGAAGGAGAAGGCTGCGGGTTGGCGCATGACTCGCATGGTTGGAGGTCGGGAAATGGGTTGTCCCGTCATGTGCTTGACATTACGTCCAGCTTCCCGCGGAATAGAATGCATGAATATGGGCAGAAGTGGATGATAGCAATCAGATGAGGTACAGATGGCTTTTCGCATTGTTCATGCTGAGTGAATGGAGATGTCCTCGAAGACGTCGTCTAGCACAAACTTCACGTGACGCATCATGTATAAATACACTTGATTAAACGACCAATACAGTAAGTAAACAATCACCCACAACCCGGACAAACATGGAGCACATCATGCACGAACAAGTCACACTCTGCATCGAAATCGTGCTTGCATTTTGGACAGCGGTAGCGCCCGTGTGGGCTCATGCCTTCTTCTGTTTGAAGGGGCGCACGCGCTGTTGTGGGAAAAGGGAGCGAGCAGGCGTGACATGCCGAGGCTTCTTTCCCGTCTAATTCTAGGCTGCACAATACTGTCAGCGAAATAAGGAAAGGGATGGGGATGAGGATAGGCGTACACTGCTTTGTACGCCGGAGCGGGGAAAAGATGGTGATAACTCCGCGCGAGATGGGGCGAGCTCACGATCATCAGCCCGCAGATATCGCAGTCAGTCGGTACGTCGCAGACCTTGCTGTTGCATCTCGGGCATATGTAGCCTTCTGACCGCAAGCGAGAGTGGCAAACGCAGAGGGATGGAGGGGCGGTAGCTGGTAGTCGCGTAGGAAAGCCCATCTGCATCAGCTCGGATTGGCCTTCACCTGCCTGGGCTGCTAGGCGTGAGACGGGGGACTTGTCCGCTGGCGGAGGGACAAGCTCGAATAACAGGTCCTTATAATGTCCTTCGTTGAGCGCGACGCCGAATACGCCTGGGACGTGTTCATTATCTTTCCATCAGAAAAAGGAAAATCGGATGACTCACCTCCTGTTCGCTCACACATATCACGACAAACTTTCATCTCCGCTGACAGGGCTACGATGGATATTCGGATCTGATCACGTACGCAGGCGTCGACCGTGTCTAGGAGGTTGCCAGGATCTACGGTGGTCAGCGAGCCGAAGATGATGAGGATTTCTCGTGAGGAATGGGTTGGAAGATGGCTGCATCCCAAATCAGGTGAAACTCAACAACGATACGACAGCAGCACGCACTTCATACTGGCACGCGCCATTTCGATCGAATTCTGTAAACTCGGTTCCCCTGCCGGTTCCAACAGCGTCTTATCCAAAAAACACTTCAGCACATCCTGCGGGTTCCCTACATACTATTAGTACATCCTTCCCATGCCCTCGTGCAGTTGAGTCCACGCACCAGACATATCCCCAATCCTCTCGCCTACTCCATTCCTCATCCCCACGACCCCCATCTGGCCCAGCGGGTTCTGGTCAAACCACTCGCTGACGAACTCCCGTGCATAGCTTAGCGTAAGGTCGAAGCGGGACGGGCGCATATCTCGGTCCATCATTGCCGTAGACAAGTCGACGAGGAACATCATATGCCTGATAATTGTTCGGCGGATGGGTGCGTCGCCCCCTAGCAGTCTAAGAATTTTCAGCTAGCAACAGGGAGTCGACAGGAGCAGGCACACCGTCGCCGTTTGGACCGAGCGACGAGATCCTGCACAGCGGCCTGCAAGCTTCCCGCCTCGTCCTCCTGCACCGTATCCCATGATCGTTTATAGGACGCTTCCCAGGCATACGCTTGCTATATGCGCAGATCAGTGAGGGACAGACCCCTCGCGCGATGAGGGCACACACATCCTGAGCATTCCGCTTCCCACCACCTAGCTCCTTCCCTTTGCCCTTCCCCTTCCCCTTTGTCCGTATAGTACGCGACGCGTTGTAGTCCTCATCGAGCTCGTCGTCTTCGGGCTCGGAGTCGTCCGAGATGTTGAAGTCGGCGTCGCGTCGCGGTGGCATGAACAAAGTGATGATGAGCGCGTGTGGTCGAGGGTCCTTGACCAGAAACGGCCACGAGCAGGACAATCAATACTTATGACAATAATTGGCTCCCAGTGTGTTTATATTATTTTACGGCGTTTATGTTATATGCATCCAACGCGGAGACTCATTTTGACTCTGACAAGAATATTTGACTCTGACAAGAATTCCTGGATATGCACACCGGCGGAACGAATGCAGACTTTTGATCGGCGACTCAGTAATGTATTCCCCCCCAAGCACAGTACCACTCCTGCTCGTCACTTAACCCATTCAAATTTGCAATATCCTCAAAAACAGTGCGGATAACGTATTCCTAGACCTCACCTCGGTGAATATCAAAGCGCAGTGCCTGCTAAGCGCCGTAAAAGAATGCAACGAAGTGAAATATGGCAGAGCTTACAAAGACTGCATCCCAGGGTGGGGGCACACTCAAAGATAATCAGGCCTGTCATATTGCTCGCTTCGTCTACCAATATATTGTGCGGGGTAAAATCTCCATGAGAGAATACCATCGGAACATCATCGCTTCGGGGCAGAGAGTAGCCATCAACGTTTCCAATCTTCTCAGCGCGGATGCTCAGCCAGGTATTGAAAGATGCCACCTCGGTGAATGGGCCAAACGTGTTGAGGGATAGCTGGTATGAAAGACCTGGTTGGCCCCCAATGCCACAAACCGCGCCAGATGGCGACTGCCGTTCAGGTAAACGGCCGAGTGTATTCGATAATTGTTCAGCCAGACGAATACTTTGTTCCTTGGAGAAGTTTCCGACCTGACGATGAGTGTGGGGCCTGCCGGGTAGTCGAGTAATGACAACGAAAACGTAATCGGGCTCGAGGCAGTTGCCGCGATTGAAGCAAGCTGAATAAGTTTTTGAAATGTCAACTGCGTCGAGTAATCGTGGCACGTGGAGGTCGGGCACAATTCCTGCCAGGACCAAGGCATCACGCTCGCGAGTGGTTGTGCATTTGAGGACCATGTTTCCAGGGAGGAAAGTGACTCTTTCATCGACGAACGGAACCATGCGGTATCGAAACACAAAGAGGCGTTTACGTGCTATGCTGAGGGATATCGATATCAAGGCTACCGCATAGATCTAACCTCGCGTTGTCGAAGTTGTCAACCTCATCCAGACCTTCTAAGCCAGAGACATGCAGGTGGATCGTGCTTGTTGAGCGGTGCCCATTCTACTGTCTGATCAGCTTACAGCGACAGGTTTACAAATGTGAACATACCTGAAAAGGTGAGCTACACGATAAAGGAAAAAAACGCTTCTTTTGGACTGACCCAGTCACAGGCCTGCCCCGCCTTCAGAAGATGTTGGAAGAATGCCACTCTGTACGTATTTCCGTCACAATTTCGACTGCGAGCACTTGCAATGTTCGAGTTGTCCTCCAGCGTGAAGACCGGGGTTTTGCTGCAGCCACTGGGACGTAGCGAAGCAGAACAAGCCAGATTCTGGTAGAGTTGTCGGCCGGAAGCCCAACTCCATAGTCGCATACTGCACATCCACTAAATTACACCATTGCGTGAATACGTTATGTCTAAATCAGATCCCACTCGCCTCTTCCCCAACTCAACACGGATGTCCATTTCCCTTCTCCTCTGCTTTTTCCTTTGCTGCCTCATGAGGCTCCACATGTAGGTGCACTCTGACTTCCTTGATCTCCTTCCTGTCGTGCATCAGCGTCTCCCGAATACACCGTTCGACTTCGTGCGCTTCTCGCATCGTCATCCCTCCCGGGACGTCAGCAGTGAGGTCAACAAACAGCTGCGAACCGCTCTTCACCGCGCGCACGTTACGTATTGCGAGCAGTTCCTGGGTTGGCGTACCCCTCGCTGCGGGGAGGGGGGTGAGCAGACCCGCGAGCGCGGCACGTTCCGGTGCAGAGACACCAGCATCAAGCAGGTCCATGAGGCCTCTCCAACCCCACTTGCACCCCTGCCAGCCGATAGCAGCACTGACCAACAGCCCGCCTAACGGATCCATAGCTGGCACACCTGCCCAGGTAGCGAGGATAGCAACGAGGGCGACACCAGAAGTCCATGCGTCTGACCGGTGGTGGTAGGCGTTTGCTGCTAGTACGGTCGACCCCTCCTCGTCAGCAACCTTCTTCGTTAACCTGTACATCCATTCCTTCACTCCGAGGGAGATGAGCGCGAACCAGGCAGCGTTCGGGTCGAGTGTGAGGGACTCGGTGTCCGCTTCTATCGCGGCTTTCGCAGATTGCGCAAGCGGCTCGAGCACGTCTACCACTGCGGGGGCCGTGGCTGTGGCCATGAGCGGCTCGAGGGCAGCCATAGTGAGCATGAGCGAGTGCTGGCCTAGGAAGTAGGCAGCTCCCACAAGAAGCAGGGAGATCACGACTGTGCCCAGCGACTCGTACTTGCCGTATCCGTAAGGGTAGTCGGCTGTCGGTGTTTTTCGGGAGGTCGTCCACGTTGCGAGAACGACAAAGTCCCCCAACAGATCTAGACAGCGGGTCAGCAAGCCTGGTTGGAATCAATGGAAGAAGCCTACCTCCTGCAGAATGACCAGCATCTGCGACTAGAGCTGCGGAATTGAGCGTCCATCCTGCTACACCTTTCCCAATCGTAAGGCCGACATTGGATAGCGCACCCAGGAGCGTAACATTGGCTCCTCTCCCACCTGATGCAAATATCAGTATCGAATGACACAACAGAACATTATGAAAGACGTACCCTTGCCTTGCAGCGCCTTGATGAGAAGCTCCATGCCCTCCCGATCACCAGCATGCTCATGCGAGTGGAATAGTCCTCCATGGGTATGGTCATGCTCATGCTCATGATTATGCGCAGCCGCAGCAGCAGGAACTACCCCAGCCTTTTCTGGATGCTCGTGTTCGTGCGCGTGATTACTGTGCCCGTTCTTCGAAGGCATTTTTGGGACTGTAGCAAGGGAGGATTCGGAGGTGGTTGGGGATGGAGGGTTAGGAGTCGGGCAAGCGCAATTAGACGACGTGGAGAGTGGGATTCGGCGGACGCCGTCGTTCTGTGAGTCAAGGGTTGGTTGTCGTCTGTTCCGAAGAACGATTATACCTCTTCGTTGGAGTGCTTGGTTGCCCAGAAGATGTACAAGGGAGATAGAGGGCGTGAAGGAGCAAGAGGAGCAGGCAAGAGGTAAGCAGACGTGTCGTTGGTGTATTCGATTGAATCTGTTGACGTGTCCAGTCGAATACGTTCTGACAGTAAGCGCCGACCCAGGAAAAGAATACGACAGCGTGGAAGGAGTAGCAGAACACGAACGTGGCACCGACAACCCGCAGTGTGCCCGTGTGGTGCTGCACGAAGCCGTTGTCCTAGTCGCCGCGGCGCGCAAGGGCCGAGTTCTATTTGCAGCCGCTATTGGTGGGATCCCTGGGTGATAGAGACGTCGTATTGTTAATGGGGCGGACATGTCGAGCTCTGTTGGTAGACGTAGTCTTGTACAGAGGGAGGACATGCTCGTCGTCGTCGTCGACGTCGAGGAGGAAGAGGAGGAGGAGGAGAGGGAGAGGGATGGGGATGCCAGGGGCGGATGGCGGAATGTGCGGGTTGAAGGAGATCCTCGGCCGGAAATGACTCTAGCGGCACCAATTCAGTGATGGGTTGATAAGATGAGATAATCTCCATAATTTATATTTTGTCACGGAATACGTCTTCTTTCTCCGTCAACTATTATACGATCATTCTTCTTTATTACTTCGGACATAAATCCGACACTGGTTATTCTCTTCATCCATACTTTACAACAACGATCTAATCTACATGAATTTACTCATACGGTCTCTAGCACAAACATCTCTTTCAACGTACCCAGTAAGCGCATTACCTTCCAACCCCCCAAACCTCCTCAACCCAACCAACAACATCCCCCAGCTCCCGAGCCAACTTCTCCACCTCCCGCCTTAGCACCTCATCCTCAAACCCCTTCACTCTACCATCCCAGCGGGATTTCACCTCTTCCTCCTCCAGTTCGGTTACTTTCAACGCTCCGGGCAGCCCTCGGCCAGCCCGTAAGCGCCTGGGTGTGCTCTGCCCCTCCTTGGCGCGCTCGCCCTCCGGGACAGGAGGTCGCGAGAAATGCGCAGCGAGAGCGTCGACCAGCCGCCGGCGGAGGAGGGCGAACACTGGATCTTCGGTACGTAGCAAGCGTGATACAGACTTGCGCAGTTGTCGTTCTGCTTCTATATCTGGGTCTTCTTCCTGCGCCGCTTGGGTATCGACAGGTTTGATCACAGGTTCCGCAGGTACAGCGTCCAACGACGCTTTAGGGGTATGTTGAGCCTTCCTCTTCTTCCTCTGCCCGCACCATGCGCTGACGACTTCTTCCTCCAAATGGACCAGTTTCGTTCCCTCCTGCTGCGAGCAAGAAGGGATCGAAGCGTCAATCTCCCCCGAGAGGAGCGTCCATATGCGCGCCGTGAACCGAAGCTGGTCTTCCGTTCCCAGGGCGGAGCTGGGAGACGCGACACGTGGCGTGGGCTGTACGAGCGTCGCGAGACAGGCGGTGATCGTGAGGGCCTGGATCGTGTTCTGAGCAAGTAGGAGCGCGGGGCTCTCAAGCAGCAGCTGGGGAGGAAGATAATTCCTACTTTCCTCCCCCTCTCCTGTGTCCTTTGCCCCCGAGGTGGGGCCGTCAGGCCGGGGGGAGTCGAACCGCGTAGGAATGCTCGGCTGCACAGGCCTATTGCTCCCCAAACAATGTATGATCTTCGCGACCCATCTCCTTTCTCCTTCGCCGTCAGTACCAACCCACTCCTCCCAAGCGTCGTCCAACTGCACACCCTCATAAAACCGCCTCACGACCGCGCGTTCCTCTTCTCCCGCTTCGCGCCTAATAAGCAGGCGCAGCTGTTTCTCCCCCAAGAGGGAAATATGCGCGTCTCGCAGGTCGGACCGCATCTCCCTGCTCAGATCAAGGATCCCGCGAAACGTATCGAGCGCGATTTGGGGTAGGTCCGGGCTCCGAGCAGGAGGAGGAGGGGTGATCCTTTCTAGAAGCGCTTGGACTTCTCCGTCCCTCACCGGGGCGCAGATCTTCAACAGATGATGAAGGAGCGGAGAGAGGTGGAACAGCGCGCTTTCGACTGGTGAGCTCGTGGGGGACATCGGTTCCCTAAGCTGGATAAGAAGGGGGTCCTCCGGAGGTAGAAGGGGGGCAAGCGCTTCAGCCAGATCGATGTAGAGTTGCTGAAGACGGGAGAGTTGGACAGACGCGGAGGGAGAGGAAAGTTTTTCCAGGGCCTTTTGAGGGGTTAGTAAGGGCCACAAAGACAGACGAGACGTACATCTTCCCAGAATGCAGTCTCGAGCTGAGCACGCACGTGCCGCTCGATCTCTGCCGTGCTCGGTAGGTTCCCCCCTTCTACTCCCAGAGCCTCCTGGGTGCCATCTCCTGCTTCCCGAGCGCGCTTGCGCGTTTGTGTATACAAAGATAATACCGATTTCCCTGGTGGGAGGATGGTAGCCGGGCGGAGGGAGAGCTGGTGCAGCAGGTAAGCGTCGTCAAGTTGTCTCTGGAGTTGATGCGGTAGGAGGATAAATGGTAAAGGGAGAGAAGGGCTGCTGCTGGGTGATGAAGGACTGGCAGGTGGCATCCTTGTCGAGGAGAAGAGACGAAAATTCCGTGTTGATCGCCGCCCTCTTTCGCGTCTCAGGTGGTGTAAGCGCCCCACGTGGGATATGTCATCAATTACGTAATATACATGATCATCGTCAGCCCTTTGGCGCTCACACCGCCGCAGTTCAGTTCAGGTCACACTGCACTTCTCCTTCTTACCACCACCATCACCATCTCTCATTCTTACACCACATATGACCTTATAGCTGGCTACATAGTCCCAGAAGAGGACAACAACCAATGGACCCAACAACCACCTCAACTTTCTCGCCATCACCGAGCGCATCTCCACTCCCAGACTCGGGGATCCCAGTGTCGGTAGGGAACGGGCTCAACCCCGCAGTGTCGTTTCTCATCGGCGCACTCATCATCCTCGGTGCGAGTGCAATGAACGCTGCTGGACTGAACATCACAAAACTAGATCATGTATGTCTTTTCTCCTCACTGCGCACATTCCCGTTCACCGCATCCAGGTCCGAACAGCATCCACCCCAAAACATGCTCGACGATCCTCATGTCTCCGTCCGCTCTGGGCGCTCGGGATGTCATTATACATCCTTTCCCAGCTTCTTGGCAGTACACTTGCGCTCCGGTACCTCAGAGCAGAGTACGTCGCCCCGCTGGGTGCGACGAGCTTGATCTTCAACTTTTTGTTTGCGAGTTGGCTTGTCGGTACGCCGGTGACAAAGACTGATATACGAGTGCGCTCTCTGCTTTCCCCCGCGTTATACACCAGCTTATCGAAATACAGGGAACAGTCACCGTCATAATCGGTGTGATCGGCATCGTCGTATTCGGCTCGATCCACTCTCCCGAACTGTCCGACAGTGTCGACCTCCCGTTACTCAAGTACTACTGGTCCCGCGCAACCTGGTGGGGCTACTTCCTCCTCATGGGGCTTGGCACACTCTTCACCTACTGCTGGTCATCGATGCTCCAGAGCGCTCTTCAGGCTAAGGAAGATCTAGAGCTGCCTACGCCCGCGCATTCCACGAAACTCTTGGCATGGTTTGAGCGCGGTCCGATGCGCTATGTAGGCGGGGTGATAAGGACGCTGAGTGGGATTTGGCGGAACTTGCAGCGGAAGGTGGACAGAGTGGCTGATGCGAGCGATGACAAGTTTTTGAACTGGGTACTGGCGATGGGCTGGTCTTGCTGTGGCGGAGCGCTTGCAGGAGGCTGTCTAGTTTTTGCCAAAGCAACGTATGTCCTTTCTCCAACCAGCTCTTTTATTTCTGATTGGTATTCCTGGGCAGTGTAAATCTACTCGCTACAAGAGGGTCCTTCCTCTCCCCAGCGTCTCTTTTCACCCTCCTCCTGCTCATCCTCACCGCCGTGACCCAAATCGTCTGCCTAAACCGCGGGCTCGAAGCCTGGGACTCAACACTCGTCGTCCCGGTATTCTACGGAATCTACACAAGCTCAGGTTTCCTAGATTCCCTCATGTTCTTCCACGAAACACCATATTTCCAGATGTGGGTGCTGGTAGCGATCTTCCTCTCTATTGGGGTGCTTGTCGCTGGCGTCATCCTACTGAGCACCAAGAAGCCGGACAAGGCACGCACGGCGCCGCGCGGGATCCCGGCAACAGAACGGGAGAGACAGAGGGATAGGATTAGGAGCGCAGCAAGGAGCGGAGAAGAGTCTGTCGCGCTACGCTCTGGAGAGCTGGACCAGGATGGAAGACCACAGCAAGGGGAGGTCATGTGGGAACTTGGGAGCGTATCGGATGAAGAGGAAGATACGTTCACAGCCCGATCTAGTGCGAAACGGCCGAATGGAGCTGGGGAGGGAAAGGGACTGATGGCCCCTGAAGAAGAAGAGGATGGGGATGGTAGGAGCACGAGAGCGTTTAGTATCCGTACGGCTAGGAGCGGGGATGCTCCGGTTGTGGATGTTCCCGTGAGGCCAGTAGCGGAGGAGCAGCCAGTGTATAACGCTTGGGCGGAGGAGACGGGGAGGAGAGAATGAGGCATTCGGGAGAGAGGCGGCCATTGTATCTATGTTCACGCATAATGATGATACCCTTCACGATCTTTTTCTTCATGTTCAACTACCCCGGAATAACCGTTGTTCGGCTCCGAGACGGACGAAAAAGTCGCGCGTCAACCGCTGACCAGGGACCAGAAGAGTTCCCCACTTCTGACAACGCCTCGGTCGAGTCAGACAACCGTACTTTCACTTCAACCTTCATCTACAACAGCTAGATCGCACGCATACTGCGGGATAGCCTGTAGCAGAAATGCCTTTCCCAGCACATGATGGTGAGCTTTATTGCGTCTGCTGTATCCAGCGAGCGCTAAATGTGTGGGGTGTGAAGTTACGGCAAAATTCGACTTTGCGACAGAGGAGGAAAAGGTACTCCAATACTGGCGCGAGATCGACGCTTTTCGCACATCTGTGAAGCTATCCGAGGGGAGGCCCGAATTCTCGTTCTATGATGGGCCGCCGTTTGCTACTGGTTTGCCGCATTATGGACATATCTTGGCTGGGACTATCAAGGTGCGCTTGCTTAGTGGTACGCCGAGGCAGAGGTTGACGAGTCTGCTGGCAGGACATCATCACCCGACATGCCTCTTCATCCGGATTTCATGTTGAGCGGCGCTTTGGGTGGGATACGCACGGTCTTCCCGTGGAGCACGAGATTGACAAGAAGCTCAATATCCGCTCGAAGGACGACGTAATGGCAATGGGGATCGACAAGTACAATGCCGAGTGCCGAGCGATCGTGATGCGGTACGCGAGTGAGTGGCGGACGATGGTGGAGCGCATTGGACGCTGGATCGACTTTGATAACGATTATAAGACGCTCTACCCTACGTTTATGGAGAGCATCTGGTGGGTGTTTGGACAGTTGTATGAGAAGGGAATGGTCTATCGTGGTCTGAGAGTCATGCCTTATTCCACTGGCTGCACCACGCCGTTGTCGAATTTCGAGGCTGGCCAGGACTATCGGGATGTCAGTGATCCTGCAGGTGCGTTGTGTTCATTTCCAGTCATGGAAGTCGACCCTAATGGTGTAACAGTGACGGTCGCCTTCACGTTAGTTGATGATCCTTCGACCTCCTTGCTGGCTTGGACAACTACACCCTGGACCCTTCCCTCCAACCTTGCCATCTGTGTGCATCCTGACTTTAACTATATCAAGATCCACGATGAGGAGCAAGGAGAGAACTTCATCCTCTGCGAGACGCTGCTCAAGACGCTGTACAAGGACCCGAAGAAAGCCAAGTTCAAGAAGCTTGGTCAGTTTAAGGGACGCGACATGAAGGGTTGGCGTTATGTCCCGCTATTCGACTACTTCACGGAACAGTTTGAGGACCGCGCTTTCCGCGTGCTCAACGATACGTACGTCACGGCTGAGGACGGTACGGGTATCGTCCACCAGGCTCCAGCGTTTGGTGAAGATGATCATCGTATTGCTCTGGAGAATGGTATCTTGCGGCCAGAGGAAATGCCACCTTGCCCGTTGGACGACGTTGGATGCTTCACAGAGGAGGTGTCGGACTTCAAGGGCATGTATGTCAAGGATGCGGACAAGGTGATCCAGCGAGTCCTCAAGCAGCGCGGCAAGCTTGTCGTCCAGTCCACCCTCGTTCACTCGTACCCACATTGTTGGCGCTCAGGCACGCCGCTCATCCAGCGAGCGATCCCGGCGTGGTTTGTGCGAGTCCAGCCTATCGTCGACAGGCTTGTCAAGAACAATGCCAAGACTCGTTGGGTGCCCGCTCATGTCGGTGAAATGCGGTTCGGCAACTGGCTCGCCAACGCTCGTGATTGGAACGTCTCTCGGAATCGTTATTGGGGCACTCCCATCCCGCTCTGGGCATCAGAGGACTACGAAGAAATCGTTGCTATCTCTTCTGTTCAGCAGTTAAAAGAACTTTCGGGCAAGGACGACATCACTGACTTGCATCGAGAGAGCATCGATAATATCACCATCCCTTCAAAACAGGGCAAAGGTGTACTTCATCGCGTGCCCGAAGTCTTCGACTGCTGGTTCGAGTCCGGCTCCATGCCCTATGCCCAGAACCATTATCCATTCGAGAACAAGGCGAAGTTCGAGAGTACCTTCCCGGCGCAGTTTATCTGCGAAGGGTTGGATCAGACGCGTGGGTGGTTTTATACTCTGCTGGTGCTCGCCACCCAGCTGTTCGATACGGCCCCGTGGGAAAACCTCATTGTCACTGGCTTGGTGCTGGCCGAGAACGGGAAGAAGATGAGTAAGAGCAAGAAGAACTATCCGGACCCGAATCTGGTTGTAAACAAGTACGGTGCGGATGCGCTACGGTATGGGGTTGTCCCAATCTTCTACGACAGCAAACTCATATATGGCGTTTAGAATGTTCCTCGTCAATTCCCCCATTACCCGTGGTGAGAACTTGCGGTTCCGTGAGGATGGTGTCCGCGAGGTTATTTCACGGGTGCTTCTACCCTGGGTCAACTCTTTCCGCTTCTTCCTGGCCCAAGTCGCGCTGCTCAAGAAGACGACGAATGTGGATTTCATGTGGGAGCCACACGCCAAACGCTCCGCCAACATCATGGACCGCTGGATCCTTGCCCGTTGTCAATCCCTCATCAAGCTTGTGCGCGAGGAGATGGCTGCCTACCGCCTGTATACCATCATCCCCCGGTTATTGGACCTCGTTGATGAGCTCACAAACTGGTACATCCGCTTCAATCGCCAACGCTTAAAAGGCGGCGACTCGACTGAGGACTGCGTCTTCGCACTCAATACCCTTTTCGAAGCGCTCTTCACCCTCTGTCGTACCATGTCATCGTACACTCCCTTCCTCACCGAGAATCTGTATCAAGAACTCAGGCAGTTCATCCCTGAACACTACTTTGGCAACGACGATTCTCGCTCTATCCATTTCGTTGCATTCCCTGACGTCAATGAGGAATACCTCGACCCTGTTATCGAGCGTCAAGTCCAGCGTATGCAGAGCATCATCGAATTGTCTCGCGGGCTACGCGAGAAGCACAACATCTCATTAAAGGTATGGTATATCAGCGTTGACAAGGACTAGGGAACTAATATGCCTCCAGCGTCCGCTCAAGACCTTAACCGTCTTCCACCCTTCACAAGAGTATCTCGATGATGTCCAGTCTCTTTTACCGTACATCGAGTCTGAGCTCAATGTGCGCGAGGTCATCCTCACCAAGGAAGAGCATCACATCGGTGTCGGCTACCGCGCCACAGCTGATTGGGCGACATTGGGCAAGAAGTTGCGGAAAGATCTTGTCAAGGTTAAAAATGCTTTGCCAAATCTCACTTCTGACCAAGTCAAGGAGTATGTCAAGACGGGAAAAATTGACGTCGCCGGCATACCCCTTGTACACGGAGACTTGCAGATCACCCGATTCGTTGAACTCGAGGCTGATGGCGGGCATGATACGGCGACTGATAACGACGTGGTTGTGATCCTGGATATTCGGAATCACCCCGAACTTGAAGGGGAGGGTATGGCTCGTGAAGTCATCAACCGCGTCCAAAGATTACGCAAGTCTGCTGGCTTGCAGCCTACTGACGACGTCGAGGTCTACTACCGCTTCGAGGAGGGCGAGGGCGAAGACCTGGTCGCTGTTATTCAGGAATACTCCGACATGATCAGCAAGGCCATACGGAGCGTGCCAGTGGAGGACAGCAAACGCCCGAAAAATGCTGCGGTGTTTGTTGAGGAGACCCAGCAGATTGGGGATACGATCTTTGTTTTATTGTTTGTACGGGCATAGGCGTTTATGGACGTCGCAGGTAAAGGACAGCCCTAATACCGAATGTAGATTGCAAAGTAATACAGCATGGGATGTAGAACTACAAGTAGAGATACAATGCATCGTCTTCTCTCAAAGGCATCCTATCGATTTCCTAAATCAACCATAACTATCGTTTTGAGCCTCCAAACCCAGCAAACCCCATCATGTCCAACATATCAGGATTTGCCTCTGTTGCCTGTTGCTCCTGCTCTTGTTTCACCGCCTTGATAGCTTGCTTCTCCTCTTTAACTTTCCTCCGCTTAGCTTGTCGCTCCTCTAATTCTTTGTTCCTAATCTGCTGAAGGCGCTTCTCGAAGTCGTATGCCTTTACCTCAGCAGCTTCCTTCGTCTTTTCGCGCAACAAAGCTATTCGTGCCCTGACTTGTTCGACCGTTGACCGTTCTACAGTAGTCGTTTGACCCAATTTACGCAAATCTGAACACACAAAACACATCAGCGTTGTCCTTCGCTCGTAAGCAACTGTTGTGACTCACGTGCGCGAGAATTGATGTGATCAAGATACCCAGCAGTGTCCTTGAAGTTTCTCGTACACACTTCACAATAAAATCCCGGTTGACCCGGCCCTCGACCCCCAGCGGAGTGAACAACAATGGTCTTATTCAAGTTCTTCTCGAGCTCCAGGTCCTCCTCGCGCGCTTTCATGAGCTCCGTCGGCTTAGGAAGTTCCTCCTTTATGCGCCGTGGTTTCTTGCCTGTTCATTCGTAATCAGTAACCTTATTGATACCTCACCTAAGACGGGATGCACACCTTGTCGCATACGGGCGTCATTCTCCTTCATTCGTTCACGCTCCTCCTCGTCTTTTACTTTTGCTTTTTCTGCATATTCTTCACGATCCCACTTCTTACGGAATGATCCGTCCGACTGTTGTCCGATTGTCAGCAGGTATCTCAAGAACTCTAGATGCACGGACCGCTTTGCCTCCATAAGCTCCCACTTTCTCCGACATGCTGTCGATAGGCACGTATTGATTACTTGAGTTGACAACTTGAACGTGTGTTGTTAGACCCAAGCAGTGACTGCCCAGGGTCTTCGTTGACAAGGACTTGGTACGACGGGCGCTTCGCCACTCCACGTGTCCGAAGTCACTGCCCACCGCATTCCCAAACACAACCTTCCCTCTCTCCCTTCGTTCTTTCTTCTAGTCCATCATGGACATCGATACGCCAGGAGAGACTGGTATATTTGCTGACGACCATCGACATCTTTTCTGGGTTCCAGCGTTCTCAAAATCGTTTCCACTCCCTTTCCGCGTTCTCACCTTGCTTGGACTTGGCATAATTGGCTGGGCGACGAACTTACACCTTCTCCGATTACTCGGCGTCGACGCGTACGGTGCGCTTGTCAAAAACAGCGCGTCACTCCGAGGTCAAAACGATGGGTTCCCTTCGAGCAGTGGAGGGAACAAGCGAGAGCAAGACCGTGCGCTTACCGCGAGTGTGTACAGGTTATTCCTCGTGTATGCGCTTTGGGTCGGAACTGGCTGGTTCCTTTTCCGCTATGCGACGGGTGGGGACGAAGACATGATTAACCGCTATCGAGCTGTCCCCGCTATACTCCTCGCTGCAATACTCCTTGGTATCCTGAGTCCTTATTCCTTCGAGAAGCACACCAGGGAGACTTTCCTTCAGTACGTTCTGTTCATGCCCCTCCCAGACCCTCGCGATTGACACTGGTGCAGAGGATGCCGTCGCTGTTTCATTCCTTCCTTTTCACAGCCAACCTACTTTTGCGACATCGTCCTTGCCGATATCTTCACCTCCTTTGCAAAAGTGTTTGGCGATTTGTACATCTCCGCACACCAAATCTTCTGGGTGGGATATGTCACCTCTGTACCAGCCCAGAAGGGCATGTTGCAGCTCATTGTGCCGACTATGATGAGGTACGTACGCGGCAGCCGCGTAAGTCGTTGTGCTAAACCATTCTTCACGAAGCATTCCGTACTTTATTCGTCTTCGTCAATGCTGTATCGACTACCTTGTCTCCGATCGTCGCTCGAAGCGACCACTTTACAATGCACTCAAATATGCCACCGCATTCCCAGTTATATACCTGTCCTCTGCTCAAACTATTGTTATTCGCGACCTCATTGCTGAGAAGGGTGAGGCGCGAGTGTTGGCGACGCATTGGCATGGAGAGCATACCCTGTTCCGTTTGTGGTATGTCTCACTCTGTTGCACCCTTGTATGTGGCTAATACTCTCGAAGGCTGCTTTTTGTCTTCATCAACTCAATTTATACCTTTTGGTGGGACGTAACCAACGACTGGGGACTGTCATTGCTCGAACCATCGTTATGGTGGCCGATACTGCGGGGTCAGCAGGCAACGTCTTCCCAGTCCTATCGCTCTCTCCCCACAGGGGACCCATACGATGCTTCATCCGCTTCTGATTATCCGATTTCCCACCATCGAGCCTACACAAACCGCACTCCTGATCCCCAAGTCGATGGCACGCCACTGCCCACACCTGCGACGAACCCACGCGGATCTGAGACCTTCTACGCCCTCTCCAATGGCTCAACTTCAAAACTCCCTCGTCCGCCAGGCTTGCGCCCACACCTACTGTATCGGTATCCGCGCGTGTACTACGCCATCATCACTCTCAATCTCATCCTCCGGCTCACCTGGTCTCTGAAGCTCAGTAGCCACCTGCACAACGTCACTGAATTCGGCAGCGGCGTCTTCATTATGGAAGCGCTCGAGATTGTGCGGCGGTGGCTTTGGGTATTCTTCAGAGTGGAGTGGGAGGTGGTGCGGAAGGCTGAGCTGGAAAATGTTGGGTTTGGCCTGGCATTGGAGATTGATGAGGATTACGAGCTGCGACGGCGCGACGGCAAGGAGCCGATAGTTCGTTGACGCGTGAGGTGCGATGAATAGACGCGCGCCTCCCTCTGCGGCGTGACGATGGACTGTTACATTACTCCATATCACCATCTCCGTGATACATCTAACGTATTATCATTGTATACTCTCCACACTGATGAGGAGAGAATTACACGTGACTCGGGTTACAGATTTATGTAAACAACCCTTGTGTTTTGGCTCCGTCGGGCTCACGTACAAAAGAGTGATTCATCAGTCAACTTTTCACACCCTTGTCATTGGCTACACCATCATCAACTGCTGCATCCCCCCTGGTGGATTCTACCATACCACTGGCTCACTCTTTTTTGGATACCTACTCATATCCCTCTTGCTTTATTCTCTCTTTGTCTTTTTGTGCCGCTCTTTGCGACATATTGCTTCCGCCACGCGTATCGTCGATAAGCCGCAATATCGCCGAGTGAGACAGCCATCCAAGTCATAATGGCTCGTCCGGATGATTCCTTCACGACTCCACCTGCTTCGTCGGATGATGAGTCTCTTTCTGATGCGTCCTGGTCCGATGTCGACGACGACGACGATGACATGGACTTTTTGAATGATGCCGGCTCCGACCTCGAGGAGGGGGAGGAATCGAAGCCGGAGAGGAGGCCCAGATCAAAGCCTAAGCCTGCCCCAAGGCCTCAGAGAAGCCCTTCTAAAGCAGGGAATGGCAAAGGTAAAGGTAGAGCGGACGCACCTTCCGCAGGGAAGAACGAATTTGTAGGGCATCGGCTCAATAAGCCGGTGGTCGTCCAAGTGAGCTGCAAGATGCTCTTTGGTGAGCGTGTTCTTTGTCCCCAAGTTATGTAACCTGACAGACAATCAAGAGGAGATGAAGAGTGGTGAAGTAAGCGGATGTTATGTTTGAACCCATCCCAAGCTCATATTCGTTTATAGATTGATCTAAATGCAGAATATCAACGTGGTAAGTTCCTTTGCCTTCCTCAGATTGATTCATTGGATGGAATGTGTTATGTGTTCATGTCATTGTTCTCAGACAAATGGCTGCAAGTCTGGTGTGAAAAAAAAAAGATTCTCACTTCTGCGTTGTTCCCGCTGTCTTTATATTGACTTTGCACTAGATGTTGTGTGGCCTGAGAAGAACCAGAGCAAATTGATTGACAGTATTTTGAGGAACTACTAGTAAGTAATTCAATTTCATGCATATAACTTCTCTAACTTGAGGTGGCATAGTATCCCTCCTGTTGTGTTCTCCAAAATAGACAAGGGTATGAATGAAGTGAAGATATGTGTTGATGGTAAACAAAGGCTAACAAGCATCCTGAAGTGAGTGATGCTTATTATTGTTCAGAAATGGTGACTAAATTGCACATGTGACTGTTTTTCTAGGTTCATGAATAGTGAGGTTTGTACCTCTCCTTGTGAAACACTTACAGAGCTAACATGCTTATGCTCCCAGGTCCATTGTATGCTTTGCAGTAGCAGCAAACCACTTGATGCTAACTTGCTTTTCATAGATATCAGTAGGAAAACGGGCCACAAGTACTACTGGGACCGTGTGCGTGGTGTGAAGGGGGCTCAAATCCTTGTAAGTGTTCTTGTATCTCTGTTTCTAAAAGTGTCGTTAGTGACCTAAGCATCATAGCCGGATGCCTGGAAGTCCGAGTTCGAACGTGCGCAGATGACGACTGTGAGTTTCACAGATCTCAGTCCGTATGAGGAACGCGACATCTTCCAGAGGGTGCAGCTTGGTATGGCACTGAGCACGCCCGGTACGTGGTGTCTGTCCCCGGCAAACTTAATCTTACTGACGGCTTTCCACAGAGAAATGGCAGGCTCTCCAAGGACCATGGCCCGACTTCATGCGACAACTACGTCTGTCATACTTCAGCAATGAAAATCGTGATTCGAATATCCTCGATAACATTCAATGGGATATCACGCGCGCGAAGGACTTTCAAGACCTCGTCCGAATGACATTCATGGTCAACGCTACTATCGTTACGCACGAACCCCCTCCAATCAGCTCGGAGAAACTGGAGGAGGCGATGAGTGACGAGCAAGGCCCATCGGATAAGTTCCAGATCCAGATGGCCACCATACTCGCCACCTTCCTACGACTTGTCAAGACCGAACAATACTCACACGCATTCTATGGCAAGGTTGCCCCTGTTGAACTGGTCATGATTGCTGTCCTCATTGGCATGTGCATGGATCACGTCAGGGACACTGATCTGGCTGAGGGTATCCGGGAGATGAGGGACAATGTTCGCAGGACCACTGCCAAAGGTTACATTATGTCCGTGAGCTTCTCTTTATTTCTTATCGGAGATACTGAATCATATACAGGTGGAAACCTGAAGTCGTAAAGAAGATGTTGCGGTTCATTGAAGCGTGGAAGCGAGAGCATTCACGGAAAGTTGACCGTAAAAGTGTTTCATCGTACCAATCAAGAGTGGACGTAGCATCGAACAACGACGTCTCCAGAAACGATGTCTCCAGAAAGCGAAATGCAAGCGCTGCACATGAAGACTCCAGTGACGAGGAGCGTCGCAGGACAGATCGCAATGTCCGACCACGGAGTTCAGCACTGGCGGACACCAAGATTCCCAAGAAAACCTCTACTAGCACCTCCACAACCACTAATGCTGGATCGGGGTCGAGAACTTCGTCCGCTCAAGCCGGTCCTTCAGGTACACATGCCCCTCAGCGTGTGGCACCACCGCCCTTGGTCAGCAGGGAGACGTTGCTAAGCCAGGCTGGAGTCCGTTCCACTCCCACCAGCAACAGCAACAGACAGAATTCCTCCGGGTCATCAGTCCAGGAGAGGTCGCCCGTTGAGACGAGGTGTCCAACCACCGTTCTGGCACCAAGTACAGCTAGTAACGGGATTGTAGTTCGGCAACAACGCCCGCCAACCACCGTTCCGGCACCAATTACAGCTAGTAACGGTATTGTAGTTCGACAGCAACACCCAGCTCCAGCTGCTATAGCTGATATGGACCGCGCGACCATGGAGCAGGAAATCGACCGAACGACAGAAGAGATCACTGCGCTCTCAGTGCTCGTCGCAAGAGGAGACCGGCCCGATCACGCAGAGCTAGCTGCGAGACTGAGGCAACTGACGAGTCTCAAGACGCAATTGCTCAAGAACAAGTTCTTGGGCCGAAATTTCAGGAGAGCGTGACGGTCATGCGATCATTCAGTATCCTTGCTCAGAGCTAACGCGGGACACACGACTCCTACAAATTGTTCCAGTGCTTCAATTAGGTGCTGTGTCGTTCTTCCTTTACATATTTTTGGATTCATTTGACGAGTCATCTTGTACCGTACCATACGCTTTATATTCACCAATGTGGATAGTATGTGTCAGGGAAGCACAATGGTGCTGTCGCCATCCACCAAAAGGTACATATATGCGCGGTCCCTCAAGAGCATACACACCGCTCCTCTCCAGCACCGCTGTCAATTTCCTGTCCGTTGTATTCTCAAATAGCAGAGTAAGAGTTGCGATATCCGAATACATGAAATAGGTATGCACGCAGGATAATGTATGCACGTAAAAATCCCAAGTCCGGTGCATGACATGAGCTGCAGCTTCACTCAAAAGGGTTCGTCCTCCCAGCCTGGTCATCATCGTCCGACTCCTCGCCCCCACACCCGCAACACCAGTCTAGCCACCATCGTTTCGCTGTATGCTGGTGCGTGTGGCTATGGGGGACGGGTGATGGCTCGCTCTCGATACTGCTGCTCGGTCCGTCGCTTGCCGTCATCTGCCGCGTAAGCGTAGGCTGCCATCGTGTATCCTGGAGGGCGACGTCTTCTAATTCAGGAAGGGGAGGTAAAGGATGGTCCATATCCCTCGCATGTTCGGACGACGAGCGGGCAGAAAACGGATCCTCCCCGTCCGTTTCTCGCATACCGCCAAAGGCGGAGGAGACGCTACTGCCGTGCGGTGTGCGCGAGTGTTTTGGTCGAGACCTGCCGCTGGAGGTGCTGCGGGTATGGGTGTGCAGGTGCGCTGGTGGGGGACGGGAAGAGAGTGGACTTGTGTGAGGGGAGAATGTATGCGCTTGTGAGCGGGCAGTACTGGGTGTCGCTGGTTCCTGGAGCATCCCTCTTTCTGCGTCTGCCGGCTCTCCTGCTCTTAGCACACCCATGGATAGAGGTCGAAGAGGGGCATCGCTCGTCATACTATGTACGCTGGTTCTCTCCGGTGCACCTTCTCTTCTCCTCCCACCACGTAAGAGGTACGACGCGCGTCGTGTGACTTCCGCCAGGCTGCCGGCCGAGAGAGAGGGATCCCCCGTTGACGACTCGGCACGAGAGCGACGCGCGTCTCGTGCGGCTTTTCTTCGCTGACGGTCCTGTTCTTCCCAGCGTTTTAGGTTCTGAGCAAGGAGTGAGGATATATGCGCTTTTGGGATTGGGAACGCACCTCAGCGACCTTTCGCTCCTCCATCGTATCATCGCTGACTGGGGGATACGACGCGGTCGGGGAGACGCTGTCCACCTGGGTATAGTCCAGCGTTCCCATCTGTATCCCCACCCCATTCTCTAGATCTACTTCCACTGCACGCGCCTTCCCCTTCCACTTGTGAGGCGACCCGTTGCTTGCCTGCGTCGCATGCCCCGAACCAGCATCTTTCCGTCTTCGTGGGTGTTCACGAATCGTCCCAGCGTCATCATCATCCTCCCCACCAGTCATCTCCCCATCCCTATCATCATCATCCTCGTCCCGTTCTCCAGGCTGCACCAGCTGGACTGCACTATGCGCTGCCTGTGTCACGCTTACACCAAGCCCGACTATCGGAGGGCTGAAGGGATCGTCTTCCGGTGTAATACGGTCTGTGGAAATGGACAGCGGGATGCGGGTAGGGAAATCGCCTGATGGGAGACGGGTGTGTCCTGTCTGTGGTGGACGAGGCCGTGATGCGGACATGTGGTATGTGGGGCTGAGGCGGAGGTTGATGATGTTAGGATGGTAGGGTATGTTGAGGGAATGTTGGGGATGGGCATCAGACGACGACGCTGTGCCTCTTGAGGATGATGACGAGATGGTGGTGGTGATGGTGAGAGTACTTGTGTGTGCCTGCAAGCGTAAGGGAGAGAAGAGAGAGATTGAGGGGTTGACAGAGAATGGTGGCTCTGCAGAAGAGCGCGTCAACGCATCATTCACAGGTCATCTCTTGCCTTGTTACCACGCTTACAATACACATTTCGGCACTGAAAAAATTATCTGAATCTAGCCCCGAGCATGAACACGCTAACAGATTTTTACGTCCAGGTTAGCAACAACGTTTGTACTAAGAATACGCAAGGAAGGCACTTCAGATGAGCTACGTTGCAGAAACGTGCTCAAGAACGAGGCAGAACTATTCTCTGCGCTCTTCATCGGTCCCTTTCTGGTGGTACAATCCCCTACACTTCAATTAGTATCTTGATATCCCCTCAGTATAAAGAGGTATATATATTATTCTGATGAATTATTCCAGCAGATCAGGGCCAGGCGCAGAGCTATCACACAGAACCATCTAATCGCCTCTCACAAAAGTCTCCAATCAAAACGTGATCCGATCCATCGGCGAAAAGAGCACTCGGTAACGGGAGCAGTTGTCAAAGGGTCCGTCCCACGTCGCCCAACTTTCTGCCCAACAAGCCTGGTTACCATCTCCCAGAACTAACCACCATGTTCGCCCGTGCGTCCTCATATCTAGCTCCTGTGTTCGTCGCTCTGCTCGCTCTGAGCGGGACAGTTGAGGCAGCAAAGTCACCTGCCATCACTAGCAAGGTGAGTGCCGCAGTGTGTGTTGGTTTGGGTGGCCTTGACGCGTTGGTCGTAGGTGTACTTCGATATCACCCATGGGGGCGAACCCTTGGGCAGGAGTACGTACATCTCTGTCAAGCTCTTACCAATCTGACACTTTTGGTAGTCGTGATGGGTCTCTACGGCAAGGTACATACTTTGCATTTTGATCTACGAGCATGGTGGGCTCATCAGGCACCCCCAGACTGTGCCCAAGACGGCAGAGAACTTCCGCCAGCTTACCCTCGGGCTCGACGCCGACGGCAACCCGCTCGGATTTGGGTACAAGGGCACCTCCTTCCACCGCGTCATCAAGGATTTCATGATCCAGGGTGGTGATTTCGGTGGGTCTCGCATATCCTTGCCCACCCTATCAAATGTTAATCATGTTTTATAGAAAGGGGCGACGGCACGGGTGGCAAGTCCATCTACGGCAAGAAGTTCCCTGACGAGAACTTTAGGCTCCGCCATACCGGCCCCGGCGTACTCTCCATGGCTAACTCGGGCAAGGACACGAACGGCTCCCAGTTCTTTATCTGCACAGCTGTCACCAGCTGGCTGGATGGCCACCATGTACGGTTCCTTATTTTGTGGGATTCGAAGCGAAACTGATCGTGTGGGCAGGTCGTGTTTGGACAGGTGTTGGAGGGAATGGAGGTGGTGCGTATGATCGGTGAGCGATGATGCCTTTATATGCTCTTGTGAGAGACTGACAATATTCAGAAAATGTCCCCAAGGGATACCAGGACAAGCCGAAGGACCCGGTCATCATCGCTGAAACTGGCGAGGCATGTTCCTCTCCACGCTCAACATGCCAACCCCTGACTCTTTTGTCCACAGCTCCCGCTAGATGTGGATGAGGAGGGCGAGCAGGTGCCTTTCCACGTCGAGCTGTAACTTCTCCTAGTTCTAAAATACACATCGTTTTCCCCCTTTACAGGATCTCGATCTAGAATCCCCGACGCCAGCGCCCTTTACCCCGTCCCCCAACCCAATGGCAAAAGGATCGATCAACCTCCTCCCCCTCCCCGTGCGCTACCTCCTCGCCCTCCTCGTCTTCGTCGTCCTCCCCGTCCTCGCTTTCGTCCTCCTCGGCGGCGTACAGTGCTGCCGCAACTTGTTCAATCTTGTTGATCGCAAGGGGAAACGCAAGGCGGGGTATATGAAGGTCGACCTGGAGAAGTAGTAGGTGGACCGATGCAGATTGTGTACAATATAACGAGTGTCAGATACGTGCTAGTATATTATTATCGGATGGTGGATATCGTCCCTCTGCCATTCGGCACTGAAAAAATTATCTGAATCTAGCCCCGAGCATGAACACGCTAACAGATTTTTACGTCCAGGTTAGCAACAACGTTTGTACTAAGAATACGCAAGGAAGGCACTTCAGATGAGCTACGTTGCAGAAACGTGCTCAAGAACAAGGCAGATCTATTTTCTGCTCTTCATCGGTCCCTTTCTGGTGGTACAATCCCCTACACTGCAATTAGTATATTGATATCCCCTCAGTATAAAGATGTATATATTTTATTCTGATGGATTATGTCCAGGCGCAGAACCATCTAATCCTCTCACAAAAGTCTCCAATCAAAACGTGATCCGATCCATCGGCGAAAAGAGCACTCGGTGGCGGGTCTCACATAACTAACCACCATGTTTGCCCGTGCGTCCTCATATTTTGCTCCTGTGTTCGTCGCTCTGCTCGCACTGAGCGGGACAGTTGAGGCAGCAAAGTCACCTGCCATCACTAGCAAGGTGAGTGCCGCAGTGTGTGTTGGTTTGGGTGGCCTTGACGCGTTGGTCGTAGGTGTACTTCGATATCACCCATGGGGGCGAACCCTTGGGCATGAGTACGTCAACGCCACAATGACCAGGCGCGCATCCGAGTCAACACCCCGCACATGTCTCACGGAACCAATATAGCGGTAATAGTATAATTACTCCGGACTTCACCCCTTCACTCCTAGGAGATCTAACCGATGCGTCCAGTCGACAAACTCGTAGGTCCCGAGGCGCCGCACGACCTCCTCTCGACAGTAGCATACTGTGAGCCCGCAAAGGAGGGGAATGCCTTCCTCGGCCTCTGGCGCAGGTACTGGCAGGGCAACTTGCTCCCTGCGGACGTAGTCGAAGCGCCTGTCGAGCGTGGTGCACCAATTGTGGAATGCACCTCGCTCCCTTCGTATCAGGTCAACCTTGCTCCATACTGAGGATACGCGACGGGTGCTGCTCCGCGCCGGTAGGGGGTCCTTGATTCGAAGAGAGATGATCCAGGCCATCTCGGAAATACAGCATACGTAATAGGACAGGTCGTCCACGCTCTCGGTCAACCCCGACCGCGACCGCGACCAGCTCTGGCGACGCGGGTGCTCAAGTGCCCATCATCGAGGGAGGTTGGGCGGTCCCGCTTCGTCCTGTGATCGATAGACAGGAATTTCTCGCCCTGGCGGACAATTTTGGAGAACGGCCCCACACCTGGCCTGCAAGCGGCTGCATCCTCACGGGAGAAGAAGGGATCGGTATGACCGCTGTATCCCTGCGTCAAGCGTGTATTCTAATATTTATGCAGGCAAGACACTGACGCTCTATTGTATTCTCTTTCTCCGCCTGCACGCAAAACTCGTCACTGTCCTCCAAGTGACACCCAAACGCGCGTATCTCTTCTGCGCAAGCGGCGTATACATCCTAGGCGACCTCCCCGAGCGTCATCCCTCGAACGAGTTGGTGATCCCAGATTTCCTAGAGAACAACCATGCCTGGATCCTTGTTGACTCGGATCACGCGGACATGACCGAACCGTCGGATTTCCTCTCGAATGGCATAAGTGCGTTCACCCTGCAGGCTACGTCCTTCCCTCAGGACGGACTGAGATGGGAAAGGAAGAACCCTGCGCGCGTATGGAGGTATATCATGGATCTCTGGAGCTGGGAAGAGATCCTTATGGTGTACGTGGGTTCGCACGCAACTCTAGCAAATGTTAATCGTGTCTACTATCTAGACGAACGCTGCAGCGGCAGTATGGCTCGCAGCTGGTGGACGAAGCCCGCTTGTGGGCTGCATTCACCCATCTTGGTCCTACTGCATTCGGCGTGTATCGTGCATGCCGCAGCGGGATCAGGACCGAACTCCGGGCGATGAAACAATTCATGCGCCGAGGGAGGGGCGACGTCTTCCGTCTTCTGGACACGAAACACAGTCCCCTGTCGCAGAACGTCTTCCTGCTCCGGCCTGAAACTGAGCATGCGCGCCATCACTGGCGATATGTTATCCCGACGCAGCAAGTCGGAGACTGGCTCTGGGAAGTAGCGAAGCTCTCTAGGAGCAGCCTGGACGAGGCGTGGAGCCGGTCGATCGGGATGCCGGAGTGGGGCGCTATTGGAGGTCTGCTGCTCGAGCGGTATATGAGCGAGACGTTCAGTTCTCCCAGCGTTTGGGAACTGGGTCGTTTGTCTCCCGCTCATGACCTGAACGCCGAACTGGTGTCGTACGTCGTTCGCCCGACACTGGACTCGCTCATCCGATGGCTACATATTGGCGGACAAGGGCCGTTCGATATTCGTACGAGCGCCGAACAGCCCGCCTCGACCATGTTCAGTACAGAAAGGTACGACACTACCGCTCCTGACTTGCAGCTGCGTTCTGGCGTCCTCTACACTCCGGATACGATCAACCATCCGACGTTTGACTCTTTCCTGCTGAAAGACACCAGTTCGGGCCGGGGGCGGGAAGCGCTCCTCGTCCGTGCAGTGTCGAGGCAGGAACAAGTCGTCAAAGCGGAGGGTATTGACTGGCTGAGAAAACACGGGGTGACGACGTTCGTCTATCTTGTGGTTTGTGGGACTTGTATCGGAGGAAGAAGGCTCTGTTTCCCTCCTGAGGTCGACAGGCTGCTGAGGGGGAAGTACCATGTGCATATCCCGGAGGGGGATGATACAGCTGTGCTTGTTTAGGATCGGAGTGAGCTGGGTTGAGGAGTACATGTCGACGCGCGAGATGACTCATTGTTCCCTTATGTACTGTAAGATTGCGAATCCTGATTCTTTGGACAATCGCATGTGTGACGATTACACAACTTGGGTACAACACCGCAGCCTCTCTTGGTCTGTATAAGTCCTCAGATTCAGTTCATCGTGTCCATATCCGGTAAGGCGTCATCTTCCTCTATTACTGGAGAGGGAAGGGAAGTGTACGCAGGCATATTCATCGTTGACCGATTCGGAATCCAGCGCACGCCCACTCGGATCTACATTTCCGTTCGTTCCGCTGATGAACCTTGCTTCGCGGCTTAGTCTGTAGGGTAGACGAGACCTGAGATGTAGAACGTAATACTTGAGGCGTGAGAAACCGACAATCATCGCTCCATGCACAAAAGCACACTAGCCGCCCCTGCCCAAAACAAAAAGTGCGGAGAAAGCCGGCTCCAGCTCCCCATTTCGCTTTTCCTCTTCCTCCTCTTTCTGCTCCGCTTTCTGTCCCTACGTCAGACCCTCCCCTAATACACAGCCGTGGGCGTCTTACGTAAGTAGTCAGGTAATGTAACATGTCAGGCGGGGGGAAATGACTTGGCTGCTGGCTGCTGGGTTTCCAGGTAGGGCTAGACCGGGCAGAAGAGTAGAGTAGAGTAGGGGGTAGGTAGAAGGGTGAGTTCACGCATACATATGAGCAACCCTGAGCTCTAGACGTCGGTCCATATGGACCAAGAACAGAAGCGGGAAGAAGGGGAAGGGGAAGAGGTACAGTACACCCTAGGTCGACTCGCCTGGGCTCTGATACACATGATGACATAATATGATACGACATGAGTGTTAGGTCTAGTATACAGGATGAGGGGATGGGGGGTGGACGTTGCGCGTGGGAGAAAGGGGGGAAGGGGTCTAGGTTGTCCGTCCGTCCGTCTGTAAGGAGGGAGGATGTGGAAGGGGTGGGAATGGGGATAGGATGTGGGGGGAGAGAGAATGGCGCATATATGTCCTTTTGAGCAGAGCATGAGTGAAAGCGGGAAAAAATGGATGTCGTACCAACCGCAGCGAACAGCCAACCAACGACAACTGACAACCGACATCGTACACCTCAGCTCACCGCTCGCCCGCTCGCCGCAAGCGTCTCTCACCGCGCCTCCACAGGAGTAAGCGCCTTGATCCCTATCCTCCCCTGTACAGAAAGCCTCAACCCCCCTCCTTCCGGCTCTGCGAGGGCAGGTCCATCTCGCTCCGCGCTCAAACCCTTCCAGCTGCGTACGGGACTCCCTTCCCTCGAGTCCGGGGGGGAGAACATGCCAGTAAGTTTCGAGTCTGATGGAGAAGTAAAGTACGCGTAGTTCGTGACTTGGAGTCTTAGGGGATCGGGTAACGAGCTCTGTAACCCCAGGTCCAGGTCCAGGTCCAGCGGCAAGAGGGATTGCTCGCCCACTGGTGTGGGGGTTTGGCTAGGAGTGGAGCGGCCTGGGAAGCGCGTGAAGCCTAGTGTGCGGACGACGAGGTAGCCCGCGACTTCGAGTAGGGTTATGACAAGGAAAGGGGCTGAAATTGAGAGTGCAAGGAGGCGGAAGAGGAGGGGGAGGTAGGAGAATGGGAGGGGGAGAGGGGGGTTGAGTATGTGGTAGAGGGCGTAGAGGGCTGGGAGGGACGTGTTGGCTGACATTGTGGGTGTCCTGGCAGTAGTAGCAGGAGGAGGAGGAGGAGGGAGAGAGAGAGAGAAGCAGGGAGATGTTCATAAGCTCTGTCTTTAGATCCCTGCAAGTCGTACTGTGGCAGGTGAATCAGGCGATTGCACAACCGGAGCTAAACTGCCGGACACCGGCATTCACGGCACGATCAAGGGTCTGGATTCGGACTCGTCTCACACGTGCTTCTCTGATAGACTTCCCGCGACGTTTGGAGCGACGCCTCAGTAGTACTTCTTGAGTTTACTTGGGTTTGATGGACATGTCCCGTTTGGAGAGCGATCGGGCGGATATGTCAGCCTTCTGTCGAAAGCCTGACTAGTACTGTAAACAATTGCAACGAGCGGCATATATACCAACAACCAAAATAGTTCATCCGCTTTCGTGCCAGTGCTTCTGGAAATGACAATCCTCTCCTTTGGGCAAGTACTACCTGATCACCGTACCGCAGCTTATCTCTTTCCTATATGAGCGACCTGCCCCCCCGGGAAACGTGTGCACGCAGTTGATTATGGGCATCGAGTTGGTATATGCTGATTATCTCTGCCCACCGTACGGGATGGCCGGGGATGATAAGCAAGCCACGCCTTACGGATCCCTCTAATCACTACTCAATGAATTAGAGATATGAATATGAGCAGATAGCGTGAATATGGGCATGCGTTGATCTGATGCATTGGACGATGATGATAGACTGAGCTGTTATTGCGAGATGTCTCCGATGATTGTCCGTTTTCTCACGCCTCAGTCGCACTCGTCATGCCGTATATTTAAGATGGCGCAGCTCTACGTATTAATATTAATATTCCCGGCCTGGGCTCTATCAATTCAAGGTACTCCAAGGCACCACAATGCCTTAATGCCTTAATACTGCAATGTACCGCAATACCGAAGCAAGGTTCATAGAACATCCTCTGTCAGAGAGGGACGCAAACCTCGCCTCGTGCCTAACACAGTCGACATACACGTGCACTCTGCTGATGCTGCTTTCTACTGCGCTGAATAGCATGGATGACATCATACTCCGGGTTGAGGAAACGGGAAATACGAGCTTGCGTGCACTGGATTCCGATTCGGTCAATAATGGACATGTATGCAGAACACTCTCCCTCTTCCTTCCCTTGCCCCTCCTACCCATCCTATCCATACACCCATCCACGCACCAGCCTTGTCTCCCCACCCATGCTCAAGCCCACCTCCCTGGAATCACAGGATGCGAACTCGACAGCCCTCCATCAACAGCAATATTCTGTCCATTCACGTAGCTCGCGTCATCTACGCGCCACATCAGCCTAGCACACATGCAGGAAAGGGGAAAGGAAGGGAGGGAGGGAGGGAGTACCGGAAGCGAGAAACAGTGCCATTTGGGCGATCTATCCCTGTGAGTACCAGCACATGCACTGACGGCCTGGGGGACATACCTCTGCGCGAGAATGAGCTTCGCCAATGAGTATGAGTAGAAGGAGAGACGGACCTTCGGAAACCCCATACCTCCCCAGGGGGTTCAGCTGCCCTAGTTTCGCTTCGTTACCCCTAGACCTAGCGTAGTCAAATGTCGTAGTCGTCATCCCCGTCTTCCCGGCAAACATAAGCATAAGCATAAGCATAGGCATGCATGAACAGGAACATGAAGAGGAACGTAAGCGTTAGAAGGCGGGAGCGGGAGCGCACCTCTATAAGCCCGGGACAGAGCGAGTTGACCCGGATGTTCGTACGCTGGAGTTGGTATGCAGAGGTCATGGCGATCGAGTTCACTGCGGCTTTACTTGCGCTGTCTGGTTTCTGTTAGCCTTTGCTCTTCCCTTCCACAAACCCGAGACCAAAAGACCAAAGAGCAGATGAGCAGAGCAGAGGAGCAGAGGACATACAGTCTACCGTCCCCGCGCCTGAACGCAGCCCCGATATAGAAGCAGTAAGGATAATACTCCCCCCTCCCTCGATCTTCGATTCCGAAGTCCGTCTCATCCACTCCGAAGCATGCTTCACCGCCAAAAAACAGGAAAGCGTGTTCACCCGGAGGGTATGCATGAACCCCTCTGCTGAGACGTCGGGCAAGAACTGGGAGGTGGCTATCCCCGCCTTCATGAACGGTTTAGCTGCGTACTGCCGCGGAGGGGGAGGGGAGGACATACGTTGGCGAAGAAGACGTCTAGCCTGGATTCTTCTTCTACCGCTTGACGGCAGATCCGAGCAACGAGCAGTTCGTCAGCTGCGTCACCTTGAAATATCGTGACCTGCGTCTGTAAGCCCAGCGCCAGGAACGAGGAGAAGGGGAGGCAGGGGGGGCACCTTGACGTCCGGGAACTTTTCCTTCAGCTCGTGCGCGAGAGAGGGCAGGTTAGACCCGTCAAAGTCTAGCAAATAGAGGTGTTTGGCCCCTTCCCGCGCGAAGAGGAACGCGCTTGCTCTCCTACGATCATCTATCAGCTCCTACTCTCACAATACGCAGCAGGTAGCAGGCAGTAGACTATAGGCGGAGGGAAAGGAAGACCTACCCAATACCTTTGACCGACCCTACCCCGGTGATAACGCACACTTTCCCCTGGAGCTTCGGCTCCCGGGTGAGGAAATGGGCTTGGATATGGGCAAGACGGGCCTGGGTTTGGGAGACGTTGTCGGAGGGTTTGGTACGGGTGTAGGACATTCTGCGGGTGAGAGTGGGGGAGGGAGGGGAGGGGAGGGGAGGGAACAAGGTGGTGGGTTGATGTGCTGGTTGATGGATGGGTGTGGGGAAGTTGCCGGCCCGGGGAGTAACCGGCTTAGGGTCGTTTGCTCAGTTGGTGTGTGTATTCGTTCCTCGTATCACACGCATACAGAAAACCAAGTCACATCCATACCACAAAATCGTACAATACATGAAAGATCCCAACTCCCCCCAAAAAGAGAGGCAAAAACCCATCCCCAAGCTCAAACTACCAGCCAAAACTCAACTGGGCACGGGAAAACACCGGCGGCTTCCACTGCAGCTTGCTCGGGTCGATCCTCCGTCTCTGTTTCGCTACTGTCTTCTCGTGCCGCGCGAGCACTTCGTCCCCTAGGACGAGGACGTGTTGTCCTTTGAACCATTTGAGGAGTTGGAGTTCGTGTAGTCTATGCAGGCAGGTGTCCCATGTCAGACGTCAGGTGTCAGGGGATGAGAAGGGAAGACAGACGTACGCCGTCATCACGTCATTTTGCAATATCCCTGTTTTCTGGGAAATCTCATCCACCGTTATGTCTGCCTCCTTGCCCCCCGTGCGGTACACGTTCAGTATAAAATCTACGATGACGTCTTTCCAGTAGGCTTTGTACCCCAGTAACCCCAGATCAGAGAGCGGTTTTTCCGGACTGCCGACTTTGTTCTCCCTCTTTGTCAGTTCGTAGGAGAACTCCATCAGCAGCCGGCCGTAGCCGTGTCGTTGGTATTGCGGGAGTGTGAGGATACACGCGACGTTGTACCCCTCGCCGCATTCTTTCTCTTTGGAGAAGTACCCGACTAGGTGGCAGCCGAACTGGTCCCGCTTGACCATGCAGTAGAACAGGAACGGGTCGACGTCAAAGTACAATGTCTAGCCATGCGTCAGTACCAGACCCGGTGTATATGCCAGATACGAACCTTGTGATCGAGGAAACATTTTGAGAGCAGACAGAGATTTCGACACCATTGTTTTTGCCTCCTCCCGTCGATCTCGAAGAACGAGATCTCCTTCTCCCGATAGATCTCGTTCCCCGGCGGATGGCGCAGAGTGCACTTCGTCCTATGTCGCCTGAACTGGGTCTCGCTCGCCCAATAGCGCAAGCAGAACTCGCATATATACAGCATCGGCGTGTGCGTAAATTCCTTCGGGTACGGAGAGAAATACCAGGGCTCGATGATATGCCGTCCAATCTCGATCTTGACGAGGTTCTTTACACGCGCTTCATGCTGATGCGACATAGATCCTGACGTGCGGAGCTGCTCGATCTCCTGCGCCTTGCTCAGCGCTGCGTTCCTGTGTTCGACGTCACTCGTCGGCGTCGCCATTCCGCTCGAATCTATCATCATGTCGTCCTCGTCCTCCCGCTTCCTCTTCATCCCCGTTGGCGTCGCCATTCCATCCGGTACAGGCGTGTGCGCTTGTGACGCGGAGCGCCCAGCTTTCTTCGGTAGCTTCTTATCCGCTTGCTTTGGCTGCTCCTTCTTCGGCGGCTTGGGCCATGTCATCTCCTGGTCCATCAGCACCCGGATGGTCGGTATCCACTCGTCAAGTCGCTTATTCCACTGATCATAATGCACGTAATACTCTTTCTCCTCCGACGTGTCCCCGTTTGTGGAGACAGGGCCGGTGCCATGCGCATGGGAGACGCTCGGTTTGGGCTTGTCACGGATGGAGATGACCTCGGCGTGTAAGGTGGTCATGGAGGATGCCCGGCCTTCCATAGGCCGATGAACCCATACTTTGCAGCCGGGGACGACATCCTATACCTGGATGAGCTTGCTTGTGAGGAATGAGAGGGAAGACGTACATTCAGGGTCCATGTCCCTGCCATTGAGAGTTGCGCGGGCGTGTCATCGTCGTGTGATTGTGAAGGGCCGTGCGCCATATCTCCTTAGAATGAGTTATATCACTCTGTATTTTGGTACAGTTGCGTAGTTGGAGCGAGATATACAGTTGAGCGTGCAGAAATGGTCGTGTCGGGTATGATGTGTGCGTGTCGTGATGGTCAAGAGCAAAGGATGAGAGTGGCGAAAGACGCGCCGTTAATCACATCTAAGTGGCGGTGTAGTTAATCCGTTCTTCGGCTCCGAGCCCTAGTCCCACCGAATCGAACACGGACAAACACCGGAGGTAGGCATTTCATGGCCACGTCCACTACACCCAAGATCCATACCTTTTCATACGTATTCCCTCCCTCCCTTCCTACAGCGCCAACTTTTGGCCTGTATGTTACATCGTTGACAGACACCTACCTCCTCTGGTTAGGAGTACTGCCTCCTTCCGCAACGGCCATTTCCGTACCCGATCCGTTGCGGGAGGAGGAAGGCAGTAGTGGTGCGGATATGATGGGGCTAGGGACGGATGCGAAACTGGGAAGAGACTGGGCGATGGGCATGCCTGGCCGGGTATGCATTTTCGGAATAAGGTAACAAGTCGGGAGGCTGAAGTGCTGGGCAGGGTGCTATCCCTGCCGTAGGGACCCAGCTACTCAAAGGCGTAGGGGAGGATGTCGCGCTCCCGCTTGCCCAGCGATTAGGTATGGTCTTCTCTTGGTCTGCATGCACAGCGATCTGAGAAATGCAGCGAGGAGATTCAAGAAACAGGTATTCCTTAGCGTTGATGTTGGTGAGCTTGGTACGGGTGGACAAGGTGGGCGAGTGATGCTCGACGTTGAACGGCAGCTTGTGGGCGTTCTTTCAGAGTTGGAGAATTCCAAAAGTAAGGCGATGGGAAGTGTACAATAGCACAAGCTGTCCTTTGTAATACTGTAATACAGTTGCAAGGGGCAGTAGGGTTTGCAGCGTGCTGGCAAACATGCGTCTTCGGCGTGGATGCAGCCATATTTTGTTAATTTCTTGTACACGAATAACAAATATATCTGACTCGGTCACAGTAATATTTTGTATATTTTATTCTGTCACAAAAAGAACTTTGAATAATAAATAGAATAAAGCGTTATTCGGTGATAGTGTGCTGCGCCCGTTCGCCACTCACGGGTGCTATCGTTGCCCCACCGCACACGGGTCCACACTCACTCTCTGCACCGCTCTCCTCACCGTCTGTGCTTCAACGACCAACAGCGAGCTCACGTCTCCAGACGACATCAAGCATAAGAGGGCCGGCGGACATCCACCTCCTACTCTGCGTCTTGTACAAGGAGTCATCACGTGGGAAAACAAAGGTGGGTTAAGCACATGCACAGCGCTTGACTACGACACGCACTTGGCGAACCCTCCTCATCGCGGTCGTCCACCCCCCGTCAGACGCCATCCGAGCGACCATCCGCCGTCTCACCGACGTCGACACACGCTCATTAACCATCGACGTGCTCTACCAGCGTCAAGCGTAACATATGATGTCAGGGCTTGATACCGACCCGCCTTACCTCGCCTCGGGGGACGAGGCGTTCGACCTTCCGCGGTTCGCACCTCACACCCAAGCATACACGCACCCCGCCCTTGGCCACGCAGTCTCTCCACCATCCGTTCCCCAAGTGCAGCAGAATAATGGATCACGACCTCTTCCACCTATGCCAGGGGGTTCGCCGTATGCTAACACGCACCCGTTGGGAGACCCGAGGTATATGCCCCCGTCTGCCGCGGCACAGCAGCCGATTATCGGTATCGTCCAGCCGCAGCTGACTGGTCAGCAGCAACAACAACCACAGCAGCAGCAGGGCCAGCAGCTCCCCCCACCCCCGCAGACGCATCACTATTCGCACCCTCAACATCAGGCAACACTAGGATCGGTCCCTCCACCTCTCACCCCTTCCGCGAGCCAGAAGACCGCCACCCGTCTTTCCTCGCTTATGGAACCCGCTGTATCTGCCATCCAGCGGACTGCAAGTCTCTCTACGCGTGGGCGAAACCGGTCCAGGGACGCGAACGACGCTGCTTACATGATGGTGGACGACGTTGAGCGTGCGTATGGCGCCCTCAGTCCTACCAGCACCGGAACTGGAGGAGGTGTGATGAGCGCCCAACGAAGCCCTACTCAGCAAGTGCAGCAGTCACTCCCGCCCCTCCAGCATCAGAACAGCCAGCATAGTGTGTACAGTAACCCTCTATATCCCGGTACGATCACTGGTCTGGGCGCAAACGTGAACTACGAGATGTACTCCGATCCATCTCCCTCGCAGAATCAAGTTCAGCAGCCGCCTGCTGCCCCGCCAGTAGCAACTGGACCACTCCCTCCCCCACCTCAGGGGCAGCCGCACCGCCGTAGCCAGACGCACAACCTCCTTCCTCGACAGGGGAGCATCGCCCGTCCTCCCCCTGTCCTGCAGGCCCCTCAGCAGCAGCAACAACCACCCCCGTCTCCCGTTCGGCAGGAGGCGAGAAGCCAGACGATGAGCCTCGCTCTCTCTGGCGGGGACGGGCTGCTTCCCTATGCGTATGCGCACGGGACTCCGGCGCAGCAAAACCCATACACGTACGAATATGCGCCTCCAGCCCAGCAACAACAGCAGGCACCCAACGGGCAAGGAGGACAACCAGCGCTGCGGCGTGAAAATAGCCAGCAGCAGATGTACGTCACTTCCCCAGCTTCTGCTACCTCTGCGCATACGGCCCTTTCCTCCCACTCGACGCACTCGACTCACAGCTCTCAACATACGCTCGTTGGCACGCAACCCCCAGGTTCTGCAGCGTCGGGCACAACCCTCCACTTAGGCGCATATACACCGTCGCACCATCCTCGCTCACCCAATTCCGCCACTGCGCAGGAGTTGTCTATCCAGCTGACACCAGGAGGGATGAACTACGCCTCCCAGCCACCGTCAGCCGGAGTGCGGTACCTTGCCAGTCCGCAGAGCGCGGCTTCCACTGGACAGGGGCTTGGACTTGCAATGGTCACTGGCACAGGACAAGGGAATAGAGATGGAGCTGGGCCGATCCCCATTCCTGCTTCGCCTATGTCGTATGCGTCTCGGTCGGCTTCTCGCCAGCAGAACCAGCCGCCGGGCTACTTTAGTCCCAGGGGACCGAGGAGCGATGCTGGTACCCCGATGCTGACAGACCCGTCGCCGGCGTTGTCCAACGTGAGCACGTCGAGGGAAGGGCAGGAAGGGGCGAGACAGAGAGAAAGGGATGCTCAGAGGGAGAGGGATAGAGATAGGGAGGAGAGGATGAGGGAAAGAGAGAGGGCGGAAAGAGCTGAGAGAGAACGGGAAAGGGAGAGGGAGAGAGGTTTGGTTAGGGTTAGGGATTCGAGGGATTTGAGGCCCGTCGTCAACCCCCATCCTCCTGGAAGGCGGCCTGACCCAAGTGGGAATGGGACGTATTTGAGTGTACGTGATTTTCGATACTGTGCAAGGGTGTAGGTGAACTGACTGTTGCCCTGCAGCCCCTAAAGTGCCTCACTTCCCACCTCTCGCAGACGTACAACATCTGCAACCCTTCTTTCAACTATGAGAGCGCGCACAACCCGCGTCGCGTGCTTACAAAGCCGAGCAAGCCCGTGCATAACGAGGGCTATGACAACGAAGACAACGACTATATCTTATACGTGAACGACTTTTTAGGTGGGGAGGAGAGCAGCAAGTGAGTCTTTTGGTTTTGTTTATAAATGGGAGTGAACTGTACTGATCCCGAATAGTGGCAGGTACCTTATCCTTGACGTGCTTGGGCAGGGCACGTTCGGCCAGGTCGTCAAGTGCCAGAATATTAAGACGCACGAGATTGTTGCCGTCAAGGTGGTTAAGAACAAGCCTGCGTACTTCAACCAGAGTATGATGGAAGTGACGATCCTTGAGCTGGTGCGTTCCATCCCCCACAGAGGCTCTTGTTTCTGACTTGTGTCACAGCTGAACAAACAGTGGGACCCGAACGACGAGCATCATATCCTTCGCCTACGGGACACATTCATCCACAAGAAACACTTGTGTCTTGTGTTCGAGCTGCTGAGCTCGAACCTGTACGAACTGATCAAGCAGAATCAGTTTGGGGGACTGTCCACCCAGCTTGTGAAGGTTTTCACCGCACAGTTGCTGGATGCGCTCAGTGTGCTCAAAGACGCACGTCTGATACACTGTGATCTCAAGCCTGAGAACATCCTGCTCAAGTCGTAAGTGTGTATTTTTAGTTCGAATGGAGATGCTCATGACCTCGGCAGATTACAGTCTCCTCAGATAAAGGTGATCGACTTCGGTTCCGCATGCCATGAGCGACAGACGGTGTACACCTATATCCAATCCCGATTCTATCGCTCACCCGAGGTGCTCCTGGGCATGTCATACACTGCCTCTATCGACATGTGGTCTCTGGGCTGCATCGTTGTGGAATTGTTCTTGGGACTTCCGCTCTTCCCGGGCACGAGCGAGTTTAACCAAATGACGAGGATTGTCGAGATGTTGGGGTACGAATACTCATTTTTACCCTTGCGTGACATGTTGCTTACTTGTTACCGTTCCAGGATGCCACCGGCCTATATGCTCGAAATTGGCAAATCTTCCAATGACTTCTTCAAATCGAGCCTCGATGAATATGGCAGGAAGAAATGGCGTATCAAGGCGCTGGACGAATATTGCCGGGATAAAAAGACGACGGAGCAACCCGGGAAGAAGTATTTCTCTGCCACGACGTTGCCAGAGATTATCAAGACAGCTCCGAATACGAACAAGACGAACAAGGCTGTGGACATGGAGAAGGGTACGCATTCATTTTGTACTCACTGAGCTCAGCTGATTTTTTGATATGACAGAGGCAAACCTGCGTTTAGCGTTGATTGACTTCGTGCAAGGGTTGCTCAATCTCGATCCGGTCCAAAGATGGTCACCACAACAGGCGCTGGGCCATCCATTCATCACTGGGGAGAAATTTACAAAACCTTATGTGGCACGTTTATTTTTCTTCTAGTTGTGGCGTCTGAGTTGACCGTGCCGTTTCAGCCTGTTGACGTGTCCAGTCGTAAGTCTTCTGCTCAGATTAGCCCCCAACCAACAAGCGCGTCGAACGCAAAGCGGCCATACGGCGGTCTTATTCCGAGCCAGCCGTCGGGCACTCGTGCATATCAGGATGCTGCTGCCTACAATCAGCATCTAAACCAGCATCAACAGTACACTGCTCAAGCCGCAACGGCAGCACAACAGCAGAGTGCTTATCGTAACCCATACGCGCAACCAATGGACGATGCCAACGCCGATTACGTGGCTCAGCAGCAAAGACACGCACACGCAGCGGCACAGGCTCATGCTGTCCAGCAAGCTCAAGTCCAGGCTCAGGCTCAAGCACAGGCAGCTTATGTTGCTTCTCAACCTCATCAAGGTGCCGTGAACTCGAACTACCTGCCTGTCTCGTCCACGACAGGTTCGATCCCCACGAATCCTCCGACGGTCTACTACGGCAATCGTGCTCGGGCAAACACCATCAACCAGATGGATATTGTTCCACCACAACTCGCCAAATTTGCGCACCTCGCTCCTGGAGTGATGGAGTCTGGGTTGGGCCGGAACTCCTTGACTCCCGTTCTCAATCGAGATGACGCAATGCGGGAATGGGAACGGCGGCATGGCGTTGGTGCACAAGCTGGCGCAAATACAAAGCGGACTTCGCAACAGAATCAGTTTGCGCACACTCTGGATTATCTTGCGGAGCAAGCAGAGCTTCAGAGTCAGAATATGACACGATGGGGTCAGGGAACGAGCTATCACCCGCGACAAGCTAGCAACTATCAGACACCCACTTCGCCACAAACGGCTTATCAGGGCGGCACGTATCATACGCCATCGAAGATGCAGCAATCAACTTCTAATTCGGAGGCATGGGACTACGAAGCTGCAAATTGGCGCGGGCACCAAGCACCACACGTGCAAATCACGAGTCCGCCGCAGGCCTATGCGACGAGCACCACAAACACGGGACGATACAATGCTGTCCCACCACCAACGTCCTATCCAAATCCGCCCCAGGTCTCATACGATCAATTCGATGTCCGTGACGGCATGGGTACATTGTACGCCCCTATGCAACCGCAGCAGTACCAGCAGCCTGCTTCCTCTGGTCAGGCGGATCATCGCGCACCGCAGAACCTCTCGTTCTATGGCTCTGGCATTGTCGCGAGTGGTGCGATGCCCAACACACCCACTCGCAGTCAGTACGCGGACGCGACGAACCCGACGGTGCCCCAATCGACGCACACGCACCAGTCATCCAAGGACAGCACGCGTCGTATGAGCGGAATCGACGCGACCCAACAATGGCGCGGATGATGACGCCTTCCTATGCCTCAGTTTGAAATCAGTTTTGTAGCGCTTTGGAGCGCACACGGTCGCCTGTTCCTCGTCGACATATACCGCATGTCCGCCGCATTTCGGCGGTGCGGGCTCAACCCCATTCCACTTTCGTAGCCGACCGAATAACGCGATCACCACCACGGCTTTCTATTACTTCAACTGTTGTACCCCGCCCAATCTATACCGAGAACACAAGTGTTCCACGTACACCCACGCCAATCCCCCAACCACCTACGCCCCAATGCCACCTTTCACCATTTTATTTCTACATCTCTTTCACCCCTTCAACCCAACCCAAAACCCCAAAAAATGAAACGATCTCATGCGCCGCGCCGCGCGGTCGTTGTACAGTATTCTCTAAGCGCGTGTCGGCAGGGTCCGAGCCCGACATATGTCTCCCCAAAGCATACACCACGTCTATGTCAGCGTGGCGAAGATCTCCTCGACCTCCCAGGCTCCGGTCCAGTATATGAACTGGCACTTGAGGCCAGCGCTCTTACCCTCTTTCTCGATACGTTTCTCGAGGCCGCGGTGACGACGGACCAGAGCGAGGTCTTGCCTGTTAGAGGGGGTCAGAGACGGTTGTGGGAGAGGGAAGAAGTTGGCTGTGCGAAAGTGAGGGAGATGACAGAGATAAGCGGAGTGGAAGGCAGATGTGCAGAATATGCAGTAGTGTAGAGAGTGGACAATAGTATATCGTCCCGTGAATAGGAGCTTATGCCCCTCCCTCTAAGGGCTGCCCGATACTCGCAGACGAAAGAAAGAGAAATGTAAAGTAAGAGGACAGCAACGTACTCTCTCAGACGCAGGATAGGGCAGAAGTCGTTTGACCCATCCCCGACATAGACAACACGGTCGAACGCCTTCCCGTGTCGTTCAACAAAGGCCTCTAACTCTTCCCCTAAGCCATATGTCAGCATGATTCAGCATCGTATCAACGTACGAGCACACCCTTGCACATATTCGCACTGCAACCCACTGTGCACTTGTGCTGCTCTCCCTTCGGGTCCACTCTCCGCCTCACGACAAGCAGATCCGGATCTTGCTCATCCCAATGCGCCGGATTGGTAATCACGTCCTCAAAGACGCCTTCATGCAGTCCCTGATGCTCGAGTATCGTGCGGATATACACCGAGTTAGCGTTCGAGAGCACCAGAAGGTCCGTGCTCGGGTCTGAGCGAACCTTGATCGCCCTCACACAGCGCTTCATAGCCGGATGGAACGGCATCTCCCTAAGTGCCTGCTCAACTTGCACTCGCGTACCCCCTTCGGACCGCAGTTCGCGCATCATCTGCGCTACGAGGTCCGTCCATTGGTGGTCTGACTTGAGGTTCTTCATACGGCGTCGGAGATGGGGTGCGAGGACTTCTAGCACCCACCGGTCTGAGTCCTGGTCTGCGAGGGACCAGTCAAAGTCGTAGATTATGAGTTGGTTGCGAATTGTTGACATGTTGGTATACGTTGAATCTGTTGGTCAAGGTGTTGAACTTGCACTGGGAGATGAGAAAGCAAGAAGCAGTAAGATGATGAAAAAGTCTATGCTGTCGACCCTGATCTTTGCACGTGAGAAGAAGGGTCTAAGTGGCTGTGTGGCTATTTCCGCGTATTGTTTGCATTGAAAAGAGTCACCATTGTAGAGCAACAACTGCATCTACTTTGTGCACAATTATTGTTTATTCACTCTACAAAATCTGGAAAGGATGGCGACCAAACAGCAGGCATCTGGTCCTGCTCAAAAGAAATGGCTTACACGAGCACCAGCTGTGTACAACAAGCTGCCCGGCACACTTTTCCTGGGCCCGGAACGACTCGTCTGGAAACAGGAAGGTGTACCGCAACCAGCAGTTAACGTCAAGCTAGACAAGGCAAGCGGTGAGTAACTACTTACTATATATGAGTATGATTAGGGCTGACATTGTGAGGAACAGCGATGTTCAACTCGAAAGAAGGCGCACTTCCTGTCCGTCTCAAGCTCACATTCACCGACAACGAAAAAGGCTTCCAATTTGCGTTCTCTTCCCCCGAACCCTCGACAGCCCTAGAACACCGAACTTCATTCGTCAACCACCTCACCCCACTTATCAATAGGAACAAGGCTGCCTTGCTTGGCTCGCCCGGTCCTGGTACGCCTGGCACTCCCGGGTCGGGCGACGGGCCCGGCACTCCTGTACCTGGTGTTCCCGCGGGGAGCACAGCCCAGATCGGAGAAGAGAACCAGCTACGCCGCTCAGTGCTGCTCAAGCATCCCCCACTCGCCGCTCTCCATCGGCAGCTCGTCCTTTCCGGTCAGCTCACAGAGACCGATTTCTGGCAAGGTCGGTCCTCCCTCCTCCTGGCCGAGCGGGCCTCTCAGGAGCAGAAAAGAGGGCGCGCGAGCACCCTGGTGGACCCGAAACCGCAGACAGCGGAGGGAGGGGATATCAAGATTGTGGTTACGCCGCAGTTGGTGCACGAGATTTTTGAAGAGTTCCCCGTGGTGGGGAGGGCGTATGCAGAGAATGTACCGGGAGAAGTACGTGCACATTTATGCCCACGTAGTACATTCTGCTAACCCAAATGCGCGCATACAGATGTCCGAATCCGCATTCTGGCAACGATACTTCCAATCCGCGCTCTTCCACCAAAACCGTGCCTCGACGCGTTCCTCCGCACCCCAAACCCAGATCAAGCCCGACCCGATATTCGACCGCTACCTGGTGCCTGAAGACGATCAGCCGTCCCCTATCTCCCGCTCAGCTGGGGGGGCATTGGAGGAAGTGGACCGATTGCTAGACCTGGCTGCGACTGAGGAAGACCACGAACAAGGAGGGAACCAAAAGGACGTCACGATGCGGCCTGGGAGGGAGCGGGGGATCTTACCCCTTATCAGGAGGTTCAATAATCATTCGGAGAGGTTGGTCAAGGCGTCTCTGGGAGAGGACGGGAGGGATGCTGCCGAGGAGGGCGGGGACAGGAAGAGGAGGAGACTGGAGGGAGGCGAGGTGGGCAGGTTCAACGTACGTCTTTGTTGTTCCGCTATACGACTTCATGCTGATATATGCGCAGCCAAACGACTACTACGACGAGATCGTCATCTCCGACCTGATTGACCAACATGCCTCGTCCGGCGTACAGCTCGATATGTTGAACGCCTCCCTTTTCTCCACCTCCGCTCCTTCAGCAACGCGCGCCTCCCTCCCCCAACGCACACCCGCGGAGTCCACCGCTCTCCTCCACACCTTCCAACAGGAAACAAAAGACTACCTACCATCTCTTCATTCTCTGAAGCCTAACCGGCGCGCAGGGGAACATGCACTACAGAGTATGACGAGCACCGTGCGCGCTGCACACGTCGCGCACCGGTCTCTCCCGCCTATACCTCCCGAGTTCCTGAGGGGGATGACCACCTGCCAGACAGCGGCGAACGAGTTCCTCCGCCAGTTCTGGGGCGCTGTCCTTCCCCCTCCTTCTCTGTATCCAGCGTATGGAGGTCAGGATGTTGGCGGAGGGAGGGTGTTGGGCATGAGCGGGAGGGAGAGAGCTCAGAAGGCGGGTAAGATGGCGGGATTTTTGGCCGGCACGGGGGAAAAGGTGGATGCTCTCGTGAGGCAGGCTGAGGGGGAGGGGGTGGATCCGGAGCGGGTGAGGGCGGTGAGTCCCATCTCTGCTTTCCCATTGGTATGGATCGTATGGATAACGAGCTGAATGTTTCCTTTTTTCCGCAGGCATTTGCACCCCTCATGTTCGCGGTGGATAAGGCGCTCAAGGTATACAGCCAGCGCAGGAAGAAGGCGACATGATACCCCATCAAATGACAAAACATACCCTGCATTTAATGTACACTAGCAACCGAGCAATATCATTATCGCCTTGATGGTAAATACAGTGGCCCACACGCACGCATGTCAAAAAAAATGCGTGCATCATACGATGTGGTATGGTCATGGTACGGGTCGTGAGATAGGCGTGCCGCCCGAGCTCGACGTTAGGCACTCGTAGGTTGTGAACATGACGAGAATGTGAAGCGACGCCGCGTAGATGACAAAAGCTATGCGTGCCCGGCGGTTGGCCAGGATCGCCTGCGTAAGCGTTAGTACACCCCGCTCGAGAGGGTTCAACGCTTTGACAGCTCGTGCTGCTTCCTGGAAACCGTTTAGAATGAGTGTTTGGGGCGGCTTGATGGTACGTACCCGGCCGCGGAATGCCTCAAACGGATTCATGCTCTCCTCATACACGTTTCTGTATCTGCTCATTTCATCATTTTGGGGCACAATCAGTGGTCGTGAGGTCGCGGGAGTAGGCACGCCTCCCTCGTCTCGATAGCTCTGCATATACCGGACCTTCTCATACAGCTTGAGATTGTCGGCCTGCAGACCCTTGATCTCGGTGCGCAGTTCGGAGACGACATCAAATTGCTTGCGCAGCTCCTCCTCTAGCTCGGCATTCCTCGTCCGGAACCGGTCTCGCTGGCTAGTGACGATGGGTAAGATAGAGGTGTCTGCCTGTGGTGGGTATGACGGTGTGGTCGACCCGTCCGCCTGATACAGGGCCGTCATAAGGTACGAGACACGAGGGCTAGTGTCAGCACTCACAGGTGGCTTGACGCCGATGCTCAACCCAGCAAGCCCTTCTTGCGGGGCGCCATTCGGCACAGGCGTCCCGGACATGCTGCGGCGTGCATCGGGAGTGGTGGTATTCAATTGCAACAGATCGTTCTCGAGCTTGTCATTGAGGCTCGATTGTTTCTGGAGTTGGTCTTGACTCTCGGCCAAACCACGTTGTGTCTTACGCAGATTCTCCTCAAGCTCAGAGTGTAGGATCTGGCCTGATTAGTATCTTGACCGACCGGTTGTCGGACAGCTTACCCTGAATTTGGTCAGCTCATCGAGAATTTGCTTGTTCTTGGCAAGAAGGAGTGTTTCAAGGGATGACGCCTGCTGTCCGTTCGCTGCACTCGGCTCGGGCAGATGGACGTCGTCTGATTCGTCAAGCTCTGCTCCGCCAAATTCGACATACTTGGGCGCTGATGAGACCGTTTCAATACACTGGTACACAATTCACACCTTCATAATCTGCAGCTCTCGCTTCACTTCGTCGTAGTCAGCTTGCAGTTTTAGCTTATGCCTGAGACTCTCCACTTCGGCATCCTAATCAATTTTAGATCACGATCGCGCTCAATTTGTGAATAGGCACACCTTTGCAGATACGTCTCTCGTGAACTCCTCGATCTTGCGCCGAGCAGATGATTCAGCCTCCAAACGAGCCTCCTTCTGTGCATCGAATGCCTGCAATAAGCGTGCTGTCTCCGCCTCAAGCTCCGCAATTTGATTCTCCAGAGCCTTAACCCTATGCGCAACATTAAGACTGACGGTCCGCGTAAGGTGTGGAATACGCACTTATCCGCGGTTTCACTTCCGCTTCGAACCGCTTCGATTTCGGCACGAAGAAGTTCCTATTCCATGTGTTAGCATATACATATTACAACACTGCATGTTAAGCACGTTTCTTCTTTCCACTGTGGCAATCCGGCTATTTGCACGTTCAAGATCAGCCTCTAACATGTCTAGCTCAGCTAGCCTCGACATCGTTTCCTGGTCTGGGGATACACCATTAGCACCAGATCATTTTGGGAGCCCCATGACACACCCTGCCGTTGTGATTGATCTAATAACTTAGCTTGGCTGGTCTCACTGAAGTTACGTAGGTCGCGTATTTGGTCCCTCGCGACCTGCACTTGCTTTGTGAGGTCACGTTCCCTACGATTTTCAGATAGCGCCCCCTAACACAGACGGTGGACATACCGTTCCTCGTAGTTCCTGATCTTCTCGTCATATGTTGCGTTCAGTTCATTTTCTTTCTGTGTCACTTTCTCTTGGATCATCGCCTCCATCTCGTCCAACGATCAGTAAAAGCACATGTGTGACAGGTGTATGCACACCTTCTCTTCCAGCTGCTCAACACGGCTCTCTGCCTTCTTCTTGGCTCCTTCGAGTGTACCAGCCTCTGCGATTTTTTTCTTCAGGTCCGCATTCTCCTCCCGCAACCGTGCAACTTCTGTCTCGAGTGTGCGCGCTTCCGCGAGTTTGACAGATTGATCCTGGGCATCATATTAGAACCACAACACCAGCTCCTATAGAAATCACGCACAGACGCCACATCGAGTAAAGGGTACGGATCAGGTGCTTCAGCGAGTAGCTTATAGACATTGAGAAATGAATTCTCCGCAAGCTTCGATCTCCTCGTGAGGTTGTCGATTTCCGTTTGGTATGCTGCCCACACAAGAGGAGTCTGAGATGCATTCAATACGTCACAAGATGTGCGTACCTTTCAGCAGGACCTTGAATTCATTCAGCTTTTCCTCATCTGGTATCCGCCTAAACTCTGCCGTCAAACGCCCCATCAGACATCAACTCTCCGGACTCCGAATCCAGCAGACCTTTCGTCTTGTCCGCTAGGAACTTCCTCCCAACCACACTCTCCTTTTGGTTCTCCACAATCTCAAGGCCCTGAGAGTCGAGCGCCTTTTGTAGATCGGTCAGGTTGACCTCTATTACATCCATGAGTGCGGGTCGCAACGAGAGGAATAGGTCTTCGACTTAACTTTCCATGTCGCAAGCGCCTGAGAGAAATTCTGGTCGCTGGCCATGGTCGGTTGTTGGATAGCTCCTCGCAGATGCGATGGGGTTCTGGAGACCGAAATTGGCGTATACAAGCGCTGTGTGAGCACGTTGACCTGTAGAAGTGGCGGGGTTACTCTCGTGTGTCTTTGACTCCGCATTGACAGGGTCCACCGCCCCCCGATGTTGTCCTTGCACACGTGGTTGCACCAACTAGGCCAACCATGTCCTTGGAACAAACTCTCATTCTTACAACATCTTTCAAACTATAGTTTCCCCTTGCCTTCATCGCTAACTTTGATCACAATCTTCCCGACTTGGCCTCCGCTCTTCATCAAATCGAAACCCTCCGCATACTTATCTAAACCGACAATGACATCTGACACCACAGGCAAGATTGAGTGCTTCGCAATAAACTCAGTCGCATTAATAAGATCGCGGTGGGATCCCATGGTTGAACCTGGCACAAACAATAGTGAGCTGAGATGACTGAACAAACAAAGAACAAAGTACCCTTCAGCTCAACACTCTTCAGCACCTCGCGCATAGTGAACGAGACTTTCGGAGTAGCCGTCCTATTTCTACTTTGTGACATTGCCCAGACTCCTGAATAACATCTCCTCACATTCCGAACACAACAATTCGTGCACCATCGCGTACGATCTTTGAAGTTTGGGCGCAGATCTCGCCACCGGCCGAATCAATGACCGCATCCAGCTTCGCGCTGGGATCAGTCTTCTTCATCAGTTCGCCAAGTTGTACGCCCCATTTCTCTGCAGGTGATATAAGGGTCCACAGGTTAGCACTAATCAAACATCGGGGACCCACCGTGCTTGTAGATGACACCACCTTTGGCGCCCAGGGACATTGCCTTTTGGATCTTGTCTTCATTGCCGCTCGTGACCCAGACGTTGGCTCCTAGAGCAACGCACAACTGGAGAGCGACCAGAGCAACACCTCCGCCAATACCTGTCTGTTCTCGCTATGAGAGTTACCTCATGATGTCTCGGAAAAACGATATACAATCAAGACATGGTGGCCTTTCTGTATTTCACCCTTGACTATTACCGCTCTGATGACATTTGATCATCAGATGTGGAGAGGGTGTTAGATCAGCTGGGCGTACCTCCACGCCGTAACACCGGCGAGAGGCCATGCTGCGGCATGCACGTCATCCATGTGATCCGGTATTTCAATCACTTGATCGCGCTCGACAACTACAAAGTCCGAGAAGACCCCTTTCACGGGATATGCAGTGCCTCCAATGATTCCAAACCTGTTATTGGTCGATAGAGATTCCCAGCGTGCTGTGCAAATACTAACTTCTGTTCTGGGCCACGGGGATCCTCCTCCCATCCACGCATAGGGACGAGGAAAACGCGCTTCCCGATTAGTGTATCGCTGCCATCAGTCGAAGAGACCACCACTCCCGATGCATCAGAGCCCATCACGGCACCTAGCGAGACACTGGGATACATGTTCCTTCGGATCCATATCTGGGCAAAAGGAGGCGAATAAGCAGAATAAGTTGAATAGCCTCGTCAGGGTCACAAGGAAGGGGCGCAACCCAAAGCGGCAAATATTTACATCACGATGATTGAATGCGACGGCACTGTTGTCGGGCGAGAGTCAGTGTTGCCGTTATTGGACAAACAGGGCGTAGGACCTGATCCGAACCAAAATCTCTCCTTCCTTCAGGGCCGGTACCTCGTTTTCCACCATTACCACGTCATGGTACACCGGAGCATCCTTCTGTGCCGTTTGAGACTCCTGAAGGACAAGGCAACGGGTGGTCTTTGGTTGATCCATTATGGGTGTTCAAGTCAGAGAGGTGGCATGCTGGCCAATTGGACAGCAAGTCATGGCATAGCCTCAGGACCACAATATATGCGGCTGAGTAACCGGAAGCATTTCGAAGAGACGCGGGATTTGCTTCTGCTTCGCAACCATCTGGCACACGCGCCTCACCCCACCCGGCCACCCGTCATCAGCACCCTGGACAACCTCTTGAACAAATATATTGGCGACAATGACAACGCCTCCAAATGAAGCCATCTCTCGTTTCCTCGATAACAACAACGCGCCAATGACCAGCCTTGAAAGTCATCTGCATGCGCTAGAGGCGGCTTTAGATGATTTGAATTCTGCGCGCCGCGTCCCGCCATCTCTTCGATTGGGAATAACAAATGCTGGCTCCGACCTGAACGGGTGGGAGTATTCTGTGCAACGATTGGCTGGAAGCCTTGTTGATGGTACTAAACAAGGCCAGCATTGTAGTCATCCATCGTGTTAGCCCAACTCAACGAAAGCCAGACGCGCTCGGAGTCGCCAAGAAACTAAATGAGCAAGGGATCGAATCAATAGATAGCAATGCGGCTCGCCGATCCATTTTACGAAGTCGGTATGCATTAGAAATAGTGTCAGGTCTGATGGAATTGTTCACACCAGGGTGTAGACAAGACAATGTTCTTCCCCCAGTTCCGCATGCGCAAATCCCTGCGTCCCTTCGCGCCGAGGACAAGCTTCTCCCCATAGAATGGACATCCGAAACCGAAGGCCCTTTCACTCTCAAAAACCTGAAGCGCTTACTGCGTGTTGGTAACAATGCAGCGGGTGGAGTTCGCATCCAATTTTGGGCACCCGTCCGGTCAAATGCCTCACCAAGCAAGCCAGCCGCAATACATGTGCTTATTGACAAGGCCATACAAGCTTTCATCGTCTTAGACTATTCCTCAGAGTTGGATACTGCGGAGGTCTTCGTTGAAAAAATATCCTGCTTTGCACCACATGAGGCTGTGAGTCGGACAATTGTTTGCCCGCAGACAACACTAATTATTTTATTCCGTGTCCCTAGAAACCACCTTCTGGAATTTCCGCATACAATGTATACCAGAGCATCTCACGCTTTTTTTCGATTTTGCTCTCCACTGAGCCTGGTTTGACTCCGCAGCATATTTTTGTGAGTTTTTTGACACGCCACTCGTGCAAGAACAACATATCATGACCTTGTCCCTCATCCACCAGGACATTCTTCTAACTTATCGTACACTCTTTCGTGACAAATGTGGTCTTTGTGGGGCCGAGCTCTCAGCGGAAGGACGTGTTCCTCCGGTCGGCCGAATATTGCAGCGGAAAGAGGAAGAGGGTAGCCCAGAGGCCGGTGTCTGGACACCGCGGCATGTACAATGTATGTCAGCATTCTGCTGACAGGTCGGCGAGTCGAATTGTCATGTTCGGCCACATGTCGTGCTCAGCGACCGATCACAAAACCGGGTGTCTACACGTGAATTGTTGACCAGCGATACGATACTGATGGTGGTCCCCATACCCCAAAAGAGCGGATGCAACCACTGGTGGGGTGGACCATAAGCTCCTTAAGTCGCGGAACTTATTATACGATTAGACTTGCAGATGCTCGGACTGGGCCGGGGCGCTTATTTAACTTGCTTTGTCCCCGTCCCGGGGCCATGGACCCGGCTTGCAGATGTTGATTATACAATCACAGTTCAGGTCACTCACACCTTCGGGCATGCCGTTGCAGACCCCCGGGTAACCCCTAAGCAAGCATTAATGTTTCCGTTCTCTCGGACCGCGGGCGTCGGAACACGTTCCACGTTGGCCGGACGCAAGTCCTGTCTTCCCGATCACGCGGCAGGCCCACAATTGTCACAAGAACGTGGCCAAATATAGTAAGAACCGCGGAAGCAATTAAAATGCTGTACAAACTAAGCTAAACCTCCACATGCTTCTCAACAGAGCTTCAGGTTTTTCCCCCAAAACCTGAGCTTGGCTTTATCCCAGTGGACAAAGCTATGCTTTGGGCTAAAGCAGCGCCGTAGTGCGGCTTCTGTGGCTGCAATGTGACGGAAGCAATTAACCATCTTCGTTTTGCCCATCAAACCCATCGGCGAGCGCTCGGAATTGCCGTGAGCCCGTCGACAACTATCTCACATCTGCAGTTGATCCTGGGCGGGTCTTCCTGACCAAGAAAGCACAGTGCCCAGGTGAAGTGATCCCTGGAAAGAAGCAAGCCCCCCGGTAATGAAACGCCGCCTCAAGACTGTTTTAATGATGGGCATTTCCACGAGGGCTTGCACAGGAGGTTGCCGCTATATTTCACGTCAGCGATAATGCGCCATGTGGACTCGGATGCTAATCGGAGCGTTTGGACAGGCTGTTCCACGTTGCGCGATGAGGTCGAATCAAGCACCTTCGGCTAGCTGGGGGGCTGCGCAAGGGCCGAGAGGCGCTGGGCAAAAGTTGGACGAAGGATGGCAGACGACCTCCTCCGGCCATTGGCGGAGGCGGTGAAGGGCGTTGGCGACGGGGGGACCACGAGACTCGGAGACCACGAGCACACGGAGGAGAAGGAGACCAGGCGGAACCGGATGATACGTCCATGGGCGATTTTCCCATGTGATTGCCGTGATCAAACTGGTGTCTTTCATCTCCATGATCTAACTTTCCAGAGATCTCCGGATGCTGACAATTCAAGGTCCGCCCTCTGCCTCCTTCCTCCTCGGCCCTTCTTCCCCCGCCCGCCCTAAGCCACGCAATACACACCCCACCAAAAGAGCCGCCCAATCTCCCCTTGCCCTCTTGCGCGCTTGCGGGCTGTGAATCGCGTCGCGCCTCCCCTTTTCATCAGCCTTGCTCCGCCTCCTTTCCCTCTTTCTCCCTTTCTCTCTTCCCTTCACATCTGTTCTCTCTGCGACCTTGATCCAAAAGGCTGAACCGCCGTTCAGCCTTCAGCCCGCCATTCACGACATCATCCTGAGGGCTTGCAACTCCGACTCGCACCCAGCCCCCACAGATTTGCTCTGGTCTGCCACCTAGGAGCTTCCGAATCCACTATATATTCCTGTATCCCACTGAATCATCCGTCTTCCCTTCCCCTTCCTCAGACAGGTTGTTGAAACAGACTTGTCTTTTGTCTGCTCAATCCCCTCATCTATTGTCCATCCTCTTGTTTCGAACTCTTTTCTTGCCACGCGACCCTATTCTACCAGTGACTGACAGTCGAATTCGACCTTGCTCTTAACTTATTCAGCGGCTTGTTTCAAGGATACGACGTGCGACGACATTCTTGCTCCCAGAATTCCCTCAAGCATAGAAAGATTCGACACATCCGTGTTTCGTCTCGCGATCATCTCTTTCAGTTCGGTTTTTTCCTTGGTACTCTCCAACTTCGACATTAGGAAGAAGTCCAAATTCGCGAACATTGTTTTTCGGAATCGCCGCTAGACCTTATTGGTGTGGCACATTACCCTTATAAGGTACGAGATGCTTCCGAACTTCCGTTCATTACTTCCGTGTACCAATCCTGAACGCGGCTTCCCCAGCGACCATCTCTGTGAACCCGTCGGACAGCCCGTTTGAGACAGCGAAATGATGTCGTACATGCCCTCTCGTACAGCTTTTAACCACAGGTCGTCACCGTCGGGCAGTGGGTTGTCCCATTACCAGGGACAATCTTCTGGCAATGTCAACTATGCGGCTTCGGGTTCTGGCGCAAGCGGAGCCTCGTTCAACAATTATGGCCAATATGGTGCCAATGGTGCATACGGGACTACGCCCGTAAACTGGGGTGCGCAATCATCTCTTTCTCGCCAGAGGTCAAATCAAACCTATACTGGCTCTCCAGCGCCGCCGCCACCGCCTGTGACTCAAGCGTTTCCTGAAGCAATCAATCGAAGTGGCCTACTCCAGATATATTCGTTCGATCCTGACCATGGTGGTCCAAACACCAGAGTCACTGTACGCGCCATGATTCATGCAACCGAGCCCGCAGATCCCGACCGTTCCGTACGAATACTGTTCGACGGTAGTCCTTCTATGGCCGAGCGTATCACCCGCGTGGAAGAAGGATCTATGCTGTTTGAACTATGGGTCCGCGTCCCTGATATGGGAGCCCAGGCTACAATGCTGCGTCTGAAAGCACAACTTTGCAGCGGTGCAGGCACTGTTCAAGATGCGGTCGACTTCGGTGAATTTGAATATAGCCGCGAAGGTCAGGCGCATATAGCTACATTTTGGGTGTATGAGGCTAATCTGGATGATGGGATGACAGGTGGTGCCGCCACTCACCCTGTGACCGGAGAGAGACGGTTACGCGAAGACGAGACCTTCAGCGATCGCAATGTTCGTCGCAACGTCCGTGTGCCATCAGTGCCACGTTTCCATGCTGGCGGTACACCAGGCCATCCGTCGAGCGATATGACCATGCAGACGCCATATCGTGGTTTGCCTGCAGGCATGAGCCCCGCCACCGCCATGGGCGCTTTCCAGTCTCCGTCTCTTCAGGGTAGTCCCATGCAAACCACCCCTCTGATGCAAGGTGGCATGTGGACCGGAGGCGCTGGACCGTCTCACCACCCCGGCATGATGACGCCTGGCACTCTCTCTCAGCAAGTATCGCTCATGCGGACGACTCAGATTCACAGTGGCGGCGGTCTCACGCAAAGCCAGGCACTAGGCAAAGTAACCCTGGAGCTGCAGGGCAAGCTGTCGAATATGGCGCTCGGTTGGTAAGCATGTATGCGCATATAGTCAGGTCCAATCGGTTGACGGTCCGGCAGGACCACAAACGAGGTGACTGCTAGTCGCCGACTGGTTCAGTTCTCCCGATCGCTTGAGGACGGCATTCTGAAGGTTCAGTTCCGACCCATCACGCCTGAAGAGTATGTGCAGGGAACTGTCGTCGTCTCCTGTATATATCGTCGCGACGGTGCCCCAGACGAGCGCGATAAGTGCTATATTACATCCGTCGATGCCATTCAGTTGCTCGAAGCTATCATCGCAACTCCTTTTAGCGTTGAGGAGAAGAATCGTATCCGCCGCAACCTTGAGGGCTTCAAGCCCATCACCGTTTCCAAGCACAAGCCCGATCAGGAAAACTTTTTCAAGCTTATCATGGAGTTCCAGGCACCAAAACCTCGCAATATTGAGAAAGACGTCAAGGTCTTCAAGTGGGAGCATCTAGAACAGGCACTACACAAGATCATCGACAAATACGTGAGTGTACCGTCCACCCACGCGGCAATGTACGCATTACTCAATTAACCTTGCAGTCTGTGACCGGCGTGACTGATGCAAACCAGGGCCTTGCCTTTCGAGAGCACTCCGAGTCTCCCCGTGCAGACATTCACGCCTCCCCAACTCCAGCAGGGCCAAGTCGGATCGTCGCCAGTGCCTCCAGGAATCTGAAGGCAGAGCCGGTTGATCCTAACATGAACGACTTTCAATACGGCGAGAACTGCGAGCTGGGTAGCCAGGAAGCGTCGCAGCCGAATATTGCCATACAGCCCGCAAGCTACGACCAATATTCCATGCCTCAGTCCAACGATAACATGCAGTATTCCCTCCCTGCAATGCCCACTTACGATCCTTCCTCGAATAACTCAACTGATATCACGACCGACGTCGGTTGGAATCCGATGGACTACCTCACTGATCCTCCTGCCACAACCGGTGCTCAATCCGGCGGCGGTGGTAATGGACCAACCGGCGCTGAATCGCAGTCTTTGTACGCGCAGGCCACTTCTCACTCCACCCCTCAGAAGGATCAGTCTCGTGCGGCTCCCTCCTCTTGATCACGACCTACACCTGTACATATCGTCTGCTGCGACATCTGCTCTCATTCGTCACCGACGTTCTGACTCTCCTCATGTAGTTGTAAGCGGCTTCTGGAGTGTAACCCAAGGACGATGCCTTACTGTCTTTCTTCTCTTGTTGTCACCATCATCACGCGTCTCTCCCTGTAGCAACCTCCCCATTTCCGACCATCACTCACGTTCAAATCGTTTTCTCCTCCGTGCATGCTATGATGTTCTGACGGCCCCTGTGATTATTGCCTGGTAGTATAAAAAGTACAGTACAAGCCGACTAGTTTTTTTTTCTCTGTCAAACTTAGATAGAATGGAATGAGTGCTGGATTCACAACCAACTTGATAGTGTGCAAGGGGAGCGAACGTCTTGCAGCTCCAGAGGCAGCTCGCTGTCCGTGGAACCCTGCGCACCGCCAGCGGTGATAGATGTCGAGGAAATCCGGCTTCCGTGTAACAAGGGCATGTCTTAGCGAATGCATGGGTCTCGCGAGATCCAGGGCTTTGCGTCAACCTCAGACATTCCCACCGACCGGACATACCATGCCGGCGGAATAGGCACGTCTTCCATCTTATCTGGAGACATTCCAGCCATTTCTGTGTCACCACTTGTTTTGGCGGAGGAATAATCTAGACGTCATTCTCTCAGCTGGGGCCGGAACCTGGGGCTAGTTCAGCACACGGACCCTCCCCCACCGACCTTTCTCGTGCAATAATCTATGCAGAATTTCTGCCGCTCTAAGAGAAATTCTCTACTGTGCTCCCCTTCTTCGGTACCACAAAAGTGGTGCCACAGCACGTTCCCGGCTCAACACCACACGTTCAGCAAGGTTTGATGGCCCGAATATTCCCACAGTAGGCAAGAATCCTTCTCGAACTGCACAGCCCTTTGGACATAACAAGAAGCGGTATGGCTATCTATATCAGCCTTTCCCATCTTGTGTTGGACGGTCCGAAGAGTGGAAATTCCTCCGTCCACACACTGAATATATTGGGAGCACAGCTTGAGGAGCAATGTATTTAGTATCAACAAAAACAAAACACCACCGATTAGCCGATGATTATTATTTATCGACAGTACAGGTCGAATTTATTATCCAGCTTACGGAAGAGGAACCTCTGATGTGGTGTATAGCTCAGGCTGGCTTGTGGAAACCATGATATATGTAACTACGTGATAAAATATTCAATTTATTTATTTTGTTGACATCGTAGAGGTGCAGTTCAATGACCTGCCATCATACTGGGGATCGAACAAATGATCTGACTGAGCGGTCTGTTTGGTCATTATGTTCTGTATTATTTCCTTAAAAGGGTATTCAGGACCAACGATATGATGCTTCTAGGTCGTTAGGATGGAAGGTCCCGGCAAGCAACGCGCCGTCCGGAGACAAAAGGACGAAGAGGACCCGCCTTACCGGGATCAAATCTTTTTTGGGACACGCGTGTTTGCTCCCTTGCTGGCACTCCCTTGCTTTCTACACCGAACAACTTAGGCGCCCGCTCTGTGCTGACACTAGAATAGGCTAACTAGCATTTCAGTCAGCCTGATAGCGACTTGCGGTTATGGCTCTCTCGGACGAGGTTGTTGGCCTACGCCCCCGCGCCTCCTCTGTGCCACCAGAGAGTTCGCGGGGTTTGTTCATCAGACATGAACCGAACAGGACCGGTTATATCTATGATACTCGGATGATGGCGCATAATGATGGGATGACCGAGGAGCAAGAAGATCGTCATCCCGAAGGTCCAAGACGCATATCTGTGATTTTCAACGCTCTGGAGAAGAAAGGGATCATCCAACGCATGCGTCGCCTTCAGATCCGCGAGGCTACACGTGACGAAATATTGTTCGTGCACCCTCCCTCTCTGCTTGCCAAAATGGACCAGATGGAAGGTACGAGCCGTGCTTTCGATTTTTCGACATGTATGAAATAAGTAAATGGAATACAGCCATGCTTATAGGAGAAGGCAAGGATGCGGCCCTGGCAGGTACCCAAGGATACTACGAGACTTTGTCACTCTATGTTCATCCTTCAACCGCCTACTGCGCTCGTCTCAGCTGTGGTGGTGTCATAGAGTCAACAATGGCTGTCGCCCAGGGCACTGTTCGGAACTCCTTTGCCATCGTCAGGCCACCTGGGCATCATGCGGAACCGGAAGAACACATGGGATTTTGCTTCTATAACAATGTGGCTGTGGCTGTTCGAGTTGTTCAAAGTCGCACTTCGATTCGAAAAGTCCTCATTCTTGATTGGTATGTGATTCAATGCGAAGGCATTGCTTCTTTCTGTAACTGAATATTGACAGGGACGTTCATCACGGTAAGGCAGCATAATCACTTGCGTAACTTGAGTCTTATCAAATGGGAAGGTAATGGTACTCAGGCCGCGTTCTACGACGATCCAGATGTTTTGTACATATCAATTCATCGATACGAGGGTGGAAATTTCTACCCCGGTGGAACAGGCGGTGGTGTAGACAAATGCGGTAGTGGCGCAGGAAAGGGAAGGTTCGCTATCTGATTCCTAGATTCTATTCATAGTCTCACGCCGGCACAGAAACGTGAACATCCCGTGGCCATCTGGTGGGAGGACAGATGGAGATTACATACATGCCTTTCAGAAGATTGTCATACCCATCGCATACGAATTTGGTCCTGAGCTCGTCATCAGTAAGAGATTGGATCCAGATTTGATCCAGAATCTGATACTCCTTAGTTTCTGCTGGCTTTGATGCTGCTGAAGGAGACCAACTTGGCGGGTGCTTTGTCTCGCCTGCTTGTTACGCGCACATGACGCATATGCTGTCGGCCTTGGCCGGCGGCAAGTTAGTCGTAGCGCTGGAGGTTCGTGAATGCGTGGACTAGGCCCAAATGCCTTACACTGATACTTTTTGCAGGGAGGTTATAGTCTCAAAGCTTTATCTCAATCGGCCCTTGCTGTTGGGGAGACGCTTGTTGGAGATCATCCCCCTGAATTACCGCCAGTCGTCCCCAGCGATGTGGGAACAGAAACGGTGTGGCAAGTCGCGTCCTATCAGAGCCAGTACTGGAACAGCATAAACCCTAAAGCAATTGAGCCGAGACCTGGTAGGCTGCAGTCATCAACTGCATCTGTACAATAGGCTGACCTTTCCTGAAGTTGACCTGGACACCTTCAGTGTATCCCGTAAGTGAAGTCAACATATCGACTACTTCACTGATTAACACATCCATGCAGAGCTCCTACGAGCGCACCGGGAGATGGATCTGGCGTCGCAGTATAATATGCTTCGCGTCCCTCTGGCCCATCCAGACCTGCGAGCTAGGTTTGATCATCAAGTCCTTGCGACGTGAGACTTGCTTCCCCTTCATACCCTTTCGCACTAATTGTGACTAGACCCTACCTTCTCGATCCTAACACGGAGACGATTGTTCTCTTTGTTCATGATTTGTACGTCTTCACCTGGAAGAAGGAACTTCACCCTCACCGTATTAATAGCGGCAACCTGCGTGTTGAACTTCAAAGTCCGCTGAGAGTCGATGTCAGAATGGAGCACTCATACTTGGTCCGTGGCGTCAATGGGATAATCTTCCTCAATTTATCAGGTTACAGATCGATTCTAGCCGACGGGTAGTGGAGTGGGCAAATGAACGGCGATACGGACTGATCGACATCAATATCCTAATGCATCACATTGTGGAAGCCGAAGAAGTTGTGCTTTTTCTGAATTGTGGCGTACATGCCTGTCTGACCTGCGATAGATAAACCCGATCGTGACACCTCAAGACGAAAAAAGACTTTTGCGAACGCTTGTTGTTTATTTGTGGGACAACTACATGGAGTGGGTTAAATGTGTGATACATAAGTATCTGTGCTCATCAGCTATCAGCCTGTCTGCTGCCAAAAACTTCATTATCATCGGGCACGGCTCGGCATGCCAATCTGTCATTGGCCTCCTGAATGATCGAAGTACGTGCTGAAAACCATGACTATTGCTTGCTATTGATTCTCAAAACAGAGCCTTATCTTGACAAGCGGACGAAAGCTGTTGTACAAATAAACGGAATGAACACGATTCCAACCGTACCCAAAGATGATGATGACCTGCGCAGGTGGTATTCGAAGGTGGATGATCTCGGTTCTGATCTTGCTGGCAAATTTGACTTGACATCTAGAAATCCATTGTTGTCTTGCCTGCTCGGCATCCACTAGCTCGCGATCCCAGCATGGCCCTCAAACGGCACGGGAGACTCTTGCCCTGTGGTGCGTGCAGTCATTCCTTTGTTGACTCGCCGAGCCTAAGACTACCAAAGGCGAGGAGAAGGCGATTAAGGTGCTTGACTGGGCAGTTTCGCACGTGCTCAAGGCGATTGTCGATCCCAGAATCAATCCAATCAGTTCACAAGATAATCAATCTAAATCTCACACGAACACTTCTGTAATGAACGGGGATGCAGATATCGAGATGCTATAAAGTATCTATTCGGGTTGTGTTGTATTCTGTAGCGTACTATTGTAACCATAAAATATATATTGCGAGGTACTAAGGGTTGTGGGTATTTCACGGGATACTTTTGGCGCGAACCGAGGGTACTTGACGCAATGATCGTTGCTGTTAATTAGGCAAAAATAACGAAAGATACCCAGCGATATGTCGTCAGAAAATGAGAGGCACATGTGGATGGACTTTTCACTGAGCTAGAACTTCGTTGCAATGGGCCGCACCAACGCTTAACGGAAAGTCGAATTCGGTTTGAGGAGGCAGATGAAAACGGAAACCGATGACGTTTCTCTGACATGCCCGTGAATCGAGGATGTGAAGAGAACGTCGGGATGATCTTATGCACTCAGGAAAAGAAAGAAGTATCCCATGCGGTGTCCTAGCAACGCATGAGAAAGAATATATAGGAAAGAAAAGGATCACGAACCATCACACGCGAAGATGAGAGTCTGGGGGTTTGCTTTTCTGTCTCTAATTCCTTGCTGTTCATCTCAGTCATGGTATTGAAGAGATGCGAGAGACAAAGGGCTAACCTGACAAAATAGAGTGCTTGAGCCACGGTCAATTGATCACCTGAATGCGAGTCAGTTTGAGAACCAGCTCTACTCGCTACCAGACACACCGTGCTTGCCACAGAGACCCTTAAGAATACGTGATAAGCTCTTTCCATCGCGTGTCTGCTCACTGATTCGCCTGGTTAGATGTGTAATGCTGGAACACCACTTGGTGAGCTTCACATCGTGCGCCGAACAGTCATTATGTTGATGTTTGTTTTTTGGATTTTTAGATTTGATTAACGATTATACAATCGCTGACATCCCGTCCTCGCTGAGGGCACTGTGCCGCCTCTCCGCTCGGATGCCGAAGAAGAACGTATCATTCAGACCAGCACCCCAGAAGAAGAATTCTCTGCCAATTTTGTCTGAAGCACTGACTATCATACATGCGCTCGGATTGTCCCCTGCTGCTACTGTTAATCAGGGAGTCAACTTCGCCATGTGGGCGCGTAACAAACTCTTCAAGAAGAGGGCTTCCGTGCGTACCACTTCCAACGCTCAAGTACCGGCCGAATCAGATGGAATCGAGGGCAGTGCATCTCTGGTAGAACATCTGAAATCGCCCGTGTCATTTGATCAACTTTTCTCCACTGTTAAGACCTACCGGGCAGTCCTTGAATCTGGTCCTCATTCTCCCTGGTCGAATTCTTCCGTTCGTGAAGAGAGTCTTTCGGACCTGAAGCAGTTTCCCCGGCTTGCCGCCGACGTGGTACGTAGCTCGTCCAAGATGCAAGCACGTGGAGGCTAGCCATTCTGTTTAGATTTCCTTCGGTGTATGCTCTGATGGTGAAACGGGAGGCGACACTAAGTAGACGACTGACATCGAACAGTGCGCGGAAATGGCACGTAGCAGGGAGGGGCTGTAGCATGCGTTTGTTCAGATCCTAGGTTTGCGATAGGTAAAATATTTATGCAGGCAAAGGAAGATACGAACGTCATCAATGATGAGGTAATCATCGTCAATCTTGTCTGGAACGCTCAGAGTACGGCCGCGTCCAGACCGTCCTGGTTCGACAACGAAGGGGACGTCTACAGGCACAATGGCTATGCCTGTGTGAGCAACCTTAAATGGGAGGTTTCACTGGACCGTACCTTGGTTATTCTCTTCAACACCTGTTGGGTCGACTGTTTGTGCCCCATGGCCGGCATCTGGCACAGGTACACAGTCAGAAATAAGTCAATCAGCCCCGAGAGGGCAGTTCCTACAATACCAGAATATGGTGCATCCTTCTTCCGCGTTCTGTTGGGCGCACGAGACTACCCAGTCCATGGCAAGAAGCTAGCAGACAATAGTCAATCACCGGTTTAGAGTTCTGAAGTATAGTTGACGTACGATCTTGTCCCGTGTCGGTTGGATGCATCCATCCATATCCACATCGACCAGTATTAACATTGTCTCAAGGGGACACCCGATCGATAGCAAGTGGTTCTTTCTGCGGACCACGTCCTCATGGGTAAATTCCAGTTGCACATCATGGTCGGACTTGTCGAGATAGCGACAGCCGATGAGGACCGCGAACGTGGGTGGACGCCGTTTGTTGCTGCTAATCTGTGACGAAACCGACATGCTGAAGTGTATGTCGTGACAGAACAAGAGGGGACGTGCTTCTTGTACGGTAATACCAGCGTGCCAGGCCTATATGGGGTTAAGGAGAGGAGCGTACGACAGGTAAGCCCTTATAAACAGCTCTTCAATAGGAGCAGCCACATCCCGGGATCCGCAAGTGCCAGGCGGCCGTGCGCAGTAGTGGTGGTCAACATGCCCACAGCGTAAGAAAGCGTAGAAAATCCGCCCTTTGAGCCACAAAGTGCGAACCCGTTTGAGGGGCCACTGAACAAATCCCTTGTCGAGAGGACACGGTGAACCACAGCCAGGTGGAGCAAAATCCGCAGAGCTCGAGCGATGAAAAGGTGGAGTTGCCGCCGGCCAGCATAATTGAGCCACCAACGGGACTTGCGTCCATCCGACAGTAGGTGATGACAGTCGCCTCGTGCCGAAATCCACAACTTTAGGGGTACATTTTGCAGAACAATAAATGACTCAACAAGATCAGCTGAGTTTGCCAAAGTTATGCCGTGCAGCAGAGGACGGGAGCCAGACCACACACGTGGTGGGCAAGACACAGCTCCACGAAGCTCTGGTCCACCTTGCCACCATGCAGCAGGACCGTTGCTAGAGCATCTCCTGTCGGGTGGAACTCGCTTGTAATCCGGAGAAACCCCACAGCAGACTTTTCTCGACCAGGTTTGAGTGCTAGACGAGGCACTGCGCATACAGTGTGACCCGGGAGTAGATAACATAGAAAATTCCACATCAATCAAATTGACGAAGTTTGTCAATCCCGGAGACGAGCCACGAGTAATATGGGACAGAAGAGCAGGCTCGATACAGCCATCCAGAGCGGGATCTCTCGAGCATAGGATGGTGGGGTTCCTCAACAATAGGCAACTGATCAGTGATCTGCTGAACAATCGAAATCATATGGTGGACGTTCGCGGACAGCTCATTAGGGGTCCTTCGAGCGGCGATGGGGTCTGACGCTGGTGGGGACATGGCCTCAAAATTAGGATTCAAAATGCTGTGCACATTTGTCTCCAGTAAAAACACCATATTTGCGTCCGCGGAAGCTAATATACCCCCGCGGAAGCAGTTGGAAGGAAAATAAATTCAATGGCAGAGAGCAAGAAGTTCGGCGGAGGCGAATGGAAGCAAAAGAAAAGAACGGAAGCACATATTTCGCGTGCGCGGGAGTACCTATCTGCTTCCAGTAACTGGAAGCAACGTATTTGCTCCCATTGAAAGTATCAGACCCTTGACTCATTTGCGGACTCTTTACCCTGCCCACAGCCACAAATTTTTTAAAAAAAGTCGGAATTAAAAACAAATATAGAAAAACCACGGATTTGACCAAAATTAAACGCCGAGGACCCTTGTCCAGCAACGACCACGTCTGGTGGCCTTTCGCGGACAGCTGGGACCCCTAACACCGCGGCTGTCCGCGAACGTCCACCATAAAATCAGGGTCTCGACTGGGTATTTCTCTTGGAAGCGGTTCCGGGACGGTGGCGGCGGTTTTCTGACACCAGGCAGCAGATTAAGAAAGGGAGAATGGTTAGGGTTGTACAATACAATACAAAACGGATTAGCGCCCTTCGTGCCAATGCCTGGTCCGTGAATATCTACTATACAGAGGAAGCAGCTTGGGGCGAACAAAATGAACTCGAGGCAGAGCAGAAACGGCAGATCAAAATTTCCGCAGTCAAGGAAAAACACAGGACACACGAGGTGTGTCGGCTTATAGATCAAAAAATTGCCCCCAACGTTCCCGCTGTTAGCTCGTTAGTCTCGGGGGAAAGGGGCAAGGGGTGAGGTAAGCGCACGGTCATTTCCCGTGAGGATGACAACTAACCCGTCGGGTTAGCAAATCAGAGAGCGCACTATGCGTCGGAACCATGCTTACCTCCGGCCTTTTTGGGCTTGCTCTCCGACTGCAGAGCAGACTTCAATGAGCAGGTCACGGCAAGAAGAATGCTGCCTCACGCACCTTAACCATAAGAACAGTTCTGCATAAGTTACGCCTTGCGCTGTGGGAGACACTTGAGTTTCCAACAGACATTTGCCACTGCCGCCACGTACCAAGATTTCCGTTGTAGAAGCGAACCAGGACTTTAGCCAGGCTTCGGCTGTCCAAGGTCTCTTCATCATCTGAGCATGCCCCGATGGCGATGACGTCGGCCACCACATCGTCATCGCTGAGTTTAACGCGTTCTTCAAGCTGCAGGAATGTCCCGAATACCACGCTTTCTTCATGATACAATGTCTCCGGTGGTGAAGCAGGGATTGTTCGATGGAGGGCAGAGCTTGCTGACTCCGGCTGGCGGCTGGAACCGGAAAGAAAGTGCCGTAGCATGTTGAACCTGGATGATATCTTGAAATTCTTTGCCAGAATTTCGTGCTGGCCTTTCAGGCCAACTGGATATGCATCGACCTGAGACAAAGTGGTGGAAATCGATGCAGCTGCTGGATATGATTCGTCGTTGCTCACACCACCCGGCACTGTCCTCTGAGACCGGCAGAACATCTGTCCGTAAACCCAGCGGACACCGGAGAACGTCCAGCGCGATGTCGAAACGACCATGCCGACGCCTTTTCCAATCGTCTGATCTCGTTCCAAGCCGAATGCACGGGTCACAGAGACCTTCGTACAAGGCAAAGAATGCCGACGCGACGACATGGGAAGAAGACGCAGTCCTAGAACGGGATCATAGAGCTCCGAAAGTTCGTCTGTCTTGGTTTTCCAACGAATAGCTTTAGCTGATAGTGCCACGTATGAGTTTCAGTCATACTGTACTAGCATAGTAGTATCTCTCACCGAATTGGGGAAATCTGTGCTTGAACAGGCAGCGGAAGCTGAAGGGCACCTCGCTGGCAAGATATTCATGCTTGAGATCTGAGCGTGGGTGAGATACGAGGAAAACCATGTATGTGAAGAAAACGAACCTAGAGCGGTCCCGGAATGACAACACTAGCCACATGTCAGTTATTATATTCAGCGGAGGACATCGATTCCATACGTCAAATATTGCTACAAGCCGATTCCTTGCGGGAAGGGGCTTAGCCATGAGCTCGTTGAGTTCCTGATGTCTTATGATCAGGTCACAATCTGAAATCAGTCGTCAGGAAACGTACGTCGTCGATGATGCAGCCATTATCTTCGACGTTGTTGGGGATTACCCGGAAGCGCGGCGCCCTCTTTCGGTATCTTCCCTTCCCCCTACCACGGCCACCCTCCAAAGTCTTCTCGATGCGAATATTGGCATCCATCGGAACTATTGCTATAATGCAAACCTGTTAGAAGATACGCGATCTAGAACAGAAATTCCGCCCACCCTCATTAAGTCCATCCTTCTCCTTATGAGTAGGGTCAACCTGCTGATGACCATGACCAGCATCTGTCGCCTTCCATTAGCCTCAAGAAGAGTAAGTCGCTAGCGGGCAGTCACGCACAGTAGAACATTAGCTTGTATCCGTTCTCCGGGTCGCGCGTTGCCCTTTCCGCGAGCCACTTGATGCCCACGATCTAGCAGCAAAGCAATCAGCGTCACCTTCATAGTGGACGGGAGCAACATACTATGTTCGTGCGCGTCGGAAGGGTATCCGGAGGGTCATCATCGCCATCCATGAACACTCTGATGTTCTCCTCGGGGTAACCGATGTCTATGATGAACTTCAGTGGATGTCCAAAGCGAAGGAGGAACTTGACTGCGTACCAATCAACAATCTTCTGAACTGATCTACATCATCGTGCGTGTGCTCTAGCTGAACCTCGTTCGGGTGATCCCTGTAGCGTATGCCGATGAGGACCGCGAACCATCGCTCGCGAGGTGGGTTGCCATTGATCGAATAGTCGCGGAGCATGGTGGGGCGAGGCATGATGATGTGCAATTGGATAGAGTGGCAGATGAATGGAGATGGATGAAAGGATGCTGGATAGATGCAGCGGGTGAGACGGTGCTTTAATACAGTGCAGGAGGGATGGGTCGATAGGTGGCAGTGGGGGTTCGGGAATAGCGATTTGATGGGCGACTGTATCCTGTCAAGGACACGTATCTCCAAGAGGACACTGAGTCACGATTCAGCTGATGTCAAGAGGGCGCAGAATGAACGTATGCCCACCGTTAACCCCCCCTCCCCCAGTACATACTGTTAACTGCTGCGGAGCAGGTGTGAACTTGTTCGTTAGACGCTGGCTCAGCTTTGGTGGTGGGAGAGGGTGTTGGCGCGCAAGAAAAACCTGGAATGAAAGCAGCACCAGTGGCGAACCAGGACAGCATTACATGCGTATTCGGCGTGCTATCGTCCCCAAAGAATCCAAGAGTAAGCCACGATAGACAGCAGCACAAGAGAATGCAAGCATAAACCCGGTTCTGGTGCACTGGTCGAGCTTTGGTGTGCGGTAGGGCATATCCATATATATGGATGGGACTTCAGAGGCGCTTCCGTCCCTACGGTACGGAACGGACCGACAGGTACCAACCGACATCGACGCGAATCCGCACCCATGGACTCGACGACGAACTCCCCTTTCAGCGCAATACTGGTCGGAAAATACCTAGAAGATTCAGTTCCTGTCTCTGGTAGACCACCTGACTGAGCACGTTTAAGGCGCGTGTATACCAGTCTTCTCGCCGATGCGCCTACTATGAGTTCCTGGCGGCAGTGTCGAATATGAATGCAGCCCTCGCCCTGAAACAGCACACAGAGTGCGAGAACAACCTGCCATTCCGCCTGCGAAGGAACCTCGTGAAGCTTCATTTTCCGTGGAGGCCTGGTTTGACAGGGGATTGATGCCCAAGGGCGACAGCCGCCAGCGCTTCCGTTGTGCTCCAATGCGGTGAGTCACATGTCCAAACAGTTTGTCGTATATTCTCAGTTTCCCGGGTCCCAATAATAGAACTCGGCTATTCCAGACGAACAAGAGAGAGAGTACTGCGCAAAGCAGGCACTGTCCCAAGCAGATGTGTGGTCAAATCCCCATCCTGTGCGCTTATTTTCGTGCGTCGGCCGTTCAATTTTTTTCGACAGTTGCAAGCAATCACTTCTAATCATCCGTATGTTCTCCACAATGGGGCTTTGGCGAGTGGCGGGTGTGAATGCCAGTATTCGCCCCACAAGAGACAAACGGAATATTAGTGCGAGCACTTATATTTTGTTTGACTCGGGCAATTGCGCTCACAAGCCGTCAATCCGACAGCGAAACAGCTCCTCCATATCCCCGCTGATATCCGACTTGACCAAACGGTATTGACGTCCGAAAATGACTGCTGCCAGGACCTCCAATGCGGAGCATTCAGGTGAGCGTCGTGCCCGAAGAGGTTTGTCGCATGTTGACAGTGTTTCGGAACCAAGGACGGTGCACAAGCATGGGGTCACGTTCGTGCGCTGTGCGCTTATCTTCGTGCATCACTCATTCGAAGAGAGAGCCGCTCGCGAACCATGGTTGCCAAGCAAGTTCCATCGAAGAAAGCAAAGTGGAAGATGAGCACCAGCAGGCGGCGCTAAGACATGTATTTCCGCACGTGTTTGGTCTATTTGCGTCTCTCATATTGACACAGGGAATTGTGATGAATATGTGGTTTGTGGCGAACGGGCAAAAAACACTTCTGTACTGTCTGTCGTCGTGGAAGCCGCAAGTCAAAGATTTGACTTTCACCACAAATTCCGGAGGATAAATTTGTTTGAGCGGGGGCGGTGTGTGTTCCCTCGTTCCTCTTCCATCATTGTCGACGATTCCCAGCGCATCTCAACCTCACATCACTGATGGAAGACCACTATCCTCCTCTTCACAGTAATCTCATCGTATCTCCATTGTCGGGCGGAACTGCAGAAAGTGGCAGCGGCACCACACTGACTCCTGTTGGAACGCCCGCGTCAGTCAATTGATTGCCCGTTCTCCCCCTAGCCTGACTCACACTTCTTCTTGTAGGTATAGAACTGCGATCACTGCCGGTAGTATGAGACCACGGGTAGAGAGTTGGACACTGAAATTGGTGCGTTCTACCAGATCACCATCGGTATACTTTTCCTTATTGATAACATAGGATCCTCGGCTTCTTTCTCCTTCCCCTCGCATGGTCACTCACAATGAGCGCGGCGTCTCAAATTCGATTCATCCGTTACGAAATGACCAACAAGACCAGCGCCATCGGCTTGTTTTCCTGGATGGTCCTACTAGACGGCAAATCTCACCTGGCTTCACCGAATTCGAAAAATCATCCCAAGGCTATCCCCTTCCCACACGTCAAATCAGTCAGAGATCTACCATCGTCGATATACATAATCGTCCAAATCGTTACGGAACTTACCCACGCACTCTATACGAACCCTACTCGATGCCAGTGTCTCAATCCCGCGACAATCACCACCCCCTCTGTAACGAGCCATTGGTCTATCGTCGCCCTCCATTCGATGGACACACAGACTATCATCATGCCCAACTAGAAGAGCCTGCCATGCTGCGCTACCCCAGCCTCATTCCCCCTGTCCAAACCCTCCCCGACAACCACACAACCGCCCTATCGAGCCCGGAGAGTAGACGGATTTGCAATAGCTGGTAAGTGGTCCTCACCGCCAGGTTCGTCGGTTCTGACATTGATTCAGCTTTGACCGTCGCTTGGTCTGTGACGGCGAGTTCCCTTGCAACACTTGCCAGAGGATCTCCAGGCCATGCTCTTACATCGGCCGTCCTTTCCAGCAGTTCAACGCCTCTATACAGCCCGAAACTCGAGGCAGTCAGGCGGAATTTCGCGTTCTGCCAGATACGATGCCACCCCACCGTCCAAATGTACCCGGGACGGACCTCCCAACGACATCCTCACATCGTATTGTCTACCTTCACGATGATGTCCCCAGGATCAGCGGCATCCACTGTATTCATGCAGTGCAAGATATCAAGATCATTCAGCCTATGCGTACGCCTCCTGCATCACATGCGACTTCCGAGACGATAGAAGGACAGGCGGAGACATGGCCCTGTGAACGTTGCAAGAAACACATTGACGATCATATCCATATGAGGAAGAAGTCGCCAAAATTGTGTTACTTATGTTGGTTGCTTGAGCGGCGCCATCCAACCAAGCATAAGGATATGAAGCACTACCGTCAGGGCGGCCCGTGCGCACAGTGTGGAACAACTTGGGCACCGGTGTGGAGGCGTGGGCCAGCCAAAGAATCACTGTGTAATGCTTGTGGCCTCCGTGTGAAGGGGAGGGAAAAAATGGACAAAAGCAATTGGAATTAGAACTTGCTGCCATTTTATAGTACATTCTGTCTTTCCAATATGTTGGTATATGTTGTATTGCTCATTTCCTGTCTTTTATACATGAATGACATGTCTCAGCTTTGGTCAATACATATTGTTAGGGTTATTACAATGTTACTATCTATGACCATGCAATTCAGCCCTGTGTGAGACCAAACAAATGTCAGCTCTGCACAAAGACTTCCAGAG